TTGGCCGTCCACCATCGAATACCGGGCTGCCTTTTGTTTGAGCGCCTTCCGTTCGACCGGGTGTTGCGGTGTGACGTCGTGTTCCAGGTATTGGATCAGGGGGGTCCTCCAGTCAGCTGCTTCCTCAATGCTAATGACTTCTTCTGGAGATTCGCCCTCTTTGGTGACCGTGACGTGTCGATCTCCTTCAAAGTCCATGGCGGTTGCGAGCTTGGAAAGCGCGTCCGCATGTTGATTGTCTTCTCGCCGGACGTGCTCTAACTTCCATGAATTCAGCTGAGATAGGGCGTCTCGTACCCTGGTAGCCAATGTTGCCAACGTCTCGTCCTTGATTTCGAAGGCCTCAAGAACCTGTTTGACGACCAGGAGAGAGTCGGAGAATATTTGCACGTCAGTTGCCCCTAGGGTAGACAATATCCGAAGCCCATTGATTAGCGCCTCGTACTCAGCGACATTGTTAGTCTTGATCTCCCTGAATCTCAAGGAAATTTCATGCACTACCCCTTCAGGCGACTCGATGACAATCCCTGCCCCTGAGGCGGTTTTCCCAGCGGCGCCGTCTGTGAACAGCCGCCATATTCGACTGCGGTCATCGGAGTGCGGGCAGTCGAGGGAGAAACCTTCGGCGACGAAATCGGCCAGGACTTGACCTTTGATTGCGGGCCTCGGGGCATACTCGATGTCATACTCGCTCAGCTCGATTGCCCACTTGGTCAGACGACCTGAAGCGTCCATGCCTCTCATGATGCTCTTGAGTGGGAGATGAGATAGCACGGTGATCGGGTGCTCCTGAAAGTATGGTCTTAGCTTTCTGGCCGCGGAGGCTACCGCGAGAACCGCCTTCTCGACGGGCAAATACCTTGTTTCGGCGGGAAGAAGCGCCTTACTTACATAGTAGACAGGTCGATCGGAGCCGTCTTGTGCCCTTCGCACTAGGACGGAGCTCACAGCTTGCTCGGAGACCGCTAGATATAAATAGAGCCGCTCCCCCCGATGGGAGCGCTCAAGACTGGAGGCTTGCTGAGCTGGTCTGTCAGCAGCTGGAAGGCTTTATCGCACTCGGCACCCCATTGGAGCTTCGATGCCGACTTCTTGAGCATTTGGAAGAACGGAGAACATTTGTCGGCGGACCTCGGGATGAATCTTCCGAGTGCGGCCATTTTTCCATTGAACGCTTGAATCTCCTTGATGGTCTTTGGCGGCTTCAAACCGCGTATGGCCTCAATTTGCCTAGGGTTGGCTTCTATCCCCCGTTTCGTGATCATGAACCCTAGGAATTTTCCCGCCTCGGCGCCGAAGCCGCACTTGAGTGGGTTGAGCCTCAGATTTTTCTTCTTTAGCGTCTCAAAGGTTTCCCTCAGGTCTGTCAGGTGATCGCTTGCTTTCTTGCTTTTCACTAGCACGTCGTCGACGTAGGCTTCTACGTTCCTTCCCATTTGTGTCTTAAAGACCGCATCAACCATCCGCTGATAGGTCGCCCCCGCATTCTTCAGTCCAAAGGGCATCACTACGTAGCAGAAATTGCCCATGGGTGTCATGAATGCGGTGAGCTCTTGGTCTTCCTCCGCCATTCTGATCTGGTGGTATCCGGAGAACATGTCCAGGAAGCTGAGAGCTTCGTGGTTGGCGGTCCCATCTATGAGTTGGTCGATGCGGGGAAGAGGATATGCGTCCTTGGGGCAGGCCGCGTTGAGACTGGTGAAATCAATGCACATCCTCCAGGCGCCACCCGTCTTGCGTACGAAGACGGGGTTTGAGAGCCAAGTAGGGTAATTTACCTCTCTGATGAATCCGGCTTTGAGGAGGCGGCGCACCTCCTCTTCCAGGGCCATTTGCTTCTCCACTGACAGATGTCTCCTTCGCTGCTGTATGGGACGCGCTTTGGCTTTGACCGAGAGGCGGTGCTCGGAGACCTTGCGGGGTACACCGGGCATGTCCTCCGGTCCCCACGCGAAGAGGTCTTGGAACTCTTTGAGGAGCATGAGCAGCTTCTGGGCCTCCTCTTGTGCGAGATGCGCGGAAATACGCACCGTCCTTTCTGGTCGCTCCGTGTCAAGGGCGACTGCCACATCTCCTTCGACCGCTTCCGGCCTTGGTACGTCCCCTCTCGTGTCGACCAGGTCGACTTCGAGGTGCTCGATGGTTGCTTGGTAGCATTCTTTTGCTTCCCTCGGGTTACCTCGAACACGCCCAGTTTGTCCTCCGCTTGGGAATTTAAGCATCTGGTGGCAGGTGGACGCCACTGCCTCGAACGAGGCCAAGAAACCGCGTCCGAGAATGACATTGTACGCCGAAGGGCAATCTGCCACGTGGAACTCCACCGGTCTGGTCTTTGTGATGCCCCCTTCTCCTATGGTGACTTTGAGTGTGATAGAGCCGAGGACACGGACTTTGGTGCCGGAGAATCCCACCAAGCTGGTGTTGGAAGGATTGAGGTCTTGGACGCCCTTTTTCATTCCTTTGAGCGCCGAGTAGAATAGTATATCCGCCGAGCTTCCGTTATCAACCAGGGCTCTGGTGACTTTGAACTTGGCGGTTCGAAAAGAAACGACCAAGGGGTCCTCTGAGTTTTCTTCGTTGGCTAACTCGGAGGGAAGGAAGGCGACCTCTGTCGGTGCCCTGCGTTGTACAGTGAGGCATTGTGCAAGCGGTCTGCCTCGGCTCTTGGGCGCTTTCGCCCTCCTGCAATCGTTATGACTTCCATTCCATCGTCCTCGTTCCGAGGTGTTCTGTAGGGGGGAGACTGTTTCTCAGGGGGGGTGACCTTGTTTCGAGGGCGGGATCTTGATCTTTCCTTCCTTGCCCTTCTTGTCCTGTCTTGCTTGGGACTCGGGGACTCCTCCCGCTCTTCGGTTGAGCGTTCTCTCTGAGACCGCCTCACCTCTAGCTTGCTTCGTAGGTCTCCCGGGGCCAGGTGTCGGAGCGTGGCCCTGAACTCTCTACACTCTGTGGTGTCATGGGTTGTGATTTGGTGCCAGTCGCACCACTTTTTCCCTTCCTGCGGTTCTTGGGCAGAAGACGTTTCATACCTCTTTCCGCTTTTCCTTCGATCTTTTCCCCTTTCCTTATCGGTGGAAAGGACGTCCCTTCTTCCTTCTCGATCACTGTACCTGCTTCGGTACGATCTTCGGTCTGGGGACCGCCTTCCTTTCCGGGAGTCTCCACGTTCCGATGTGTCTCCGCGGGGACGGCTCTGTTGGCCTCGGTCGTCGTTGGCTAGCGCTTCTTCCAATAAGATCGCTCGACGCACCAACTGATCCAAGTCGGACCAGGCCGTCAGGGTCGCCTCCTTCTTTATCAGCGTTCTTTTCAGCTCGAGACTGGTTGTGGAGATTCGGAGGTTTCCGGCGGCCACGACTGGCGAGATGCCGTCTATTTCGCAAGCTATCGCGTTCCACCGGTCGTAGAACTCGGCAAGCAACTCTTCTTTCCTCTGTCGACAACCTATGAGCGCCGAGACGGTGAGCTTGCGGCGCCGTTGAGACGCGAATTTGGTGGAGAAGAGCATTGCAAACTGCTCAAAGTTTTCTATGATTCCTTCGGGAAGGGAGGTGTACCATGTTCGGCATTGATCGCTGAAGGTGACCGGGAACGCACGACACAGATCTGAGTCTGTCGCGTTGATGAGTTGCATCTTTAACATGAATGCGCAAAGATGGTCGGCGGGGTCGGACGTCCCGCCGTAGGTAGGTAGTCCCAGAGAAGAGAAGTTGGGGGGAACCGGAGTCTTGAAGAGTTCTCTTGATAGTGGGTTTTGTAGGATGTTCGGGCTCTTGTGCTTCCCGAATGTCGACCGCAAGTGCTCCTCTAGAAAGTTAAGATCCGCATCGTCAGCGTCCGGTCCTCCGCCTTCTGTCCGAGCAGGGCTGTCGAGGATGAGGGCGCCTTTCAGCTTCTCGTCGCGCGCCTTCCCCTTTGATCCCTCGGCGGGGTCATCTCGGGTCTTCAGGAGCTGAAGAATTTGGGAAAGGCTGTCCTGCATGCTAGCGATTTGAACTCCTTGACTTTTGACCACTTCTTCCAGCTCGGTTTCATCTTCGACTCTTGGTGATAAGCCCCGGAGGGTGTTGTTTTCGGTCATCCCCTTGAGTGGAGTTTCGAAGTCGTCTCCCATCTTGTTCGCCACAAGGCTGTAGGGCCCCACGGTGGGCGCCAAAATGTTTGTGCTTGGATTGTTCCAAGCGGTTTGTGAGACTCTACTCGCCTTGGGCGGCTTCGATGGTCGAGGGCGGTCTCCGAACCCTGCAGAAAGGTCCTCAGGGGGTTCCTGGGACCTCCTCCGATGCTTAAGTTAGAGAGAGAAGTGAAGTGAAAATAAATAAGAGAGAGAAGGAGTTGGTTGAAGTTACCATAAATGTGACCCTATGAGGGGTATTTATACTAGTTTAGACTGAGTTATGTGCATTTAATGTCGTGTCGGGCGGTCTATGGCGCCTCTGGCTTTTCCAACGTCCCTCGTCAGACTTCGTACGGTAAAGCCAGATTGTCGGGCGGTTCTTTACCTGAGGCAAGGTTCCCTGTCGGGCGGTCTTCTCGCAACGTGATGGTTAGGACCGCCCTTGGCTGTTTTCTTCTATTTTGGGCCTTTCCGGCTCTTACGTGGGCTTTGAATGCAATTTGGGCCTTCGGGCCTTGTGGCTTAGTGCCCGGCCTAACACTATGATTGGGGATATGTTGACAATACATTTTTTTCAAATTCATCCTTTTTAAAACCCAATTTTTACCAAAATGAAACTACAATTGAAAAAGGAAAAATGAAAAACATAAAAAACGGAGGATCCACGAGCCCAATCATAGTTTATGGCCCAAACCCAAAAGGACCAAATAGCCGAAGCAGTCCCAAGTTTCTGTCTTGAGATCGAAGAAAACTCCGCTTCTTCTACTCGTCTTCTTCAGCTCTTGTATGCACACAAACGAAAAAAAGCCAGACGAGGAAAGTAGACTGAGCATCGTTTCTCCTTATCAGTAATCGAGCTGAAACCCTCCAACGGCGAGCAACGATGAGTAGCATCGGTACCGGTTACGATCTCTCCGTCACTACTTTCTCTCCCGACGGCCGTGTTTTCCAGATCGAGTACGCCGCCAAGGCCGTCGACAACAGCGGGTAAGCTGTACATCTCCCCGTCGTTAACCTTCCGTTCGTTTGTGTCCTAAGAAATTATGACGGAACCGAAGAAAGATGTGGAGGGTGGGGGACTGGAGAATGTCCATTCTTCTGGGCAGATTAAGATTGCCAGTCTTTGCTTCTCCCAGTCTGGCATTAGGGTTTTTCGCTTCGGGATTTGGGGGGGTTTTCTGATGTGAAATTGTTGTTGGATTGCGCAGGACTGTTGTTGGAATCAAGTGCAAAGATGGGATTGTTATGGTAAATGTGCACTTCTTCCAATTCTCGTTTGGCCCTCTTTTTTCCGGGGTTGTTCAAGTTTCTTGGTTTTTGTTCAGTGGTTTTCACTAGAATTTGGTGGGTATTTACATTTTTCTGTGTGTTGGTTGGAATTTTAGGGTGTGGAGAAGCTCATAGCTTCCAAGATGATGTTGCCCGGTTCCAATAGAAGGATCCATTCGGTTCATAGGCATACTGGAATGGTACTCCTCTCACATACCTCTTGCTTTCACTATGAGGGAACTCAAACCTTGAAGTCAGTTTTCTGGGCTTGTTGGTCTGTCATCTACTGGGTTCATTATATGTGTATTATGTGGTAGCGTCCCAATGAACTTGAAATTTTCACATTGTTATATTGAGTGCTGATTAATGATTTCCACTTGGGTGTGATGGATGAAGCAAAATTTAGTAGGTTGCCTCTTTTGTTCCCCATGTTAGGCTGTAGTTTATCCATCAGATAATGTCATATGAACATTCCTTTGGGAAGTGTACAACAACCGCCTCTGCAAACCTCGTGCTCCACTCTGAGTTGGCTAGGGCTCTGCAAAGATTAGCAATAATATAAACTTCGGTTGTGTGAGAGGAGGTGGTCGTCTTACTGTGAAATCAAGGGGGGTAGCTTGTAAAGGTTACTTGTTCTGTCAATAGACTGTGAGTTCGTCGTCATAAGTAGAAATTGATGATTTTCCCCCTCATAAATGCATTCTGTCAAGCGCAAGTATGCTCTATCTACTATTTCATGTTACATTACTTCAACTCTTACTTGCTATATTTTCATGCTGTGTACTTTGTTACGCCTGTCCTTACACTTTTGCTATCCAATTTCAGGCTGTGGCTGGCTTAGCTGCTGATGGTAGACAAATTGTTGCACGAGGAAAGTCCGAGGCAACCAATTATGACAAGTTTGTTATTCTTCTTCTGTCCTGCCTTGTAATGCTGCTTTTATTCTTACATATTTACTTGGTTGCTAACAGCGAATTGAAAATTTTGATATCGAGTTGTTATTTCCATTTCTTCTTTCAAGATTAGCTAGTTCCTTTTAAGGATCCAAATCCTCCAAAACCTAGACTGATAACCCTGACTTGCTTACTGGTGAATAAAGCAAATTCCGTGCAACGATTTGTACTCCTGTTTGTCCAAATGTGGACTGTGATTGTTAGTTGCATAATTTGGTCAATTATAGCCGTATTTTCCCATTGAACTCTGCAAGCCCCTTGTTCTTTTTATTCTGATATCTTTATGTTTTCAATGTGCTCTGATGTCTGCACACAAGGATTTTTGTAGGTCATGAATACTCGTTCCTTTGAGATTATCTGGTCACATCGAAATGCATGCTTTGCTTGTTCTTCCAATGCTGGCTACTTAAACTTCCAAGTGATACAACTGCTAAGGATGTTGCCACTCTGTTCTCATGTTGCAGTACCTATGGCGAACCCATCCCTGTCAAAGAGCTTGCTGAACGTGTTGCTAGCTACGTGCACTTATGTACCCTCTATTGGTGGCTTAGGTAATTACTGATCTTTTGGTTCTCTATATTTGGATGTACTTTGTATGTTGTTTCCTTGGAAGTGCTTCGTACGAGTAGGAAAGTGAAAATGCTCTCATGTGCATTTTTTTGCGTTGCAGACCCTTTGGCTGTGGTGTCATTCTTGGTGGTTATGACAGAGATGGTCCACAGTTGTACATGATTGAACCCTCGGGAATCTCTTATGTGAGTTAACTTTTCTTACTTGTTTGGAATTGCTTTCCTTATAACCTTTTTATAAAAGCTTCACTGTTGATATTGCTTGGACTCCATAATCTGCATCTGTTTGGAGCTTAAAGTAATTCTGATTCTCGATTCTCGGTCTTCTCTGCCGTATCGTTTTAGAACTTAATATCTTGCCTCATCGATCATTATGTAGAGATATTTTGGTGCTGCAATTGGAAAGGGCAAGCAGGCTGCGAAAACGTAAGCCTTTTTTCTTTTTGCAATTCACTAGTTAGCATGATGCATTGTATTGATCATTACTCCAATAGAAGGTGCCATGTACAAAATGGTTCTGTAATTTGATTCACCTGCTAATGATGCAATATATGGTGCAGAGAAATCGAGAAGCTGAAGCTTTCAGAAATGACATGCCGCGAAGGAGTTCTTGAAGTAGCCAAAATGTGAGTGTGTTTTTGCCTTGAGTTCATGTAGTGGACTTCTTTGAGGGAGGTTATACTCTTTTGCTGATGACTCAAGTCTCAATACCTTCTAGCGTTTCCAGCCTCAGTGGATCTTTGTTTCCGTTATTAATACTCTTTCGATATCTGCCGACACCCATTCCCGTCTTCCCTAGATTTGCAAATTTCTTTAGCCCCATCTCTTATCTGAAAAGTAAAGATCGGCAATGTTATTTTATATTATGCAGCATTTACAAAGTTCATGATGAAGCGAAGGATAAGGCCTTCGAACTCGAACTGAGCTGGGTTTGTGATGAGTCAAACAGATTGCACCAGAAGGTATTTATCGTCCTAGACTCTTCGTGCTCATGAATCCTAACTTTTTTGCCGAGCTTCTCTATCTCTTCAATTATGAGTGATGAAGAAACGTTAGTGTATAGACTAAATTGCTTGATAGCATATGAATCTAAAGACAGAAAGGAAATACATGGTTGTATTTGTCCTGTGTCGTTGCTGCTGACATATGCTTGTATGTGATGTCAATGGTTTTACTTTGTTTCACAGGTTCCCGTTGAACTACTAGAGGAGGCGAAGTCTGCTGCAAGGACGGCACTCGAAGAAATGGATGCTGATTAGACACCCATTAACGTCGCGACTGAAGGATCATTAGGAAATTAATCTGAGCACCCGAATCGTCTATCTCTCCAGAATCATTCCATCCCGATTTCCCTTGTCGAAAAGCATCTGAACTTCTTTTGTTGCCTCCTGTGGCAGTCAGTCCATTTAAGCTATGTGTATTTTAGTACATGACCTGCCAACTTTTCACTTGATCCTTTCTTCCTCAGCAACTTGAAATTTAGTGAAACACTGTGGCTGCTTCTTTGAAAGGAATGAATCCCATGTAAGAGTGGGATCTTACTCTCTTGGATCATCATCACTTTGAAATAGTTTAACAGCTTGCATTTCGAGAGCCCTTTCATAGTTGCATCAACTGTACCAGTCTCCTTTCAGGTGGAACGATGAACTTCGAGATCCACGAAATGCCTTTCTCCTATTTGAACACAATGTTTACGACGAGTGTCTATGCTTACTGCTTTTTGGGGGGCGGAGCCAAAGGCTCGTTATCCATACTCGACATACGATGCAATGTGTGCGACGTGTTGTGAATACACATACGAGCCAATCTGCTAGACAAGTCTCGAGTTATATCGGCTTTGCTTCCAGACTTCGTCGATCTTGATCATGTGGCCATATTAGGTCACATGGTCTTCTTCTAGTAACTTTTTTTTTTTTGAAATGAGGGAGGCGGAAAGCCAAGGATTACAAAGGGCAATCAACAAGAGATAACAAGGAGGAAGACAAGACCAAACAAGAAGGAAGTAACCATCTGAAAGACCCTATCTCAATCCGTATTCTGAATAACCCTCCTGGGAAAGCTCACTCCCAAGATATCCTCAACAAGAATCCTTCCTAACTCGCTTGGCGGTTCTACTAGTTCATGCGTACCGAAGGGATAGACGAGACTGTGCTTCGAGAGCCAGTCCGCGGCTCTATTCCCTTCTCTGTACGTATGAACCAGTTGCACCACCCAATCTTGAGCTAGAAGTCGTCTAATGGCTGCCAGAATCGTTGAGTGCGGATGAACTGGGTCGTCCCTCGCCCTTATCAAATCTACAGCAATCTTCGAATCTGTCTCTAAGATGAGGAATTGGACTTCCTGATTCCGAGCCATGGTCAATCCTTGATGAATACCCCACAATTCCGCGAGAATCGCAGAACCAGTGCCGATTTTGCAAGCAAAACCTCCTAGCCAGTCCCCATTGCTGTCTCTTAGTAAACCCCCTGCTGTAGCTAGTCCTGTGATGTCCTGCGCAGCACCATCTGTATTCACCTTAATCCAGCCATTTGATGGAGCTGTCCACCCAACCAATTGATCGACCCTCTCAGGTTTGCTGTTAACTTGCATCTGTAGGTCTGCTCTTTCCCAAGCCTGAAGCCAATCCCTTGCTTTTGTTCGGACGTAATTGATGAACGATGATTCAGCCAGCCTTTTTCCCTGAAAAATAAAGTCATTCCTGTACTTCCAAATATACCAACACACAAGAGAAAACAGGCTAGGCCAATGATCCTGATCTCCTTCATTATCCACCCCCTTTAAGTTTTTGTGAAACCATTCACCATGGCTGCTGGCGAAGAAAAATTGCTGCTTCTGAGCAGGAACCAAACCCTCCCAGATCTTCCTAGCTGCTGGGCAATCTCGAAGGCAGTGTATGTTTGTTTCTATGGCATTGTCGCAAATGGGGCACTTATCTTCGTTGGTTAGATGACGAAGCTTGCGCTGGCTGTTGGTTGAAAGCTTCTCCTTGGCTGCCAACCAGACAAAGAACCTTACCCTTTCCTGACAATGCAATTTCCAAATCCGCCGCCAAGTGCTTGAGATGGGCTGGTTGGGTTCTGGGCTGTTTGCTTCGAAGGCTGATCTTGCACTGAAAAGACCATTGGCGGTGAGCTTCCAGAACAAGGAGTCGCTGTTGTTTGATAAGGGATCCACCAGGGTGGCTCGGATTCTATCAATGACGTCCAGAGGAAGGTAATCTTCCCAATCTTCGAACCTCCAGCCATAATCTGCCTCCCAATAATCTGCTACAACTCTGTTTCTTTCCTCCATCGGGACTTCCTGCGTGGTAACTTCTAACAGTGGAACCTGCAAAATCCAGACATCAGTCCAAAACTTGGTTAGCCTTCCATTTTTAACATTAAGTGCTGCCCCTTTGCGCAGAAGATTAACAGTTTGTGAAAAACTGTTCCAGGCGCAAGAACTTCCCTTTCTTTTATTGAGAAGTTGGAGTCCCTGCCTGTTCCCTCCGTATTTGCCTCGCATTACTTTCGCCCATAAAGTCTCGACGTCGGTAACTATCTTCCATGCTCCTTTAGCAAGCATTGCTTGGTTAGCCAGTCTTGTTGGTCTGATTCCTACTCCTCCTTGATCCTTCGGTAGAGTGAGATGTTCCCACGCAATAGGGTGGAATTTTGGTTTACCCTCCTCCTCTCCCCAGATAAATTGGCGATTGATCCTGTCCAGAGTTTTACAAATAGAAGCAGGTAGTTTCTCTGTAAACATTGGGTAAATTGCCATGGAAGAGCTTACCGACTTAACCAAAGTAATGCGAGCAGCTACTGAAAGATGGTTGGCTTTCCAAGCAGCTAGCTTGCGCTGGATTCGAAGGATAAGCTGCTGGTATCTTTCCTTGGTAATTCTGCCGTTAATGGCTGAGATCCCCAAGTATCGACCCAGGTCGTTAGTGAGGTTGATTCCCGCTCTTACACTCAACCTCTGGGCTTTGTCTCTTTGAACGTTAGGAGAAACAAACATTGTCGATTTGTGAAGGTTGACTCTCTGTCCGGAGCTTGAGCAAAAGTCTTCTAAGCACGCGCGGATGATATCAACCTGTCCGCTCTCCGCCTCTGCAAACAAGATCAAATCATCAGCAAAAAAGAGGTGGGAAAGTTTTGGTCCATCCTTAGTAAGAGGAATTGGCTTCCAAAGCTTTGCTTCCACCTCCTGTTCAATACGATGAGCTAATCTTTCCATACATAGCACGAATAAGAAAGAGGACAAGGGATCTCCCTGGCGAACTCCTCGAGATGGTTTGATGGAAGAGGTGAGTTCTCCATTCCAGTTGATTTTCATTTGGTTTTTCTCCACGCAGGTCATGATTCTGCTGATCCAAGAGCTGGGGAGTCCAATTTCTCTAAGAGTGTCCCGAAGAAAGTTCCAACTGAGGCGATCATAAGCTTTTTCAAGATCTATCTTGATCACCATTCCTCCCTTTTTCCCTTTCCTACTTCTAAGCGAGTGGAGGGTCTCTTGCAGCAAGAGAATGTTATCATTAGTCTGCCTCCCTCTAATGAAACCGCTCTGAGTAGGAGACACCAACTTTGGCATAACCGGCTTCAGTCTGTTGGCTATAGCCTTAGTGATAGCCTTCAGGGCTACGTTATTAAGACTGATAGGTCTGAACTGAGCTGGGGTTTCAGGATGATCCACCTTGGGAATGAGCACAACAGTAGAATCTGCCAGCTCATCAGGAATGTTACCTGTTTCGAGAAAGTGGATAGCCATTTCAGTGAGATTTTTGCCTACAAGTGGCCAAAATTTTTGGTAGAAGACCGCTTGAAAACCATCTGGACCTGGAGCAGACATCGGCTTCATCTCAAAAATGGCCTTATGGAAATCTGAAATGTGGAAGGGGCGAAGGAGATTCATCAGTTCCTCTTGCTGAATGCGAGGAAACTTGCCCTGCGGCATTAAATCTTCATAATCGCCCTCTTCTTGAGTGTATAACAATCTGTAGAAATCGACCACCATATCACGAAGGGTTTCTTGATTATCGATCCAATCCCCATTGTCATTTCGAAGAGCAAGAATCTTATTCCTTCTTCTTCTTCGAGTAGCTTGCTGATGGAAGAAGGAGGTATTCTGCTCCCCGAGCTTCACCCACTTTTCATTTGCTCTTTGGAACCAAAAGACTTCCTCTTGGGCTAAAATCAGGTCCAGCTCTTTCTCTAATTTAACCTGAAGTTTAAGCAGCCCAGGATTGAAAGAATTGGCAAGCCTTTCTGTGATTCCCTGAAGCCTAGCAATCAAACGCTTCTTCTGTCGAAAGGTTGACCCAAAAACATCCCTTTGCCACTGTTGAAGCTTGCCTGTCATGTCCTTGAGGGAGCTGGTCAGCGTAGCTTCCTTAACCCAACTTTCGTCAATGAAGTCCCTGAACTGAGGATGAAGAAGCCAGGCAGCTTCGAAACGAAAGGCCCTTGAATTATTAGCATTCGCCTGAAGCCCAGTATAGCTTGTTAGGATGGGGAGGTGATCCGAGTGAAGCTTTGAAAGGTGCTGGACTACAGTGTATGGGAAGATGTGGTTCCATTCGTCATTGCACAAGGTCCTGTCAATGCGGCTGGCTTTGCGAGTCGCCACCGAGTCCCCCCGGTACCATGTGAAACGAGGACCTGAAAACCCGAGATCAAGAAGAAGAGCTTCGTTCAGCCAGTTCGCAAATCTCTGACATCTTCTAAGATCTTGAGCCGAGCTAGCCCCATGTTTTTCATCTGGCGAGTAGATAGCGTTGAAGTCTCCCGTGACCACCCAAGGGAGATTCCAAGTTTTGCTGGATTGGATGAGTTGTTGCCAAAGAAGGGAGTGATACTTGTACTTTGGGCTGCCGTAAATTCCTGTCAAAAGCCAATCAGGGTGATTTGTCTTCGAGACCTTGACGGTGAGGTGCTGCTGACTGGCATCAATGGGAGTGACTATAAAATCGTTTGATTTCCAAGCCAGCCAAATTCCCCCTGATCTGCCCATAGCATCAACCCGGATAACTTCATCGAACCCCAATTTTCCGCAGACTGTGTTAGCTCGATCACCGCTAATCTGGGGTTCCAGCAATATCAAGAAGTCGGGTTTATGAATGTCTTTGAGCAATCGAATAGCTCTAATGAATTTCCTTCCACCTGCACCACAAACGTTCCAGGATAAAATTTTTAAGTTAGATTGATACATCATAAACACAATTTGAAGAGAGAAAAGGGGGAAAGGAGAAGAGAGCTCAGTTGGAGCAAGGAGTCTCAATAGAAGCGTTTCCAGGGGGTTCCCCTTCCTCTTCCCGAGTCTGAATCTCGTTTGCCCTACTGAGGAGGCATTCTTGCATCGGAATGTCATCCGCCTTCCCCTCGTTCTGGGCATTAGTACCCTTCTTCCGTCGCTGAACTGGCACACAGAAATCCTCTATGGATTTGAGCGAGATTGGAAGGGAGGATGGAATTTGTTTAGCTAAGCTCTCCTTCATCTTGGGACTAAGGATTTGGAGAGGCTTCTTAGTAGCTTTGAGGTTAACACCCTTGGATTGAGGGGCATGCTCTGGTTTTTTCCTGTGGTAGTGGTTTCGAATGGTGGAATCTCCCTGCTTGTTGGGGTTGACATTTTCCTTCTGTTCGAGATTAAGATCAGGCACTTCCACGATTTGTATCTTGGTGTTGTTTGGGCCATTAAGAACTTGTCTTAATTGTAACGTGGGCTGGTGGGAAGATGTCAGCGTGGTGTCTATTTCCACTTTTTTGGGCTCCTTGCTAGTGGAGGCCTCCTTGGTGTGAGGCCCAATAGGTCTCCATTCCTTTGTTATAGCTGTTGTTTTACCCTCGCCGATCGCCTTCTTACCATCCACTGTTTTCCCCAAATGACTCCCCTGATTCCCCTGTTGATCCGACTTTCCCTTAGTGCCTCCGTTACCGTTGAGTTGCTCCAAACTTTGCTTTCCTTTTGTGATACCACCATCTCGGAGCGATTCCTGTTTCTTCCCTTTCGCGGTTCCCGAGATTGTCGCCTGATTAGCAGCCATTTTCCTGTTCTGACGACGAGCTTTGCGGACGTCTTCTTCTAGTAACTTGGGGCTATAGAATAGATCATCCCAAGAGTTAATTATTATGTAATTAGTATTTGTATTCTTTTCAAAACTTATTTCAATATTTCATTAAGTTTTAAATTGGGTGATAAATTCCTCTTAATATAATAATAATTATTATTATCAAATCAAAGGGAAATTAACCCCACCGAAACGACAAGCTAATAGACGAAGCGAACCCCAAAACGCAACCGGTAAAGTAGGCCGAAGCCCAAAGGGAGTTTTTTTCTTCTTCCTCTCTTCCGTAATTGTTTTTTATTTATTAGAGTGGGGGAGGGGTTAGCTGACTGTAAGTTCGCCCTAGTCCGTGGTGAACGGAAGCACAATCCCGAAGAGAAACTTCAGGCCGGTGGAAGTTGAACTTCGGCGCTCTCTTTCCGGCAGCTTCTGAAGGGGCCGTGGTTCCTTAGATTCGTTCCCGCAACGGAAAGTACACAAAGACCTACGGTTTAACTCTCTCGATCATGGGTTCAGGTGAGTTTCATACGCTCTTTTCCGGCGTAGTTGTCTAGGGCTTTCGAACGCGACTCGGATATGTCGTATGTCGGATTGTTTCTACTTCTGGGATCGACGGTGGAGAAGTTATCTTAATTGGGGGTTTCGCTGTTGGTATTCGTGTTCGTTTTCAGATGCAGATATGGAAGATTACGGGTTCGAGTACTCGGACGAGGAGCCTGAGGAACAAGATGTTGATATCGAGAACCAGTACTATAATTCCAAAGGTTTTTATTTTCTGACCCTTTGTTTGTGTTAAGTGCTGTGGCTAAGGGGTTTTGTTCATAGTAAAAGTTGCATTCTGAGGTCTTGACCTTATGGAGGGCTCGTGAGGGTATTTTGATAGCTTGACTGTTGGATGGAGACTTGGGTTTACAACTGCAGTTTGTGTGGAACTTGTTGAGGAACATCGCAGTGGATTTTGTTGATCTTTTAGGTTGGGAATGAGCTTGAGGTGAGGATGGGTAGAACTGTAGAAGAGTCTTCTGGTGATGAAGTCTGTAACCCAATATAAAATTGTGTGTGAACTTGAAATTGGAAGCTACGATCGCCATTTAGTTTACGCACTCAGATTTAGATACAAGCATTAGTTTCCCCTGGACTGTCGTGAATGAGAAGTTGTGTCTTTATCTATCTGGAGTTTCTCCTGTTATCCTTTGGTTTTACTAGGGTTTTCAGCTTTCTGTATATTTGTCTTCCTTAACTGCGTCTTTGTTTTGTCATGGTTGTATGCATGTCTGTTCTCATAGAAAACCTTGTTGCTCAACTCTCTCTAAGAGTCCATTAACTCTTCAAGCGATTTTTAGTTATACCCTATCTAGAACTGTTTCTCATCCGGTTTCCTTAATCTTTGAATTTGTGAAAAAGGTCTGGTTGAGTCGGATGCCCAAGAAGCACTCTCTGGATTCGCAGAAGTAGTCCGCATGGAACCAGAAAAGGCCGAGTGGTAATTCCGTCATTGTTATCTATAGTTAATTTTGTTGCATACTGAGCTTTCAGCTCACTTATCTCTTTTAACTACTCTTGTTGTTTCAAATTTAGAAGCTAAGACTACCAAAATTATAATTGAAGGCCCTTGTACCAAATACATCTGTCTTGGGCGAGCATACCTGTTAACCATGAATGTGGTGGTTTAGTTCTTTAATATCAATGAATAATGTGTTATGCCAATATAGTGACAAGGCATTGCTATAGAAGAACATCATTTACTGGACGAACAATTGTTTGGTTGTTTTCAGAATCATTGTGACAACTGGGTGGGTTTTTGCAAATCCAGTGCTATGTTTGTTTAGGATGATAAGGTCGTTCTTAGGTGTTATCTTTCAAACTGATTTCCAGTTTGGTCTGACCTGCACCTGTTGTTGTCAAACATTTCATGGCATTATGTTTATATTCAACATGAAATTGCACATGTATTTGTGCTGCTGCATTATACGAGACGTTCAACTGAATGCTTATATGTTTTCTTGGCTCGTAGAATTGAGTTTCCTAATTCATTGACACTTCCATGCAGGGGCTTCAAAGCGCTAAAGCAAACAGTGAAGATTTACCATCGTCTGGGGAGGTATAAAGAGATGATGGATGCTTACAGGGAAATGCTTACATATATTAAATCGGCTGTGACAAGGAATTACAGTGAGAAGTGCATAAACAATATAATGGATTTTGTTTCGGGATCAGCCAACCCGAACTTCAGTCTCTTGCAAGAGTTCTATCAGACAACTTTGAAGGCCCTTGAAGAGGCAAAAAATGAGGTAGTAGTCTTTATAATTGCTATTTCCTTGATGATAGCAGGATGCTAATGCTAATGCTAATGTGGTGCCCCTGTCACAGAGACTGTGGTTCAAGACAAACCTTAAACTTTGCAAGATTTGGTTTGATATGGGTGAATATGGTCGGATGAGTAAGGTAAGTCGTGTATTCTTGGCATTCCTTTTACGCGAGGTGCACTGTTAATCACCTGATCATGCTGTTTGCGTGATCAGATCTTGAAGGAGCTCCATAAATCTTGCCAAAAGGAAGATGGTACAGATGACCAGAAGAAGGGCAGCCAGCTTCTTGAGGTCTATGCAGTGGAGATACAAATGTATACAGAGACAAAGAACAACAAGAAGCTCAAGGTATCCACAAAGTAGCATTCTCCTTTAGTTGGACTCAGTAATATTTATGATGCATACAGTTACTGCTGTACTAGAGCATGCCACAATTTTTTCCATTGCTGTGTTTCCCAACTGCAATGTACTCACAAAACCATGAAAAATTCTTAAATTAACACAACCTCTATAATTGCTTTTACTTCAGTGTCAATGATGCTCTAGAAAGGGATACTTTTCATCAGATCCCTTACGAGTAGACAGACAGTTTTCTGGATGTAGCAAGTTGATGATTGTAGATAACTTATCCAATTGGTGCACACTTGACTTATTTGTTTTGTCTGACTCCAATTTCCAGCAATTATACCAAAAAGCACTTGCAATAAAGTCAGCTATTCCACATCCACGAATTATGGGAATAATTCGAGAGTGCGGTGGGAAGATGCACATGGCAGAGCGTCAGTGGGCTGAAGCGGCAACAGATTTCTTTGAAGCTTTTAAGAACTATGACGAAGCTGGAACTCAAAGACGCATACAATGTCTAAAGTATGTTTTCTTATTCTCCTTAGTATGTGTTTCCTGGCTAACCGTGTGTGAAGTTAAGTTGAGTTTTGCATTTCACCAAGCATTGCAGTCGAATAGGACTTCTATTAGCAACTAGATATTAATAGTTAATAGTGAAAGGCCGGCTTCTCCACTTTATATATTTGGAATAACTCTTAAAGTTTGAAGGATATCTAGTAATTAGGATATTCAAGCCCCTGCACTTACAGAGATATGTCTATGGAACAAAATGTTATTTTCTTCTGTAAGATCCATCAGCTTTCAAGAACTATGATGAAGTTGGAAGTAAATGGCATCCATATGTTCTCCAGTTCTCTGTGTCCTCGAATGGAATGTTGCATTTCCTGTATGATCTTGATTGGCAATTTTAAGTCGTGATTGCACAGCTGGTGGCCTGGTGCCATACTAGGTAGGGCTAGGAAGCATTTTTACTTCTTTGATTGTGTAAGGATAGAAGTAGAAGGTGTAAATTGGGAGAGAACTGGCTTGGTATATCAGAGCACAAGTGGAAGGAATTCTACTTGATAGCTCCTGAATGATACAGGGTCCTGGCTTGTGATTATTTTATGTAACACAATGTCGTTGTATTTGCTATCTCTATACCTAACTGGACCCTGGTTTTTGGAAGAAGGATTTTGTCGTGTTTCTACTTTCTATTGCCATCCATGGACCATGGTAGATCATGTTTGTTCATTTGAAGGCAATTTACGTTGGTAATTGTGCTGTAACTGACAGATACCTGGTCCTTGCCAATATGCTGATGGAGTCTGAAGTTAATCCGTTCGATGGTCAAGAGGCAAAGCCGTAAGTGGACGCAAGAGATGCTTTTAAATATTTTCTTCTGTTTCTCTCTCACTCTCTTACTCATTATTCCGTTACTGCTTCCCAGATATAAAAATGATCCAGAGATCCTCGCAATGACCAACCTTGTTGCAGCATACCAGCGGAATGAGATTCTGGAGTTTGAGAAGATCCTTAAGGTAAATCATAATGATTGTTGTGCAGATTACTGTCCAACCAGCTGGCTGTTTGTTTCTAGTTTCACCCTAAAGTCACTTGATTTATTTGTTTATTTCAGAGCAACAGGAAAACGATAATGGATGATCCCTTCATTAGAAACTACATTGAAGATTTACTGAAGAATGTCAGGACTCAAGTGCTACTCAAGCTGATTAAACCTTATACAAGAATCCGCATACCTTTCATCTCAAAGGTGAAGCGCACAGTTGTCTTCATCCACTTGTGAACTTAGAACTAGAAAGATGGTTCATTTTGAGTCGAGCATTCGTCTAAAGTTGGCTAAACTGCTTGTTGGAACTGTAGGAACTCAACGTGCCAGAAAAGGATGTGGAACAGCTTTTGGTGTCGCTCATACTTGACAATCGCATCGATGGGCACATTGACCAGGTCAATCGGCTGTTAGAACGTGGTGACAGGTACATACCTCACTGCATGCCTTTTTTTTAGTTTGATAATTCACACTGTTCTTACATTATAGCTTGGTAATCAAATGCAGGTCAAAGGGAATGAAGAAGTACACTGCAGTCGAGAAGTGGAACACGCAGCTTCGATCTCTTTATCAGACTGTCAGCAATCGTGTTGCTTGATTCATTGGTGGGAGTTTTTCTGGTGAACACAATCCAAGTTTAGTCTATAGATGTTTGAGGCAAAGCTATATGGCGAGGAAGAAGAAGGCTGGGAAAAAAAAAACGTTTTAGTGGTAATTGGATTGAGAAGTTATACTTCCAAATGATAGCGATCAATCCCTTTTTGCAGAAAAAAACCAAGCAGCATAAGGATGTACAAATTTCATTGTGTACTGAACTACTGATGGTTTTGAGTTTAACATTATGAAAACATATCAGGGTCTCCGTCGTGAACTGATAGAAGCTTTATGGGTTTCTCTATTTTGTGCAATTAGCCAAGTTTGTTGGTTGTTGTTATGTTTCCCTATGTTTTCAATACCTTTCCTTTAAGAGCACAAGACTCCCAAACTATCTTCAATGACACCAAATCATTGTCACTTGAGGTTGTGTACATTGTTTGGATTCGCTTTTCGATTTAAGAGTTTTGGTGTTCAACTTACCTACAACACATTTCTTGCTGAGAAAGGATGAAGTTGAGAGAGGATATAGAATATGCTCGATCGAATGTTTAGAACATACTCGACTGATAGGAACCATGTTCTCATACAGATCATATGAGGAGCGTTTTGTGTGAATCTTCTACTTTAATAACCCGGGTAAAAAAAAGATCATCAATTTTGTGTGCATCACCTAACCCAAGTTCAGAGGTGTTCAGTTTTGGTATATATAAATAAAGCGGTAAAGGAGACTCCAAAGGTACACACAAAAGATCAAAAGCTCATCTCTCCATTTGCCTTCCCTCTTCGGATATACCTACTATTTAGTGCTTGCATTTTGCCAGCAGTCATTTTTCTTTCAGTTCCCCCCACAACGAGCATATACCCAGATCGTATCATTTTTCTTATTTTCTTCTTCTTCATGATCATACTCTCATATGTTTGCTTGGAGCAATAGACCCGTCTTCTGGGTCTATGAATGGAACAATCATGGGTGTGTTTCAGGGCAACAACGGAAAGATAATTACTATGTGCTAGCTATCCAATGGCCCGGCACCAAGTGCAGAGATCCATATTCGCCACCATGCTACAACCTCTATCCGGCCGATTTAACCATTCACGGCTTTTGGTCGGTCAACTACAGCGGGGCTGTCGATCCACAAAAAACACATGCACTCTTTGCCTCTACCCGTGTTTTCATCGCAGCTTGATGTTTCTTCTACAACCTCTATCCGGCCGATTTAACCATTCACGACTTTTGGCCGGTTAACTACAGCGGGGCTGTCATTCCACAAAAAACACATGCACTCTTTGCCTCTACCCGTGTTTTCATCGCAGCTTGATGTTTCTTTTTGCTATTTGTTTAAACTCTATTCTCAATGACCTTTACCAAAAACACCAAATCCTCTTCTTCTTTTATTTTCATTTTTATGAGTCACCTACTGCATTGCAATAGGTTCGTTATTGTGTGAAATGTGAATCGCCTACTAATAACCTGGGAAAAAAAGATCAATGATAATTTCATGTATTGATATGACAAAAAACTCATGTTTATGCTCAGAGGTGGTCAAATCATGAAAGTTCAAGAGACAAATCAACCTTCTTTCCTAGAATTTTCTTGCCGTACTGTTATTGGATGGTTAAAGATACTACAAATTTTAAACCAAAAAAATAATATAAGTAGTGCTTGTATGAACTATATATACCTTAACTTACAACACATACTGTATTTTACTACGAATCAACTAACCATACTAGCTATGAAGTTTATTTTTTCTAATGATTTGTCAGCACGTTGGCGTAGCTAGAGAGTAAGAAGGGGTGCCATTAACCCCTTGATTTGGAGAAACACACCAAAATTAGTAGTATTAATATGCAAATGATGAAATGCGAACCCCAAATTTTAATGTTATTGTCAAATTTTAGGGACGGGATACAATAACAACAGTCAATGCGTTGTTATAATAACAACAGGGGTAAAAGGGTCACATTGACCCAAATTAATAAAATAAAAATTAAATTAATCCACTTTCTCGGCTTATGCGCTCTCTTCCTCTCCAAAAAAAAAAATTGCTCCCAGTCCAAAATCTATATTTCATTCTCCGGTGACGGTTGTCTTTCTCCTTAAAGACAAAATCTCGGTCTCTTCTCTTTCGCCGACGGGATGGCAGAGACCAACTCGCTTTGATCCTTCCTCCTCCCATCGCCATTCTTCCTCAACACAAGAGACGACGACAGACTCTGAGAAAATTGGTCTGGTCATCGAGGATATCGAGACTAGAGGGACTCCTCCCAGATCGGCGATTCTTGCTCCCCTGCTGCTCTGCCCCAACTCGTTTCTCTCCGACGTCCTACAACTTCGTCGATCTTTTCCCCTCCTAGAGCTTCACAACCATGGCAGCATCGGCTGCGGATGACTTCGTTGAGATTCGCTGCTGCCCCGCTGCAACTCGTTTTTCCCCGGTTCTAAATCTCATGCGACTCCACCGCTCTTCCCCCTCCTAGAGATTCGCGAACATGGCGATGGCTGCGGACGACTTTGTCAAGGGATTATTCATTCTGAAGGCCTTGTTGTCATCGCACGCGATCGTTCCCAAGCTCTCCATACCATGAACTTAGTGCTCCGATTGCTTTTCTCTTTCGTCACTTTCATTCATTAGTACTTCTCCGGTCCAATTGTTAATTCTTTATATGAATTGAGTGGACAATGGAGAGTTTAATTGATATGATTTCAATAGCTTGTTATGTCGATTTGTAATTGTTTAGCTCCAGGAGAAGAGTTATTTGTCAAGTTTGTTTCCAATTTGTTTCTGATAAATCAAACCACACATAAATTATAAACATACCAAAACCTTGTAAGGTAAACCATAAATCTTCTGAAACATACCACAAACACCATAAAACACACCACAAATGTTTCTAAAGCATACCAGAAATCTCATAATGCAAACTACAAATCGCCTAAAACATACTAGAAATACCACAAAGCAAACTACAAATATTTCAAAAGCACACCATAAACCTCCTAATGTAGCGCACAAACACGGTAAAACAAACCACAAAACGCATACCAGAAACCTCATAATGCAAACCAAAAATCCCCTAAAACATACCAGAAACCCCACAATGCACACCACAAATATTTCGAAAGCACACCAAAAACATCATAATGCAAACCACAAACACGGTAAAGCAAACCACACTAAAGCAAACCATAAACGTCCTGATGCAAACCACAAATCTATTAAAACAAACCAGAAATCCCACAAAGCAAACCACAATTTTTTTTAAAGCACACCAGAAACTTCTTAATGCAAACCAGAAACTTCCTAATGCAAACCACAAATCTCCTAAAACAAACTAGAAACCCCACAATGCAAACCACAACATTTGCGAAAGCACACCAGAAACCTCCAAATGCAAACCACAAACATAGTAAATCAAACCACAAAAAAACAAACCATAAATGTCCTAATGCAAACCGCAAATATATTAAAACAAACCAGAAACCTCACAATGCATACCACAAAGTTTTTGAAAGCAAACCAGAAACTTCTCAATGCAAACCACAAACACGATAAAGCAAACCAGAAACATCTTAATGCAAACCACAAACACGATAAAGCAAACCACAAAAGGCATACGAAAATATGAGAAACCAAACCATAAATCTCACAATGTAGACCATACATCCGGTGGTCGTTGACCGTTGACCGGTCAACGAAGTTCGTTGACCGAACTCCGGTGACCGTCAGTGAGCATATTCCGACGCTGATAGGCATATTTCGGCCCCAATGACTAGATTCCGACGCCGGTAAGCATATTCCGACGACGGTAAGCATATTCCGACACAGGTAAGCATATTCCGGCGACAAATAGCATATTCCGGCGACAAAAAGCATATTCCGGTGACCGGCGACCATTTTCCGGCGACCGGTGGCAGAATTCCGGCGGCCAAATTTTTGGCAAAAAATAAAAAAATATTTTTTATTTTTTTTATTTTTTATTTTTAACAGATTTTTCATAATGACAATTATACCCCTGCTTTGAATTTACACTAGGTCAACTCATCTAATAAAAAGTCATCACAATCCTAGCTTCCTATTGGTTGGAGACTAGTGTTGTTACAATAACAACACAAGGAGTGTTGTCATAGTAACCGGTCCCCAAATTTTACTATTCAACCACATTCAATTATATAAATTAATTTTATCTACTAATAATTTCAACATTAATACACGCCAGTTATCAAAATGGATAGGAGGGTGCAGATTATTAGTGAAAATCATTAACTTTCGATGATAATAACAGTCGGAAGAGAAAATTGATTCCTATCGATGTATTTGCTTGTACAATTAGGTTTAGTTTGCTAATACTTTTTGTCAATAAACGTGTTGATATAAAATTTCTTCAATAAAACATGAGATCGCATCATGGATAATTGTTCAAAGATTATTTTAATGCACCCCATTAAATAAAATTCTGACTACCCTACTGAACATATAAACTCCATCTTTTCAAGGTTCAATCGTAGTATAAAAATTTGACGCGCATATCACATCTCGAGTTTCAATCTTGAAGCCAACAATCATCTGAAAATTTGGACATTCACACCGTCCAATAATTTGTATTTTCACCTTCTCTGAAATTACATCCCATGTTCAAAGAGCAATGTGATACATGCTTTGCTTATGAATCGTTGATTGTGAAATGTGAACAAATGGTTGGTGACATCATATTAAAAAAAAAAAAAAGAAGAAGCTAGGGTCGGCTTAATATCAAATGAAAGGTCGTCAATTAAGGTGGTGATGGTGGCGGCGGCTATATATATATATATTACTTTATGCATATTATTTTTATTAATGAATGCACGTGGGATACGAGTTAAATTACGTTTTCATTATTCTCGACTAACCTAATTAACATAGAGGTAATTTATTAAAAAAAATTACATTCACACACAGTCAATAAACCAAATGAGCCAGTATATAATTCACGTGGACAAGTGGAGGATATAGTAAATGTAAAATACTAAATTAGTACAATGTACACAATGCATGCAAGGCGTCGTCGTTGAATCAGCAGCCACGTATTATATTGTTGGACTAATAATTACAAGATAATTGATATTTAAATTCGCAATCATTAACTGAAGACTCCAAGCGAATAATTAATTGTATTTTGTTTAGTTGATTAATATTCACATGGGTCGTTGCTCCAATCGACGGTACGAAAATTGAACATTGTCAAGGTTACAACTTACATACCTTCAACAATGATTGCAGCAACGGTGGTCTCAACTCTCAACAACTCGATTTGTTGAAAAATGTCCGTGTATGAATATTATTATTTGAGTGGTTTTCATAGGTGGACGGGGTTCGTATGGTGGAATATAGCATATACGAAATATGGTCTCCAAATGAGCTACTTACGTAGCAAATCATGCATACATAGGTATGTTTGGCCCGACTTTTATAAGTGTTTTTTATAGGGATGACAATGGGTCGGGCAGTTTGGTTTTTACCCATACCCATACCCATATAAGAAACAAGTAGAAAATTTAAACCGTGCCCATACTCGTTCGGGTTTCGGGTATTCAAAGTTATCCATGGGTAATAGTTTCTTTTTATAACTCCAACCAAAATGTTAATATTCACACGTATTCTCACGTTACGTAAGATGAAAAGTACGACAATAATTCACTGGAATGAAGAAAATTAATTTAAACAACACAATTTCATAAAAATTTTATATTTATATGCTAAATAAAAAATATGTTAGTGAAACATATTAATTATTTCTAGACAAAATACATATGCATGTGTATAATCGGGCGGGTTCGGGTTGGATAGTGAGAAAATCATGCCCAGCCATTACCCACAATATTCGGATTCGGGTTTTACCCGTACTCACTAAAAGTCCTTCGGGTTCGGGTTTTACTCTACCCGATTAGGTCGGATTTGGGTGGATATCCACGGTTATAGATATTTTTGCCATCCCTACTTTTTAAGTTCAAAAGCCGAAGCAAGGCCAAACACATCTAAAAGTTCGGATTTTGAATAGCTGAAAAGCGCTTTTGTATAACATAAAAGCAGAAGCTCTGATTTGGAGCTTCTGCGAAAAGCTGTTTTGAAAATGCAAGATTATCCTTATTTTAATTTTATTTCAGAAAATATAATTTTATTTCATTTTAAAAATAACATAAAACATAAAATCATATTATTTAATATAAAAGAAGTATAATAAGATCCATTTTGACTACATTTTATTTTTTAGAATTATTATTCATAATTTATATTATAAGTCCTTTATAGTCATTTTACACAACCTCTCATATTAAATAACACTTTTAATAGTTTTCCAGCCAAATACTCGACTGTTTTTTTTTTGAAAAGTACTTCTCTAAAAGCTCAAGGCAGAAGCTGCTTCTGCAAAAACTACAGCAAGGCCAAACTGAGCCATATATGGTGGAACAGTGCCTACGTGAAGTATGATACTAAAATTTATAGTCTGATTATCCGTCGTCGATTAGTAGGCACGATATTATATCGTATCGGTCCTCCTATATAGTTTGTATCCTTGTCAAGTATGGTGGTACTAGTCTCCCTTGTCTGTTGATTATCTAACACATATCATATTAGTGTAAACCATGTAAACCTATGTATTTCTTACTTTATTTTTTCATGGTCGATTTGTCCTTAATTCCGTCGTAACACAATGCAAGCCAGCAGATATATATCATTGTTAGCTATTGTAACTGGCTAATTTCTCAACTCCTTGCTAGCTTAGAAGTTAGAATCTCACTTCTCATTAGCTATACCTTGACCTTCAACGATATTAATCAAATGACAGTTATTGCAGGTACAGTACAGGTTTCATGTATACATATATCATTCACCCATGTGCTCCCTTTGTCAATTCCGTTCAGTTAATGCAGTCTTAGAGTAGAGATCTATCAAGAACCAGTTGGTACTAATAACTCGAATTGTTGAAAGAGGTTCAATCGTGTATCATATACCGTTTTCTAACAAGATCTGGTGGAGATGAGGCCACATAGCACCGGCCACAAAAAAACAGAGCCATCATACTCTGCTCTATGTCTATGGCGCTATCTTTGTAAAGTTGTTTGTTCTTTTTACCTTAGAGAGAGACTTTGGATTCGTGAGGACAGGGATGAAGTACTGCTGGAGTAATTACTCGATCTTATTGGTCCTAAAAGGTCCAAATGTATGTGTACACTCTCTCTTCGATCTCTTTGGCATTCAATTGCATGGGGGCTCGTGGAGCCTTGTGCAACCACTCCTCAATGTCAATGGCTCAAAGTCATTCATAAGGGCTTGAAGTTTGCACAGGTTTGAAGACAAGAATACCATGTGCTTAACAAATGGGGGTCACCGGGAATCGAACACAAGACCTCTCGGTCACAGCAGACTCTGATCCCATGTCAAGAACCAGTTGCTCCCAATAACTCGAGTTTTGAGAGAGGTTCAATCGTGGATCATATACTATTCACTAACAGTGTTGAGCTCGATTGATCGAACGAATACGTAAAAAGCGTAGCGCGACAAAGTGATGTTTGAAGTTCAGCGTCTGACGTAATGATCGAGTACTAAGATATGGTAGATTGACGAGCATGTTCTTGTGTTTTTTTTTCCTGTCTCGAATCGAGAGATTTATGGGTTTGGATTTCTTTTTTTTTATTCATCATAAAGTTTGTAGTTTGTGTCACTTAATTACGTACCCTAATCTATCCTTATTGGTGAAAACAGAGAGGATAATCGGTGAAAATTCGATGGATTTTAATAATTACAGCACAAGCTCAACCGACATCGTAAAAACGTGATGCAAAGTACCATTTTGGAGCCTCAGATCTAACAAAAATGAGTATGTACGTAGATGAACATGAGTCGACCACTAACAGTTTCTTGTGTGTGTACTAGTGTGATGCAAAGCGATGTCTGAGTCTCTGATCTAACAAAATGAGTCTGTAGACGAACGAGAGCCGACCACTAACAGTTCTTGCGTGTTCTGAATTTTCTTTCTCGATTCGAGAGGTCGATAAATTTAAGAGATCCATATCAACTGGCATTTGATTGCAAGTTGAAGAAGATTAGAAGAATTATTTGAGAGGAGGGTTAAAGATCTTAAAGTTGAAGGTTTGGAAGAAGGATGCCAAAGGAATATTCCTTTTGGGATTAGCTAGCTTTCCCTTTCATCCCCAAAACATCATCATATAATTAGCCACATTCCAACTCCACCTTGACCACATGAAAGAGTAGAAATCTTCACCTTGCTATTGGCTGGCTGGTAATTCTCCTGTCAACTTTCGTCGCCATGTCAAAGAGTACGACTTGCCGTCTCCAAATCTTCATATTGGATCTGTAATTCTATATACAATAAATAATATCACATTTTTAGTAACCAAAAACCAACTAATTTGGAGCCCAACATTTAACATCTTCTGGTATGCGTCTTCTTTGGTTCTTCTCCACATATGGCATCCTATGAAATATGTTAGTTAGGGATAGGGCTGATAAATGGTTAGTCGGTTATTGATGCAAATTGATAATGGTGGTTAGTACGTGGTTAATCGATAACCGATAATTCATTAGTGGTTCAGTTATCGGTTAGTTGATTTTGCTCAGTGATTAACCACTAATCGATTAGTTGGTTGCTAGTATAATTAGACACTTCATTTTGGGTTCTGGCCGGCTAATACGAAAAGTCCTAAGACTCAAAACCAACCAAAGTTGCAATTTCAAACATTCCCGTTCTCACCTATCGCAAACAACCTTCCACCCAAAGTCTCAAATCTCTTCATAGAGTCAGAACAGGAAAGCCACCCCTCTCTCGGCTCTCCTTTTGGTTATTGGTTAACCACTAATCGCCAAATTGAGTAGTGATTAATCGAACCAAACCGACTAGCACCCCCTAGTTCGAGATCCTTTGACCCATTATATATAGGCGAAGGTAGCAATTCTGTATGCATACCAAATCAATTCGAATTGAGCAAATATTTGGAACTAGAATATGATCACAAGATCAATACATAGTTTCATTTCGTTCCGCGTCTCAAAGTTATGATTCCTTTTTCTTTGTATGGATCGATCTTATTGAGTTTTATAGAACCCAATAAAACTAGTATAATTTTGATCGGATTGTGGTCCTCACATTTCCTACCTTTTAATTTTATCTCTAACTTGACAAGATGGACACCCATGTTATTTGTGGTCCTGCTTATTTTCACATATTTGTCATTCATGTTTCATAAACTAAGTTCAATCATATCATACTTTGTGGCTTGTCACTTAATTGAGCAATACCTAGTCATTTGGTATGCTAGGAAGCCTGCTAGGCTGCTACTAATTTCATATATACCAAGAAAGACACACTCATCATACGAAGATGACAAAATATTTATAGGCCACTCGACGATCATTTTGTCTATGTAATATCAATGCCATTTTATCATTAGAAACTACTCGAGATCATGTAACTAGATCGAGCATTGCAAATCTAGGAATACTGATTGGACAGGGGGAACTTGTTTCCATTGTTGAACAAATCTATGTCTGTGAAGGATTAAGATTAGCTCTCGTTGAAGATATACAAAATCCTTTATCTTATCAAGATTCTAATATGACCAAGAATTCTTGTCTGACTTTGGAGTGGGAACACCCTTACCAACATTATCACTTGGAAAATGTTAACCATGGCGTTGTGATTTCAATCCACATCTATCTTTTGATGCACTCATATTTGTTATTGTGGAATGTCAATCTCTCGTGGTGGCCTATGAAGAACAACAACTTGATGAGCTCTTGCTTCCACGTGATTCACCATGTTCATTAGTTGCAAGCAAACCGTCAGCCAGCCGCATTGTACAAGGAGAAAACAATCATTAAAATGCAACTATAATACGAAAAATCGTACCAACAACAATGAATACGAGAGAAAAGGTAGAGATGGAAATGTCGAAGCAGAGTGCAGGCCGTAGACGTTTGTCTGCTTGCTTGCTGTTTGTTGCCTACTCTGCTCTGTAAATGAAAAACAAAACAAAATATCAAAAGGCAAAAAAAAAGGAATGAAATTTTTTCTGTTGTTCACTTGATCCTCTAAAACAGATTTATACCATCATCACCTTCAATTTCACCACTACCCACCATTTCTTCCTCTTCTTCTTCTTCAGCTGCTTCCTTCCCTTCTTTCTTCACCTACTGTACGAATCTCTGCCTTTTCAGCCCATCCAGAGGCCAAACTTCTTTTCCCCACTCTGTTTCTCTGCCCCGCCAAACTCATTACAAGCAACTCAGCAGCACTTCCTTTTTCCCTCGCTGTTCTTATCTGTACGCCCTCTCTATCTCCTTCAATCAACAACCGGGCCTGACCCCGCCTTTTTCCTGTCCAAAGTAATCATCTTTATCTCTAATCATGGCTTCTTCTTCTTCCCCATGTTCATATCTCTAGAGGGTCTGTCCCAATTTCTTAATAATATTATACTAATTCAGGATTCTGTTAAAGGGTTATTAATCAAATGGGCAGTTTATGTTTCCATGTGATGCATACGTGTACAATGGAAGTTGTTCAATTTCAATTTGTTTTTCTAACTCTTTTCCTGTTGACCCTTAATTCAGTTCTCCCCCCTTCTTCTTCTACTGTTGCTTTCAACTTTGTTAACCTTAATTCTTCTAGAGGGTTCGTCTGTTTTCTTCCAATTTTCGGAAGTTTCACTAGTTTCTTTCCAACTTGGTAAGTTGGTTTTGCCATCTGGGTTCTCTGGTCTTATATGTTAAGGTTCTGGGTTTGCCATATTCAATTATGGGTTCTTTGAGTTCTGGGATTAATAAAGAGGTGCTCTTTTTGGATTCCTAGCGAAGGAAGTAATTTGGAGAAGAAAGGGTAGGTATGTTTTAGAAAGTAGCTCCACTTTGGCACTATCCGTAATCCCGTCGTGATTTGCAACTATTTTATGACCACCTTTATGGTGGTTGATTGAAGATGCTGTTGAGTGGAAGAAAAAGAGGATATAAAGCAAATAGAGAGTAGCATCTGGTTCACTACAGTCTGTCTGTCTCTCTCTTGGCTTGAAAAGCTTCTGAATTCCACTGTTGTAGGAGGTGGGCTCATTGGATTTGATCTCCAGCTATTGGATTTAAGGTTTATGAAGCTACTAAATCAGTAGTGCTTTTTCGTTGTTGCCTTTCCTTTTCTCTTTCAGTTTGGATTGTTCCATGTGGCTTTTTGTTTTCTTCATTTTCCCAAGTTTGTCCTCAGCAGGTTCATATTTGGTTCTTGGCTGGCCCTGAATGTTATGAATTGCATTCTCTGATCTGTTCCTCTTTGGTGGCAATATTTGGTAAAGCCAGAAATATGGCTTCTGAATAGGCTAGTCATGTAGGACAAGCTTACACAGTGTTGCTTACATTCTGGTCGCCCACTTTCTGTGTGTGTTTCCCTGATTGATGTATCTGTTGTCAATGGTTCTTCTTCTAGCATAGTAATGTGTGAGTCATAATGAAGTGTCGCCTGGTGGGAACCTGCCTTATTTGCACAGTGGAAAGGACCTTTGAGTCAGCTCTCTTTTGACTTTGGTTTATTTTGTGTGCTTATAAATCCATCATGGCTATGTTGTTCTAAGCTCATGAGGGTTTCGATCTGTTCCTTCACCACTGCTTGTTTCTTCTTTCTTCTTCTGAGCTATAGATGGAAGCTATTAAGCTTTACACTTCTGCTCCAAAAGATAGCAGGACCTGGAAATTGAACCTGTTTAATGCGTTCACGTTACTAATATTTAGCTGAAGTTGCCTTTCTGCCACTTACACTTTGACATACATTTCAGGAGTTTTGAGAAGTTTCGTACTTCGGGCTTTAGGAAGCTGAATAGGTCATCCATAATGAATCAACCTAAAGTGAAGCGCAGAGTGGGCAAGTATGAAGTGGGAAGAACTATTGGTGAAGGAACATTTGCAAAGGTGAAGTTTGCAAGGAATTCTGAGACAGGGGAACCAGTGGCTCTGAAAATACTTGATAAGGAGAAGGTTCTGAAGCACAAGATGGCCGAACAGGTCTGGTGGTTAAGTTTCAGTAGCGCTTTTTCTACTGTCAGTGGTTTTAGATTTGAGTCGATTGTCTTCCAATTGTTTGAATGTTCTCATGATAAGAATATAAACCACAGCGTGACAAATGTTTAACCATCCATGAACACACACGCTCACTATGTGATCAAAGGATTTTGTGTCGTAATAGTGTGTTTTTTGAGTCAGATCATTTACTATTCTGCACATGTTTTTGCAGATCAAGCGGGAGGTAGCCACAATGAAGCTCATACAACATCCACATGTGGTTACATTATACGAGGTTTGACACTTGTAGCCTTCTCTTTGTTTTACTAAACATATGGAACATTTTCCAGTTTGCAAGTAGAACCATAGTCATGTGCAAAGGGCTATTGTTGTAGAGAAAAGGAGAGACAAAACACTGTGATGGAAAGGGTCATGCAAGCTCCGTTCGTCTCTGTAATTTTGATTTGGTTCCAGTTTGTGATGTAAGATTCCCTATGCGATGGTTTTTCCAGGTGATGGGAAGCAAGACCAAGATATTCATTGTTATGGAGTTCGTGACCGGAGGAGAGCTTTTTGACAAAATTGTAAGTCCGTTTTCTGGCAACACTTAAACAATTATCAATTCCTCACATTCATCTTCGTTTGAAATCATATATAAGATCTAGGGCACTGAATTTAATGTTGTTACACTTCATTGTTATGCAGGTGAATCATGGACGAATGAGGGAAGATGAAGCCAGGAGATACTTCCAGCAACTTATCAATGCAGTTGATTATTGTCATAGCAGGGGTGTCTTCCACAGAGATCTTAAGGTTCTTTTGTGTTTCCTTCTCTCTCTTTTTAATTTTAGTTCTCACCCACAATCTTTTGTTTATCAACTTTATCTGCAAGCTCACTCCTTTCAAAATGTTTGTGCTGGAACAGCCTGAAAACCTGCTATTAGATGCCTACGGGAACCTCAAGGTTTCAGATTTTGGTTTAAGTGCACTATCACAGCAAGTCAGGGTAATTACAAGATCCCATGTTTTGATTGGCTTAGTTATGTGTAGCAGACGAGTACTCTTGAACTATACTTTCCGTTCTTGTTCATCTATCTCTACATCTGATATAAAACCCGTCTGACAGGACGATGGCTTGCTTCATACAACTTGTGGGACACCAAATTATGTAGCTCCTGAGGTGTGAATGAGTTGTCTTTGTGCATATGTTCTTTACAGCTTTATTTTACTCCTTTGACAAGTTTTTGTTATTTTCCATTTAACTGTAGTGTTTGCATTAATGTTCAGGTTCTTAATGATAGAGGATACGATGGAGCTACTGCAGATTTGTGGTCTTGTGGCGTGATACTCTTTGTATTGCTAGCAGGGTACTTGCCTTTTGACGACTCTAATCTCATGAACCTGTATAAAAAAGTAAGTTTCTGTATTTTGAACTAATTTCAAGGAGCTATATACTTCCATTTCATTTCCACGTGCTCTGGTTTTCACTTCGGCTGTTCTTTGCCAACAGATTTCAGCTGCAGAGTTTACTTGCCCTCCTTGGCTCTCTTTGCCTGCCATGAAATTGATTTCTAAAATTTTGGATCCAAACCCACTTTCTGTAAGTACTTCCATGTGACACTTTTTACTTCAGCTTATGATCATGTTGGTGATTCCTTTAACTTACTTTATTGCTGTATCTTCTCTTGGTGTCAGCGGATAACAATACCCGAGATTTTGGAGGATGAATGGTTTAGGAAAAATTATCAACCGCCCGTGTTTGAGGAGAAAGAGCAGCAACCCAGCTTGGATGATGTTGAAGCTGTATTTAAGGACTCCGAAGTAAGCTGCTAAATAAAGAACATACAACCGTTGGACTGTTGTTGTTAATATTTGTACTTCCTAACTAGCTCGAGAAAGTTGAAACAGGAACACCATGTGACTGAGAAGAAGGAGGAACAGCCGACTTTTATGAATGCATTCGACTTGATTTCCATGTCCAAAGGGCTGAATCTTGAGAATTTGTTAGATGCCCAACAGGTATGCATTCTGAGAAACCTTTCCGAGTGATATTTTTTAAAAGTATGGTTTCTGTGTCTACATCCTTCATTCCCTTAGCTAGAAGTTATTATTTCCGAGTCAAATAAGGAGATTGGAAGGATTTCGCCCAATAAGGAGATTGTGGTCTCATATTGAATATGTTACTGGATCAGCAAGTGGAAGTAGAAAAGTGGAAACCTGCATCTTGAGTAGCTTAATCTGCCATTTGGTCTTCTGATATACTATTGTTTCATTGCAGCCGATGTTCAAAAGGGAAACAAGGTTCACGTCCAGGGGCTCAGCGAATGAGATAATCCACAAGATTGAAGAAGCAGCGAAGCCTCTCGGTTTTGATGTCCAGAAGAAAAACTACAAGGTAAACCACACATTTCATATATACTAGAGACTTGAAAGTAGCTGATAAAGTACAATGATTGATGCTTAAGTTTCTTACCATCACTTTTTGTTCTCAGATGAGGCTTGAGAATGTGAAAGCAGGCCGGAAAGGAAATCTTAACATCGCGACCGAGGTATGCCACTTACCCAGAAAAGAAAAACGAATAGCTATCTCCCAAGGACCAACTTGTAGGAACTTGTGATTGAGCTAAGCTGTTACCATTTTTTTCATCAGATATTCCAAGTATCACCTTCTCTCCACATGGTGGAAGTGCGGAAAGCCAAAGGCGACACCTTGGAGTTCCATAAGGTAAAATCATCGTCGTCAGCTTGGCTCTGCCTGCTGTAACACCACAACAGCCATATCTCAATGCAAAGGCATTGCACTGTATTGATCACTCTTTTCTTTTCTGCTGTGGTTTTCCTGTATTCATGTTGCAGTTCTACAAGAACCTCTCGACATCCCTCGATGATGTGGTGTGGAAGACCGAGGAATGAGAAGGACGTGCGAGAAGCGAACTGAAGCGTACCGAGAGAGCTGTATAATCAGTGCTTTTACCCTTGTCTCCTAGCCTGCCTTTGTACCAAGAGCTATGCTGTATCATCGGTTCTATATCTTCATTCTTTCTTTTTTTTTTGGCCTCCTTCCCCCTTATTTGTTCTTCTTCTTTTTGGTAGAATTAGCTTTAGCCAATTTGAGAAGGCTTAGGAACAGCTATGTTTCTCTTCCTGGGTCTGGCAACATCAGTGAGTTAACACAGATGTTGCTTAGCCAACGTTGTATATGGGTAATGTTTCTCGAGTGTTGTAAGTTCTGACAATCACCAAGTGCAACTTGATTCTGCTCAAGAAAGAGATGGTGAAAAAAAATTGCTAGGAATTCAAAACATTTATCTCGTCATTTGATTGTGTTGTCATGGATTGAAAGAACACATATCCATATGTCTTATTATTCCTGACAGGAGACTCTATTATCGGAAAAGAGTTTGCGATGGTTCGATGTCGTCTAGACTAGTCCGAATTGGTATATAGAGCTGGATCGAAAAAAAGAGAATGATGACTAGCACAGAATTATATACAAGTTTCGAATTTGGTCTAATTCGATGCAAATTTAGTTTTGTGATTGTGTGGAATGTACAACCACTTTCATTTCGTTATTTTTCGAATTTTTGAGAGCATATGATTCTGCTTTACGACCCATAAGATTTTCCTCGTCACGATGGATTGCACTGAAATTTGACTTCATATCATGTAAACCTCGTATACTTCTCACTTGAGAGTCGATGTAAATCGACCCTCTGAGATTCACAAATCCAACCTGAACTTGGATGATTTCATTTGTCGGCGGACGGACCGATTACGAGCAGACCAGAACCAGTTTCGGTTTGACTAAATCGGCTTTCCCGCAAAATAACGGATGCAGAGAAAATCCAACCAGTGTTTCTGGTCCGTCCGGTCCGGGTATCGGGACTAAACGAGCACGACTTCTCTTTTTTTTGTTTTACACATTTTTTTCCTGGTTTAAATAGCACAGAACTTCCATTGGAAAGTGTACTTTCAGTTCTTCTCCGAACACACTGAGAGCAGAACCCAGGAACCCGAAGCAGCAGAAGACGGAGAAGAGGAACATGGATCGGCTCGCCAATGCCTTTGCGATTCTGGAGCTCGATGTTGACGGCGACCAACCAAAGGACGGTGCCGCTGCCTCCGGTGCTTCTTCGTCTTCGTCCGCTTCCATGCCCCAATCCACCAAGAACCCAGGCATCTCCCCCACACACTTCTTCGTCCCCTTTCTACTCGCGCGGCCTTAGAGTTTATAGGGTTCTTACTTACTTTCTGTTCTTATCTTTTGTTTTGCAGGAAATGGCAAGAAGAAGAAGGTAGAGGGTGAGATTAAGCAAGAAAGGGTAACTCCTTCTGGAGAGTACAGAATGCCCCTTGTCTGGATTGATTTGGAGATGACTGGTACAGTTTCACTCCCTTCTACTTTGCATTGATTACTTCGAGTTATCTTAAACGAGTAGTCTTGTTCTGTGACGTAGTTCCATGGTGACTGGAGGATGTATGTTGATTAGGCAGTGAAATGTAAACAGAGGGAAGTAGGGATTTTTATTGGGTTTTTGCCGTGATGCAGGTCTGGATGTTGAAGTTGATCGAATAATTGAGATTGCTTGTATAATTACCGATGGAAAGATGATGAAATTGATAGAGGTAGCCATACTTTACTCACATGCTTGCGATTTCGTTCTTCCTGGGATTATTAGTATTGTGTATATTGTTCTTCTGGTAACTCAATGGTGTTTTTTTCCTGAGATAGGGTCCTGAGTTAGTTATCCATCAGAGTAAAGAGTGTCTGGATCAGATGGGAGAATGGTGTCAGACTCATCATGGTGATAGTGGTAAGATAGCTAATGACTTGAGGCTTATCTCGATTCTCAAGTTATGAGGTATTAGTTTTCTTTTGTCTTTGTTGATGAGTTAAATATGTGATTTTAGGCTTGACAGAGAGAGTGATCCATAGTACGATTACTGAAAGAGAAGCTGAATTGCAGGTATACCTTCTCGAGTTGGTTTCTCCCCATTTGTTATATCATTGTGGGTAATCGAGGAGTTGAGTTCCTCTGACCTTCTTCCCATCCCACAGTCAAACTCGTTTCTTCTTCTTTTTTAGGGTTGGTGTTTTGGTTTGATGGCTGAATTGTGCAGGTTCTAGAATTCGTTAAGAAACATGTTGGTACATATACACCACAGATAGCAGGAAACTCTGTCTATATGGATTTGATATTTCTAAGGGTATGTGTTATCATTTTATGTTTCCTTCAATTGTCTTGCTCTAATATTCCCTTTTGAATATTGGTTCCTCAAGGGCCACTGTGTGCAGTTTGTGAACATGTATTATCTTTTATTCAGTCGTCACTTTCTGTTGTTCATACGTATTGGGACTTGTGAGACAAGTGTAGTTGATTTCAGGTTTCATTTAGCTGTTGCTAGTTGCGATCGATTTGGTCATACATTGGGGCTTGGCGATTGCACTTGTCTCTTTCTAAGCTGTATATGTTTCTGTTCTTATCTTTATCTTGAAATCATAGCTGCTTTCGTCATACTGCTACTGGTGTTGGTTGCTGAACAAAGTATGCTACTTCATATGTTTACAGCGCAAACAATTATAGTTCTCAACTGATAATTTGACTTGAACCATCTCATGTACCTTATCTCCTAATTTTATCCACTTTTTGTGCTTTTCAGAAGTATATGCCAGAATTGGCTGGCCTCTTCACTCATGTTATTGTTGATGTTAGCAGTGTAAGGTCTTTATGCTATCGGTGGTATCCAAGAGGTATCATCATCGTGCTTTCTTCGTTTATGTCTAATGCTAAAGTAAACGCAAACTAGCCATTACTTACAGTTTAACGAAATAGAAATAGCAATGGTCACTATGAAGCCCGACTGCTTCACTCCTCAACTCGGTCTCATTTGCTTGTACAGACCATGAGAAAGCCCCTGCCAAGGGGAAGAAACACAGAGCACTAGACGATATCAGAGAAAGCATCGATGAGCTCAAGTACTACAAGCAGGCCATCTTCAAAGGGAAGTCCAAGTGATATAGTAGGATAATGATAGTGGTGTGAGTTATTCATAGAATCTCATCCTCCGTTTGGCTGATCAATTGTGAAGAAAGAGCTTGTACATACAAGTCATGTGCAGTTTTGTTCGAAGCAGGTTCTCAATTCTCGACTAATGCATAGTACAAACTGCGGTTGTAATTTGAAACCGGTTTACGTTGGTTTAGAATTTGAACATGTATTCCTTGCTTCCTTTTAAGCTGTTGTACAATTAAGTGACCCAAATTTTGGGGAAACCACCTATTTATCAGATCACTGGTGCACAGTGCAGTAAATTGGAAAATGGCTGGGGAAGTTTCATGGTAGAGTAGTCCGTTTATAAGTGGTAAGTTTCATGCTTTTTTATTTCTATGATTTATTTATCTTTTTGCTTTTGATGCGAGTAGCGGGCATAATAAGAATGAATAACGACTAGAGTCAAGTCAAGAGAATGTTTGGTTCGAGTTTGTGTTGGATTTTCCGATTTTGATTCAATTGGATCTCATCTATCTTTCTCTTAATTGAAATAGAAAATCCATGAAATCGAGAGGTGTTTGAAACTGGTCATGAAAACATTGTGCTGCTTGCACTTTGAACATAACTTGTGTATTAAAAAAACTTGTGTGTCAGCCATTAATAACTTGTGTGTCATGGGCCTATAAGAGTTAAACATTGTGATGCTCGCTTAAACCCAAAGTAAATCTTTTGCACGTTTCTTTCATCGACCAATGTTTGGCTCGTGGCTCGGTCGGTGTTGAGTGAGCTCGGGTGAATTGGTTGGGATTCACGTAACACACAAATTCGATTGATTTTCAAAACTTAGTAGAGTTTTTTGTTCTCACAACCTCAACAATGAAGTTGATTTGGATATGATAACGATGCTCGTTATGAATAGTTTTGGTTTAATAGTTTTCATGAAAAAATACGAGGTATTGGAGGAAATTAAAATAGTTCCATGAAATATCCAGAAGGAATTTTGCCGGATATGAATAAAACCCGATCTGATTATTTTTATGGTTCGAGTATATGAATATCGAGGGTAATGGGTTGGTATGATTTTTTACTATCCAACCCGAATCAACCCTATTATACATATGTGTATGTATTTTATCAGGAAATAGTTTTTATTTTTCTCACCATATTTGATATTTTCTATACATATATAATATTTCATGAAATATGTTCTCTTTAACTAATTTTCTTCATTCTTGTGATTTATTGTTTTATTTTCACTTATGTAATGTCAATATATTTAACATGTTTGTTGAAGTCATGAAGAAAAGTTATGGATACCCAAAATCCAAATGAGTATGAGCATGGTTTTAATTTTTTATGTGATTCTTATGTGGGTATGGGTATGGATAAAACCCGAACTATTTTGGATAGAGTAATGAATATGCACTATCCGCCTCTCGACCCGATCCGTGACCATCCCTATGGTTGAGGTCCAAGCAATTGTCACGTCTTTGCATAGAAATTAGGTCGATCAGGGTGATTTTCGTCTCAGATTTGATAAAAGATGCACTGATCATGGCTCATGAAAATATTATGCTGCTATTTGAACAGAACATGGGTGTCTTGGGCCGATATAAACTTTAGGGGTGTGCAAAAGAGGTTGGTCCGTGCCGGATCGCACCACACCAAACCGATATTTGGACCTAATCATACTAAACCGAATATAATGTTTATCGGTCCTTGGTTTCATGAATTTTATAAATACTGAAAAAAATGAACCGAGGTGAAATTTGGATCGGATCAAACCGAACCAAATAGATCAAATACAATGTTAGTCCGGCTTTTGCCCTAAGAAGTCTTTCAATATTGGACCATGCTTCTCAAGAATTTAATCCGATTCAAACCGAACCGGACCGAACCGTTGCACACCCTAGCTCAACATTGTGATGCTTGCTTGAACCCTAGCCACCACTAAGAAATGGTTGGGTTGGAAAAATTGAGGGATAATATGACATGAGAAAGATATTTCCTCTGTATTTCCTTGTCAACTTATTTCAATACTACCTACTGCCTTGCTGCGACTCCTGCTGCACAACTGGAATAAAATCTGCAGCCTCCTTATCAGCAGCCGCCACCATGGCGTCCTCTCCAATCCACATGCTCGCACAACACCAACGGCGTGGTGGCTGCCAAGGTGATGAGAAGATGCAAAGCAGCGCCATTGAAGATAATCCCCACCATCGTGGCGATCACCAGCAGGCTCAGCACCAGACGCTTGTCTATAAACTTGTGCAGAAAAATTGAACCTGGGAATGTTCACAAGACGAGCAGATACAGTGATGCGAGGTAAGTCATGATCACCATGTATATCAGAGCCACCTTCCTCTTTGGAATAAGGGCGACGAAGAGCACGATCCACACGAAGTGCGTGTAGTGGAGGATGTAGTTACTCACGCTTCTGGCGATTCGCAGGGCAGCGACTTCTGTGGAGGAAGGGATGCTGAAGGGGGAAGCAAGGTGGTATTTTGGGGTGCGGGAACCGTCGTCAGGAGAGGCAGCAGCAAGTTGTGAGTCATCAGCTGGTGTAGTGTTGGTGGTTGCCCTCTGCTGGATCGTTCCATAGCCTGCAACAGCCATATCAGAGAAGTGGATGAGCTAGTGGAATATGGTTTAAGAATGTTAAATGTCATTTATAATGGAGCTTCAGTAGAAGAAGAAAACAATGACTTTGAAAAGTCTACAGCATTGACCACTGGAAATGACATGAAAAGTTCGAGCATATATTCAATACAGCTCATTTCCTACTCTATATTCTTCACACTCAGTCAACCTATACTCGAGTAATCCACGAATAAGTCTTTCCACTTTCCATTCCTAACAGTGAGTGGGAAAAGTAAGCATGTAAATTTCAAACCATTGAAAGCACAATGTCAAGTCCATAGATTATCCACACGGATTGTTCAAAATAATATAGAAGGAGCAAATGCAAAGAAGGGGATGTGCACAATATACAGAAATGATAAACAACCATGTTACAGCCAGGAACCACAGGTACAAACTAAACTCATCAGATCACCAGATTCTTAGAAAATGGCATCAAGCGAAACAATACGCCCAATCAAAGTGCCGAAACGAACAACACTGCTAAAGAACAACAAGACTATTGTGCGGGTTGCGGTTACTCTGACGTCTCATGGACTGTAAACGAGTTTGTGGGGGTGTCATTCTTCCCGTGTCAACACAGTCACACAACCTGGCATAAGTGAGGATCAAGGAGTTTCTAGAAGTCGATATACAGTGATCTCTTGCTGCTTGAAATACCGTCGACCTTCTTCGTCAACTAGAACGAGATTCAAGTAATACTTGACACTGAACTTGTTGCTGATGTTTCGGTATGTTGGTGTCAACTCATATGGACTTCGGAATAGTCTGATCGGAATTGATTCTCCTGTTTCAAAATAAAAAATTGCATCAGGAAAAGTCATCAATATGGCACGCAGGAACTTAAGATGATTATCAAGGGAAAAAGCTCTTCAAATTTAGCTGACTAATTATTTTCATTGATGTACCTCTCACAGGGGCACCATCCATCAACTCATATTTGGCAAGTGTCTCTGTCTCGACGTACGTGTTGGGTCCTGATCCTGTGGACTCACGACGCCGTATTTCAAGCTCCATATTCTTAATCTTAATTCTCACTAGAAGGAAGTAGATTTTCCCAATGATTGCATCCTTTAAATGGTATCTGTGAAAATTTCAGTCAACCAAGTCAGAAGTGTTCTCGGGACATTTTTTTTTTTTGTTGCTAATGGTGATATAGTATTATTAAAGTTATCAAACAAGGAAGGAAGTACAGGGCAACAAGAAAAGAAAACAGTCTGTGCCCGAGAAAGGGAGGCGAGGGAGCCAAAGCAACAACTCCCAAACGAGGCAAAGTCACACCTCAACAACAAGAACAAAACAACAACCGAACCAGACCAGCAGACGCGGAAAGAGTGTTCTCGGGACAAAATTTAACCAAATGAAGTTGTAAACCTCTAGAATGAGTCATGATACATACTTGCTTTTGCTGTATTCAAATTCTATGTGAAGGCAATCCTCGATTCCAACTTCCATCTACAAGGACCATCAACATGCAATTTAAGATCCTATCCAAGACTCTTCATATAAAAAAAAGATCCTATACAAGCCTGATATGATAAACAGTTATCTACAGGACAAACCATTTGATGACATTGAAAGACATTTAAGAGAAAGACAACTTTCTGAAAAAAATTATAGCGAAAATGGTTCAAAGAGTTGTCATTTAAACTAGAATCACCGATGGAAGAATGCTATTTTGTGCTACCAAGTATCCAACATGTTCCAATTGTTCATAAGGATTTGGCCCTCAACTTTGCAGACAATAAGCAAGCACCAAAATAGCTTGACTGATAACTTTGCTGACCTTGATGCTGTTGTTGACTGGTGGTTGTGAAGTGTAATTCCTCACCTAATGCAGAAATATGACAGAAAGTGATCATCATCAAGCTGTTTATGGTTAACTTCTAGCTACTACATATTTTAACAGACTTATCACTGGAACTAGTAGCAGTATTTTTTATGAATTTTATAAAAAAATTCTAACGCTGTATTAGATGGAAGGGGCCTCAATTACCGATCAAGTTGTTTCAAACTTTCAATGTACTTCTTACTGATGTATAACGACTTACCACGACATCCTGGTATTCAACAATGTTGTTGACATAGTTCCGACTGATAGACACCTTCAATATATACCTGAAGATTCATCGGAATTCTGAGTTGTAAATCCATGAGTTTTGGAAATTTTGTTCCTGTTTTAATATGGAAGTCATAGCAGACTGAAAGAAACTACAAAGATAGACCAAACGTAGGTCTGGTTGACAGTTCAACTACATGAAAAATCTTATTTGTGAGAACCATCAATTTAACTTTAACAAGCTAACCGAGTTGGTTTTAGGAGACAAAAGGAGAGGGGTTGATGGCTAGGCAACCTTGTTTGACAGTTAAAAACAGTTTTCCCCAATAAACTTCTCACCAAAGAATGCTATAATCAGCACAAGCCAAATGATCAATGCGAGCGTGTGTAAATTAAATTAGGATCAGTTAAGGATTCACACTAGAATATAAAAGATCAGATGGAAAAACCAGTTTAATTCACAGTTCATACTGATACGTACCTAAGCCTCACATTGACTCCACTGTAAGACTCATGCGGCATCTCCACAGTTGAAAACTCAAAGGGATATGATTTCTTTTCATACAAATCGCCAGGGACATCAAGTTCACGCACTACATTAGAACAAAGAGAGTTGGCTCAGTATGGAGCTAAAACTTGAATCATTCATAATGCTAACAACATATCACGACGAGAAAGCATTTATAAGTCTTGTTATATTGCTATGGCGGCAACTAATGAGTAATGAAGAGAAAGTAAAGACATAAATCAGTTCACATTTTTCCGCCACCTATTTGTATGGTGCATAAACCTTGAATTTGCTCTGGATCACTTACCAAGATATGCATGGGAACAAATACTCACCAAGGGAAGTAAAGTCGTAGAAGTTTCCACGATCAAGATATAGTTCTGCAGATAACCAAACAAAGATGTTACAGTAAATATCTGAGTTGTTAGCTCGTCACTTAACGAGTCTTCACCATTCGTATAATCACATTTCATGTGTTAAACATTATGTAAATTGAGGCCCAGGTAATGAAACCTGAAATCCGATGACTAAGAATAACGTGGATACGTGATTGGGGAAATAAATAGAGAAGGAGCAGAACTGAAATGAAGAAGATGAACAAAGTTTGAGCTGTCTCAAATAACTTTAGGCAAATTTCAGGATTTCTATGCCAAAATTAACCTAATGAATCAAATCTCAGGGGTAAGAACTGTTGTACCTATCTGGCCAAGCAACTCAATTTTTATTCCATTATGTTCAACCTTCTTCCCTTGCGCAGGTTCTACAACAACCTGGAAACCCCGAATAACAATAGTCAACAGGAGAGTTTAAATCCCCACAACAACCTTCTAGCCGAATTCGTTAGCAGCATACGGAAAAGGTAGGAAACATGAAGAGATTATAATAACCTCTCCAGCAATGATATCTTGACTCTGGTAGAGAGGAACCATGACTGTCTGGCCATTTTCCTTCTTCAATGCAACCTAACAAAAGTTTAAAGTATCAGCAATGATAAGCCAAATGGTTAACTAAACTAGTCAAGAATATTCCAGAGGACACAGATTCAGAGCTGGAACCTAGACTGTGTTCAAAATTCTGTCTTCTCAGAACAAGAGAAGTAAAGGTGGATGACGTGACACAAAATCTCCCCCAATTTCATTGGAAAATCTACTCCCTTGACAAGGATTTTCACGATAATGGTCCAAGTTAATAAAAAAACCAATTCAATACATTAGAGCATCTGAAAGATACCTGCTTTCGAGTTCTTCTATCAGCAAAAACGATTGAAATGTTGCAGGGTGGCTTGAAAGCTCCAATGAGGAAATTCTGGAACAACAGACACGAAGCAACCATTTCAACAAGACCATATATGACGAACAAATCCAGGAAGGACACAAAATCGAAGAGATTCCAACGGTCAATACCATGATCGCCTGAACTGTCCTTCAACTACCAGTCTAATAGAACTGGGAGCAGAGACAAGGGAATCCAATTGGACCCGCGAATCACCTTGGAGAGTGCTGAGCCGAACTGGGTTGGCGTTGAAATCTGGAGTTAGTCGCTGGAAGATGGCTGGTAGATCAGCGGAGGCATTCTTCGTCCCTTCGACGTTGTTATTCCCCTCCTCCACCACCACCACCTTCCCCCGCCGCCGCTCGTCACCACCGTGAAAGGCAAAAAAGTTAACAATCGGAAAGCCTGAATCCTTTTTTCCTTTTTTTTGCGGCCTGCTGTTTGGGCCGTTGCATGAGCTTTCATTTTGGGCCGAACTGTGAGCCCAACGGAAACGGCCACAAAGAAAAGATAAGTAGAATAAAGATTGATGACTAAAGCAAAATAAAGTGAGGCATTGAGGACGAAAAGAATAAAGGTAAAAAGTTGAGGCATGAAAACGTTAATAGTCCTCTTGTTCGCCTCCATTTTCAGTTTTTCACCGTTCCAAGTTTTGCTCGACTTGGTAGAGTAGCAGAAATTCTCTCCGACTGGTAACTGAGCTCAGAACTTCCGGCTTGAGTTCAAATTCAAGCTCATTCTCTAGATCAATCGCAGTCTTCCAAAAATCGTTGAAGAAAGGGAAGAAAGGAAGAAGAAGCGAAATGGAGGAGTATCCAGAAGAGCTACGGACGCCGCCGGTGACTCTGGTATCGCTCGTCGGATGTCCGGAGCTCCACGCACACATCTCGTCGCATCTCCATTCGGAGAAGCCTCCCATCAATACACTCGCCCTGCCGGATTTCTCAAAGATCTCCGTGATTTTCTCAGACAAAAGCTCCGATGGGAAAGCAGCGTCAGCGTCCGATCCCAGCTCCCCGACCCCCGGAATTCTCAAGAGGGATTGGTTGCTCAAGCATCGCACTAGGGTTCCCGCTGTCCTCGCTGCTCTTTTCAATTCTGAACAGATCTCTGGCGATCCAGCTCACTGGCTTCAGGTCTGCACGGACCTGGAAAATCTCAGGTTCGTAATGGTTTCTCTCTTTTAACTTCTGTCCATTATACATGTCGTTGTGACTCCCGCGTGCCTTTTCAGAAATGCGATTCGTCCGAAGAACATCAAGCTGGTGGTGGTTGTTGTTGTGCCATCTTCATTTTTGGCTTCTTCCAATGGTAAGGGAACCTTTGTGGATTTGAATTGCTTATACTCTTTAGGTTAAATGGAGAATGATGTTGATGATGGTGGTGGATATGATGGCAGATGAAATTATTAGTGAAGATAGAATGGGTGCTCTCCGCAAACGATCTGAATTGGATGCTAAACACATTGTTTTCTTCAACTCTGGCGATGAGTTACAACTTAAGGAATCCCTTAACAAGTAACTATTACTTTTGTGCTCTCATTCTTCTACACTGATTTGATTAGCAGTCGAATTATGTTTGTCGGTGTTTGAATTGAGTTGACTGCTACTCTTGCAGGCTAGGAAGCACTTTTGCTGAATTAGCAACCGCGTATTATAGAGAAGAAGGGAGAAAAATTAAGCCCCGTGTGGAAAAGAAGAACGTCAGTTCCATTGAGTTGAACATTCGTAATTGTTTCAAGGTAACGCCGTTGCTTTTCATTTCCTTCAGGTTCCTATTTTATTGGACTCCATTCCACTCTTGGCTATGATCAGTTAGCCTGCAATGGTTTTCTTTATTTTTGCTTTAATATGTCCAAAAAAGTCTTATCTAAGCTGACTCTCAGAAATTAACTCACTTGTATTAATTGATTTAATATCAGGTTGCTGTCTATGCTGAGTTTAGGAGAGACTGGATTGAAGCTTTGAATTTTTATGAGGATGCATATCACATACTGCGGCAGGTATTCGGAAGTTCTTAAAGCATCATAGTGAATTTTTTATTTCAGAGTGCTCCTAATATAAATTCATGCTGTCCAGCTTGTCTTGTTGTCTATTATTATCTTAGGCACCATTTTCTTTTCCTGATTTTGCTCTTTGATACAGATGGTGTCAACATCAACTAGATTACCTGTTATTCAACGGTTGGTTGAGATAAAAATTGTTGCAGAGCAGTTGCATTTCAAAATAGCAACCTTGTTACTCCATGGAGGAAAGATAGCAGATGCGATTGCATGGTTCCGCAAGCATAATGCTTCATACAGGAATCTAGTCGGGCCTCCAGGAGTTGTTTTTATGCATTGGGAGTGGATCAGTCGGCAGTTTCTTGTATTTGCTGAGTTGCTAGAGACAAGCTCAAAGGCCATTCAGAGCATTTCAGGTCCTGCTTCAAATACTGCGGAGAAGTTTTTGACAGAATGGGAGTTTCAGCCGGCTTATTACTATCAGGTTGGCGGATCCCTACTGCTGCTTATGTCCTTGCTATTTATTTGAAAATGACTACAGTGTTACTTGTGATCTTTGTGTACTTGATGGGTCTACATATTGTACGAATGATATAGGCACAAGTAACGATTACAAATCACCTGAATGAAGTTAGTAATGTTTAATCCTTCCAATAATTCCATCTAGTAAGAATTTAGTTGCAATGATGTGGAGAGATACACCATGCGAACTGATTACTATGTAATTATCTGAGGTCACGATTTTGCTTGTGACATAATTCTCTCCATAGGGAATTGGGGATGTACCCTTTGCTATCCTCTTTGTGTTCTGTGGATAGAGCCACATTTGTGGAAATTGGATAAGGAAGCTGGCATGTCTGTGTTAATCAATATGATAATGTTGGAGCTCTGATGTGATAAGCAATGCTGGTTAGGCACTAAAGGTTTTTGAATAACATACATTTATTGTTGAACCAGCTAGCTGCTCACTACCTGAAGGAGAAGAGAAATGCGTTAGAACTTGCACAACAAAGTGAGGAAACAGCTGGTGGCATTGATGGCAGTGCTGAGTCTGTAGTGCCTTCGGTTTATGTTGGCCAGTTCTCTCGGCTGCTTGAGCAAGAGAATGCACTAGCTATGCAACCGTAAGTTTGAAAAACTTTAAAACATTCAGATCTCTCTACCTTATTCAATTTGTTCACTGTCCACATGGTCATCCATTTTGCAGTCTCACCGATGAAGAATATACCCGTTACTCCATCGCGGAAGGGAAAAGGTTCCAAGATTCCTTTGAAATTATTGCTCTTCTTAAAAAATCTCATGAATCATTCTCTGGTATCAAGTCCAAGAGAATGGGTTCTCTTTGTGCATTCCAGATGGCCAAGGAATATTACACTGTGGCAGATTTTACAAATGCTAAACAGTTGCTTGATGATGTTGCAAGTCTTTACAGATCGGAAGGATGGGTGACTTTATTGTGGGAGACCCTTGGTTACGTCAGAGAGTGTTCTAGAAGAGCTGGTATGGTAAAAGAATTTGTGGAGTACTCTCTTGAAATGGCTGCACTGCCCGTATCATCTGATACCAGTGTCCAATCTTTTGATTCTAAAGATTGTGGCCCAGCTGGTCCTCCAAGCGTTGCTCAGAGAGAAAATATACACAAGGAGGTTTTCTCTCTTGTCAGTGGAGAAAAAGTTGGATCCGTGTCAATTGGAGATAATTTGGATCTCCAAACTGCTTGCAATGGTCCTCTCCATCTTGAGATAGATCTTGTCAGCCCACTGCGAGTTGTCCTACTTGCTTCAGTTGCCTTTCATGAACAGATAATCAAACCTGGTGTGCCTGCCTTAATTACCATATCACTTCTGTCCCAATTACCTATGAATGTTGACATCGATCAATTAGAACTCCAGTTTAATCAATCAGAATGTAATTTCATCATCATGAATTCCCAAAGACCTGCATCGACTGATGGACGACAGGGTCGACGCGTTGAAAGCGCTCCTTCTCTGTCACTTGTTACAAACAAGTGGCTACGCTTGACATATGCCGTCCAATCAGGTCAGCTTATTACTCTTTGGCTTTAAACTATATGAATGTGCAAACACAACCAACTGTTGATTCCTACACTAATTCATTTTCCAGCAACTGCCTTCTTATATCTTGTCTTATGGAAGGCTGCCTCTTTATATTTTGATATAGAGGGTACAAATTTGAGTTACGCCCAAGTTGAAAATGCATAACACCACGCTTTATTGTGCAAAGGCCCTTGCTTGTGGAAACCCAGATGAAGAAACTATGTTAATGTTTAGGTGCTCAAGTGTAAGGCATGAATTGGATAGGTAGTAATAATTTTTCAGAAACTCATCAACCCAACCGAAATGATATAGGTGAAATGGGTTTGTATAAGGTGGGTTTTTACTTTTTAGTCGGTGAGTTGGGTTGACATTTGCCACCTCTACACGTATGCCATTTCTTGGCATAAAACATCACTGGATTTTTCTATACACCACCCTACATTCTGAATTACTTGCACTCTGATGTTTCATTGGTGGTAATGTGAATATAATTTTATAATTGCAGAACTAAGTGGTAAGTTGGAGTGCATATACGTGGTTGCAAAAATGAGATCCCTCCTGACAATCTGTTGTAGAGCTGAAAGTCCCGCCTCGATGGATGATTTGCCTCTTTGGAGATTTGAAGATCGCGTGCAGACTTTCCCTACCAAGGATCCTGCTCTGGCATTTTCAGGCCAAAAGGCTGCTCAGGTTGAAGAAGCAGACCCCCAAGTGGATCTTGTTCTTGGTGCCACGGGACCTGCATTAGTCGAAGAGTGCTTTACGGTTCCTGTCACTGTGACCTCCAAGGGTCACTCTGTGTTCTCTGGAGAGTTGAAAGTCAATTTGGTAGATGTCAAAGGTGGCGGCTTGTTTAGTCCCAGGGAAGTTGAGCCACTTTCCTCAGATAGCAGCCATCACGTTCAGCTTCTCGGCGTCTCCTCAACAGAGAAGGAGGACGACCCTCAGGTAGCTTCCAGCAAAATCATGAAAATTCAGCAGTCCTTCGGTTTGGTCTCTGTTCCATTTTTGAAAGATGGAGAATCATGGTCCTGCAAGCTGGAAATCAAGTGGAATCAACCTAAACCTATCATGCTATTCGTATCACTAGGATATTTTCCGGATGTCAACGAGTTGAGTTCACAAAAAGTTCATGTCCACAAAAGCTTGCAGATAGATGGAAAGACCGGCATTGTAATCAGTCATCATTTCATGCTACCATTCCACAAGGACCCACTGTTGCTCTCCAAACAGTCACCTTCCCTGCCGTCGAACGAAGCAAGTGTACTAGTCATCAGCACTAAGAACTGTTCTGAAGTGCCCTTGGAGTTGCAGTCTATCTCTATCGATATGGATGATGACCATGAAAGATTGTATACTCTTGGACACGGAGGTGGAGGAACTGAAGATGTGTTAGGGGTTTCTCATCTCATGCCTGGAGAGGAGTTCAGAAAGGTTTTCACCATCATTCCACAGACAGAATCATCTAGTCTCGTACTAGGGTCGGTGGCTGTAAGATGGAGAAGGAAATCCAAGACCCAAGAAGCCTGCGTGGTGACTAAATATAAGCTTCCAGAAGTTAACGTAGAGCTGTCTCCATTGGTGGTGAGACAGGAATGTCCTCCTTTTGCCATCCTTGGAGATCCTTTTGCGTACAGTATAAGGATCAAGAACCAGACCAAGCTGCTACAGGAGGTCAAATTCTCCCTGGGAGACGCACAGAGCTTCGTGCTCGCTGGATATCACACTGACACCACATTCATACTGCCCAAGTCGGAACACGTAGTTTCTTACAAGATCGTGCCACTGTGTTCCGGTATGCAACAGCTGCCTCGAGTCACTGTGACTTCGGTCAGATATTCAGCTGCATTTCAGCCCTCGGTCGCTGCATCTACTGTTTTCGTTTTCCCTTCCAAGCCTCACTTCCAGATAGCAGCAGCTGGTACCGGAAACAAAGTGTTGGAAACTGTCGTTGCCTCGGAGTAACTATCTGAACCCGGCTTGCATTTTCTTCTAGTGGAGATAATGATGGTTCTCTGTGAATTGCGAGATGTAAGCATGTATGTATGTAGAAGTACAGGAACTGATTTTACCACATTTTTCTTGTGTGTTAGTGTGTACTAAGTATAAACTAGGCAGAGATGAGAGAACACCATTTTTGTCCATTTAGCTAGTCTGCAAGTTAATGGCTTCTTTTCCCCTAATCATTCCTCAAGACCTTCACAAAAGGAAAGTTAAAGCAATCCCTTTCCTTTCATTCTGGTTTAGACATCGAATAAGCTTCCTTTCATGGTTTCGGTATGAAAATATTGCTTTTAGGACGTTCCTTGTAAACACATGTTGGCATCAATTCTATCATTCTATTACTATACAAGGCATCTAAAAGTGAAAGAAAAAGATGATTCATTTCCCCCCTTTTTTCCCCTCAAAACATAAGGATTATGTTAATATTTTATTCTTGAGAGCCGTATATAATTTATAATTAGTATTCTCTCGACTACTCGAATTATGGGTACAAAACTGTTATGACATGGTATATGATTGATTTGACCTGATGGTTGTACGTTTGGATCTTCGTAACCTTCAACATTAACAATTGATTTAATCACAAGATATGTCGGATATATGCAAATTACAATTCGGTAAGTTGTGTTATTTTTTTGGTGCACAACAAAAGAAAAGGAGTTCACGGGCCGGATGGAGTCCGATGGGTGGAACTGGCAGGCCCAGTAATTTATCCGAGTTGGTCTGGGTCGGGCCCACTAACATGCCTTCTTCTCTCGTTCTTCTTCCCCGTTTCCCTCCCTATTTATTTTCCCTCTCGACACTCGAGGACAATCCTCCACCACACCATACCCCTGGAAAAACAAAAAGGAAAAAACTCTAAAAACAAAAACAAAAGCTGAAGCGCAGACTCAGAGAGAAAGAAAGAGAAAAATAGAGCGAGACAGACTCTTCTCCCCCGAGAGATTATTCCTCCGTCGCCCTTCCTCGCCTGAGCTTTCCTTCTCTCTTCACGCACAGCAATGGCCGATCAGCTCACCGACGACCAGATCTCCGAGTTCAAGGAGGCCTTCAGCCTATTCGACAAGGACGGCGATGGTCTCCCTCTCAGATCCCTCTCTCTCTCTCCTCTTTCTTGCTTTCTATTTGTTCTCCGCTTTATTCTTTGCTCAGATCTTCGGCTTTGTGTTCGTCTTCTTTTCTCCGTGTTCTAACTGATTGATCTCGTGCCTGATAATAGTTTCTCGCGTTTATCTCTCTATTTTCGCGAAGTATGGATTCACGAGGTGTTTCTAGCTGTTCGATTGTTTGATTGACGGAGATGTGGATCCCTAGCTAGCCACCATCCTTCTTGTTAGGATTTGGATCCGATTGGATTAGATCGAATTCCCGCCTTGTTTCCCCTAGGGTTTCTTCGTGATTTTGACTCACTTGTAGGAGGATATCTGTCGTAATCAGGCCTTTTGCTTCGTCAGTCATATCTTGATGTTAATCTCCCGCAGTTATGGATCTCGAAATGAATTTTCACCTCTCTAGGAATTGTGTTGCATATGTTCTTCACGAGATGGAAATGATTAGGTCAACGGTTGGCGATTTCATAATACGGCCTTTGTAGCCAATGATTCACTGTGCCTGGTATCCTTTGTTGAGAGCTTTTAGAATAAGTTGATCATGGATGAACGCAAACAGCTATTGATTCCTGTGTAGTTTTCATAGTAATGGTTTATTAGGCTTGAATGTGGCTGGTGTAACACATGGAGGTAAAGATTTAATTGATCGCTAGGGATTGTTAAGGTTAAGAATTCGAACCTGAGTTGACTTAGTTCAGTTTGCAATCTGCTAGACATTACATGGTATCCTTATGCATGATGATGGCTTCTCTTAATGATTTACTTGACTCCATGGTGTGTTTAACTTTGCTAAAGAATCGCTAGATTCTCTTAGGCTATGAACTCTGGCACATAGTGTTATTGAGCTTAAACAATTGGAAACCTAATGCTGTCTTTTTTCCACCAGGTTGCATCACCACCAAGGAGCTCGGAACTGTGATGCGTTCGCTGGGACAGAACCCAACTGAAGCCGAGCTTCAAGACATGATTAACGAGGTCGATGCCGATGGCAACGGCACCATCGATTTCCCCGAGTTCCTCAACCTCATGGCCCGCAAGATGAAGGACACTGACTCCGAGGAGGAGCTCAAGGAGGCCTTCCGGGTGTTCGACAAGGACCAGAACGGCTTCATCTCTGCAGCTGAGCTCCGTCACGTAATGACGAATCTTGGGGAGAAGCTGACCGACGAGGAGGTCGATGAGATGATCCGTGAGGCTGATGTGGATGGTGATGGCCAGATCAACTACGAGGAGTTTGTCAAAGTCATGATGGCCAAGTGAGGACTACTACCTACTACTCCCACACTCTTATCTCAAAAAAACCCTAGAAAAGCATTTTCAAAAAGGGGGTAGGAAAAGCAATAGGGAACAGGGCAGACTAGTCTGATGATGAGAATTTCCAGTTTACCATTAGGACTTCATGTCGATTGGGTCTTTGTTTTCAATTAGCGTTCGGTTGGGGTTTGATCGGTCTGGTTTGTCTTCAGTTTGCATTGTTTCTGTATTCAGTTTCTCTTTGCTGGGTCTCTACTTGTTTGTTCTGTTCCCCGGGTTTAGTAGTCTGCTTGTTGTTAGCTTTTTTTCTGATATAATGTTTTTGCTTATCGTGAACCTAGAACAATTGGGATAATTGGATGTTTTTGTCTTATGGATTGACTAAATTTTGTTGATATTTCCAAATTCTGAACTCTCTTTCTTGGTCTGTTGGACATATGAATGAATGACTGTGAAAGCACAGAGTCTTCCAGGTCCAGAGTACATGGTGAATGTAGTGAAAGTTTGTGATCAAATTTTGGTAGCTACTGGTTTTGTGGGGAGACTTTGATCTGGTTTTGGCAGATAGCTACTGATTATGGTTATGGTCCTTGTCAATCAAAGCCATCAAGGGGTTTAGCAATGGTGCTTCCCAGTTTGGCCCTTACATTTGAGATCCATTGGAACTCAGATCGAAACAGATTTGTGTTCGAAAACGGGTTTTACAGTTTCATCCTCTTAAGTTTTTTTATCTCTTCAAACGTCTTAGTTGAGTTCGGTTTCTTTTCAAACATCACTGGTGTTTTGTCATCATCATCGTCATCGTTCTTCCCCACGTATTAGAGCTCGAAATTCTTTCGCGGTCGTGCTCCCTCCCTCCTTTTATAAGGAGAATGAAATCTAGGAAAAACTGTGCAAACGCATATCAATCCTTTTCAAGCTATGGCTTGGAAGAGGTTGATATCGAAACTTGCTTTGTTTTTTTTTTTATCCCGGTGCAATTTTCCGAATGGCTAAGGGTTGCAGATGATCTATGGTGGGATTCAGTTCTTCAAACCAACTGATATAAGTCGCATCTGCTTTTCGTGGAAACGATTGATTGTGATTTGTGAGGGAGGAGAGCACGCTCCGAATTTAGAATGCTTTCCGTTTAATTTCGATCGCGCGGTGAATCGATTTAGGGATAAGAGGAGAATGACATGAGTTGGGAAGCCACTATTATCACCATCTATTTTCCCTCTTTTGTCCATTTGTATTGAACACATTCCATCCTTTTCAATCCTACTAATGTGTTGATATAAAACAAAAACCAACTAATTTGAACAACACATAAACAATAGAAGTAGATGCTTATAATGTTGACGAGAACCGACGAAAAATGCACTTGTTACTCATAGTCTCTAGCCAATGTGTACTCAGATAGTAAGGCGATAGATCAGAGCTAGACTAACAACTTTTCCAAACTCTATTCACGTATACAAACTATAAATTAGCACCACTCAAATACGTTCTCTGTCCGGAATAGTCGGTGTTATTTTTTAAACAGTCTCTTTTCGTTAAAAAAAAAACCTTTATCATTGGTTTCAACAAATTTTACCTCCAATGATCTTTTGCACTTACCACAAGAGATTATTCTCCCAAATAACGTATCACCCATCCCCTCAACAAATTATAGGCCTTTGAATTGAGAACCGAACAAACAACCATATGCAGACTTCTCACAATATTTTTAACTACTCTTGTTTGTGTGTTTGATTGGGTGCAGAAGGAGGTCAATGAGAAGCGAGAGCGTCCAACATGAAAGGGTCAAGTTTAGAAAGATCTGCTTGAAAGTCTGTGTAATCCTCTGAATTAGCCATAGTAAGCAAAAGGTAAAAAGAAAGTAAAATCAGGGATGCCATTTGGATGGGTTGAAGGGAGAAATGGAAATAGGGTGATGGACTAGTGTACATTTGATGTGTGTGTTATGTATGTGTATATGTAAAATGTCACGTTTATGGAGGGAAATGAAAGAGTACCGGTTTTTCTTTACTCTCAGGGATAATTGACAACCATCATTTCTATGTCGACACCGCTAATAAGTAATAACAGAGGATCGTTTTGATGAAGTAATTGAGAAATAAGATACGTGAATTAGGGTAATTCTAATTGCAATAGTATGAATTACTCCATCGAATTTTGGTAATAACATAGCGGGGTAATTTGGAACTCATTTTGAGAAAACTGAGTCAAACCGCCTCCTCATCAATTGCTCCATAAACAATCCCTATAAGGGACAATCGGATCTTGATCACAACATCTCCCTCCACCTAGTATAGCAGTCATCGCAGTGGGGCATTCTGGTGCGAACTCTCATTTTCGCGGTTTATGCGATCTCTATTGAAATCGGTCTCTATGCACACAATTCCTTATACTAAGTTGCATAGGTAGATATAATCGTATTCTTACATATCCGGGACTGTTACAAGAATCTGATCGGATTAGCAAGCATACCTATAAGACAATCAAACCAGTTACAATAACGAGTCATTCTATTTTATAAGACGGCTAGGAACATGAGACACTAAACGATTTCGAACGATCGGAAGTGAAACCTAGATGAACCGCCTCACGACTTACAACTGAACTAAACTTATCCAAACCTAATTACAAATTCCGTTTCTGCTTCTTCGTCTTTGTTTCTCCGCCTCACTCCCAGCTTTCCGTGGTTTCATAACTGATTGGTCACCCCAAAAACAAGTAGAATTCGCATCCGATTCAAAAGTCGTCAACACTAAATTTTACTCACTTCAATTGTGTTGGTTCGGATTGTATAACCTCGGTTCGTGTTCGGGTTCGGGTTCAACAGATGGGTGTCTAGTGTCTACGCTCTTAACTTTCTAAGAAGGCAGATAATGGAGGAATTGGTTCTTTATAAATGAAACTTTTGGCTTTATACCAGTGAAGCTCTGTACTAGAAAGCGGTCCTACTATCTCCACTCTTTTCACATCACAAATTATTCCTCCATCTCTCTCTCTCTCTCTTTCAATCTCCATCCCTTTCCCTTCCAATTTCCATAACATACAACAAATCTCCCCAATTCCCCACAACAACAATGGCAGAAGAGCATCACAATCACCACCACTTACCTCCAGAGCCTCCGTCCCCAGCCATGTCCTCCGGCGAAAAACACGGCCACCACCCCACCAAACACGTGTCACCACCAGGATCCGCCACCTACGCGTACAGCCCGCGGCGCAGCCACGTGGCGAGCCTCGTCACCGTCCTCCTCCTCCTCATCGGCCTCACCTTCCTCGTCCTCTGGCTCCTCTACCGCCCCCACGACCCGGCCTTCGCCGTCGCCGCCGCCGCCGTCTACTCCCTCAACTTCACCGCCCCGCCGTACCTCGCCGCCGCCTTCCAGTTCACCGTCGTCGCCCGCAACCCCAACCGCCGCGTCTCGATCCTCTATGACAGCCTCACCGCCTACGTCGCGTACCGCGGCCAGGCCGTCACGGTGCCCCTGCCGCTCCCGCCGCTCCGCCAGGCGGCGAAGACCACGGTCGCGATGTCGCCGGTGATCGGCGCCGGAGGCCGGGTGCCGGTGAGTGTGGAGGTCGTTGACGGGCTGGCGGCGGACGAGGCGTACGGCGTCGTGCCGGTGAGCGTGGTGGTGTCCGGGCGGCTGCGGTGGAAGGCCGGCGCGGTGACGACGGGGCGGCACCGGGTTTACGTCAGGTGTGACGTTTGGGTCGGGTTGAAGCGCGGGGTGTCGGGTCAGGTGCCTCTGCTCGGATCCACCGGCTGTAAAGTTGATGTCTGAATCCGGTCGCAGGTCGGGTCGGGTCGGGTAAATTTGATAGGATCCGAACTGAGTTAATTGTGTTTATTATGTACTGTAATGAACGAGTTCCGGTAATCAAATAGAGTATAGCAGCTTTAATTGTAGAATAATAATAATATACAGAATAATAATGTTGAAACTGAAGTTATGTTTGTTCCTAATTCTACTTGAGCTGTTGTAACAAATTTATGTGGTTTTGGTATATTAAAGACGATGAGTGTAATTTTTTTTTTTTTTAAAAGATATCATATATTGATCATAAAAAATAGTTACATCCTGGAAACCAGCCAGGCCCTGAAATCAAACAGACGATACATAGAAGGAGACAAAGAGAGGGCCTTTCTAGCTACTACATGAGCTACCCTATTGTTCTCCCGTCCTATAAATCGCACACTAAAACCCGGCTGGGCACCCAACAAAAGACCAATCTCCTCCAAGATCGCACCCAACCGACTCTCCCTATTGTCACCCTGGTTGATTTTATCAATAAGCACCTTAGCATCTCCCTCGAACCGGACCTCCGTCAACCCACTATCCAAACACCAAGTAATAGCCTCCCGGAACGTAAGCAACTCCACCAGCGTCGGCTCCTCCACCGAGGGAAACTGAATCCCTTTAGCCCGAAGCAGCATATTATCAGAAGTGAGAAGAACCATCCCACCGGCCGCATGCGACCCACCCTTAGTAGCCCCATCCCAACGACAGATCCGCCGGAAATCTCCCACGTCTACCTCCGCCGGCACCACCCGATCTCTGCCAGGAGGCCGCCCATCCACCGGCAAAGCCATCCACTCCTCATACTGCTGATGGAATTGTCGCATAAGGGCTGGAATCCCAAACTGCTTGCCTTCAAAGACCACCCAGTTCCGAGATCTCCAGATCCGCCAAAGGACTGCAACCACTGCCATCACTAGCGAGGGCTGGTGGATCAATGCCAATAACCGCTTAAGAAACAAAGGGAAAGTATGACGGGGCAAACCCTCTCCCAGATAATCGAGCCCAGAATGGTCCCAAATAGCCCGCGCAACCGGGCAGTACAGAAACAAATGTTCCATCGTTTCCGGGCCATTCCAGCAGACTGGACAACGGGGCAAACCTGGCACCTTTCTCTCGATAAGCACCTCCATAGTAGGAAGAATCCGGTTACAAATTTGCCATATAAAACCTTCAATTTCGGGGGTATCTTAGCTTCCCAGATCCTGATCCAGCTTTTTTTATCCATCCAACTAACTGCCTCCCTCCACCCCCCCCCCCCTCCTCCTGTCTAGATCCACCGCCAAATGATAAGCGGACTTAACCGAGAAAACTCCATCTGCCGTGTTATGCCAAATGAGCTTGTCAGCAATATTCCGCCGCGGAAGAGGTATAGACTTAATGGCTGCGCACGTCGAAGGGTCAAACCACATACTCAACTTTGCATCCGACCACCTACCTTCCCCTTCGCAGATGAGCTCTGCCACCAAAGGATCCCCCCCTCGGGCAGAATTAACGGATTATAACTCGGGGCGGCAAGCTGGTAACCAGGGATCCAGTTAGAGTGTGAGATTTAATAATATTTAAGAATAGAAATTGAGAAAATATATACTATCTTTTTCAGATAGGCATGTGAGTTCACTTTGATTAACGATTAATCTGTTTTCAAGTCATAGCAACGAATGTAGCCCGAGTTACTGACTGGGCAAAATGGGCCGCGGTTAACGATTAATCTGTTTTCAAGTCATAGCAACGAATGTAGCCCGAGTTACCGCCTGGGCAAAATGAGCCGCCACCGCGGCCGTCGAGAAGTACACGTGGTTGAATTGTCTTTCACCGCTTCAACTTCAGCTGCCAGGTGGTACGGTGGTTGTCGATCTCCGGTTGGTCGGTCGGTCTGGCGCAACCACCGTCACAGCTGCTCTTATCGTTATCCGATGCTGTAAGCATCTGGTTCAGATGATGATTAGCAGTCCGAGCGAAGCATCCACTGGCAAATTGAAACCAGAAATACCTCTTTTTTTCCATTATTGAATTCCTCTCACCACAAAGGGGAAAAAAAAAAAACTATTCTCCACTATGCCAAATGGAACAAAGTGACCACTAAAGTTGTTGTACTTGAAGTTTGAAACACAAGATACATTTGTGACCAACTGAAAACCTGCTTTAATTTATCCTCTCTCAACCATTCAGGCTCTCCACCAAATCTTCTTTCACTGGTTAGTAGCAAGACGATTGATTCCCTCCCATACAAGGGCCAAGTTCCAGCCTTCCCCAAGCTCTCATCAATGGCTGACATTAGCCTCAACCCATTTAAGAACTGCTCCAAAGTAACCACTACGAATTGTACAATGCTTCTTTTCTACAACAAAAGGGATACCATCTTCCAGGGAACATGTTTTCAAAGCAAAATGCTTGAACAATGAAAACAGCACAGGAGTAGACAACATGATCACAAGAAGCGAAAAAGTTCAGCAGACTATGAACAGAGATATCCTTCACAGAACCAGGTAAGCAAGCAAAAGGGTAGCTGTCTCGGCTCCTACATGTTCACAAGAACCAGTGCTACCTTTCCAATGGCTTGTAAAGGACAACAGTGACGTATTTGGATTCGAACCGATGGGTCATCCCGAGACCGACCAGCGACTTAGAAGCCCATCCTTTATCGATATAGAGGTGGTTCAGCACGACGTGCTGAGGCTTTGAAGGAGGAGATGATGATGATGATGAAGCAGGTTCGACCGGGTTCTCCATACCAAGGACGGTAAGATGCAGCTGGGATGGAACGACAGCAGGCTCCTTCCCGAATTCCTCCTCGGAAGGATACGTGTGTCCATAACTTGAGTCCGGTGATGCAGGAGCTTCAAACTCTGAGACACTCTCTGGGTTTTCTGGTACGTAATCCTGCAAGGATGAGAGACAGAGATATTTTCCTTGTGAAACCAACTTATCAGAAGCAACATATTGAAGATAAACATAGATATGTTCCTTATTTCACCTTTTTATCATGATATTAGGGGAAAGTAAGAGACTGGGGGTTAATAGTTCAACATCCATGGCAGCATTCCTTATACAGAAGATAAATAAATGGATCCTAAGCATGAAAAGCTAACCAGCACCTACTGCTAGTAAGCTACAAAGTGTTGAGTTTCACTTAACTATTGATAAAAGAACGAATGCAGATAGACCAAAATGAACTGGAAAGTGAAAACTATGGGACCATAGCCTTTCAAACTATAAGAAAAATGTGGCTTGATTCTATCATGAGTTCATGTAGGTCATCAGATGTATCCTTTATATGCCTCTCATGCACTGTAATTTTTATCGGATGTCCCCGAAGGGTCCACTGTAATGATCTATCTAAAAATGTGTATTGCACACGGTCTATAGTAGCTCGTGGTGCAATTTGGACACAAATTTAAAATAAGCTTGATAACAATACTTACATTAACATCAAGAACATTACAAACACTGCCCATCTCATCAGCTACAAAAGGGAGGTCTGGAGTATATCTCCACTCCCCATCCACAATGAACTTATAATGGTATATCCCTAATGGAAGCACGAGAAGAATAGAATGATCCTTCCCCGTTCTTTGCATTAACTTCCTGCAACGAGAAACAAACCCAAAAAAAGACAATGAATGTCATGTGTTGTTCACTTGTTCCTTTTTCGATTCGAGACCCCGGGAGAGAGGGAGTTAGGAACAGAAACAAAGAGAGAAACCTCACCTTGACTGCCAATTATCCCACGATCCTTCCACAGCAACCTCATTGCCACCATAGTTCCAGGTGATGATTACCGGGATAGCCTTTTCAGAAGGTTGATCAACAACAACGGGCTGAGGTTCATTCCGCCACAATTGAAGTGGGAAGCCATCAGGCCTCGGTAATGGTGCTGCAGGAACCTACAAGAATTTCACGAAATCCAGACCATGAACATCAGCTAGTGGCCAGTAATAACACAGATGAAAAGGTCCACCATGAAAAAAGTAAAAAGTCAAAGATGGACTAACTATTCTCAGAGAACCCATTATAGAGGACTTCCAAAGGATGAACTAGTTCCAGAAAGGAAATAAACTAATCTGAATAAAGTAGGAACTGCCTCCAGACTCTTTACTGCTAGTTTGAATATACCAATTGGATTACTCATGAAGAACAGTAAGGTGAGCACTGTTCACAAAGACAGAAACTTTTCTTTCCCTTCATTTTCTTACAATTCAAATGAGTCAAAAGGGTAGATTTCTAGTTCACTAAGACAGGCGAATCACATAGAAACATAGCAGTCAATGAAAGGGCAAAAAAAATGAAGAATAAGAATCCCCAGGCATTGATTCCATCTCGCATCACTCCAATTAAAGCGTTCCACAAATTGGCTAGCTTACAGAACAGGTAGTAAAGAAGAAAGGGCAAATGAACAGAGGAAACCCAAAAGAAGAAGGGGAAAAACAAAACCTGTGGAGCAAACAAGAGAGGCGAGGCGGAGCGAGCTGGACTATGTGGTGGATTGCTACTGTTATTGACTGGCTGCATAGTATCCGTCGAACCGACTCGACCAGCTGGGCGGCTTGAATTGGGCGGCGGAGGCGGTGGCGGCCGCTGCATCTGCATAACCGAGGTTTCCCCATTGGATCCATCCTCTTCCGCGCCATCTCCGCCTCCTTCTTCCTTCCCATTCGCATTCCCCATCTCTCCTTTCCTTCAATTTCTCGCGTCCTCCTCGTATAGCAAAACCTTAAAAATCCCCTCTACCTCCCTGTAACCCCAGTACCACCAAGCCGGCGAGGCGGCGACAAAAGAAAGAAAAAGCCGCCGCTTTTCTTGGCGACGGACAGATCTAAGATCGGCCCATTAAACCACCATCCAATGGGTACAAAACCCACCTACTCGAATTCGATTATAATAACAACAATGGTACGCAGGCTCTGAAGGGGGGGAGAAACGAGAAATAAAAATGGCGCCTTTTTCCTTTCTTTCTCTGTTTCTTCTCAATGGATCAGTTCTCAACTAGAGTATCAGCAATGGTGAGTTGGGTTATTTGCCACGACGACGACGGAGGAGACCAGAATCCGCGGGACAACCGGAGAAGAGGAGACGACAGATTTTGGTTCCCGATCTATTGATTGATGGAATGAGAAAAAAATGGGAAATTGGGGTTTTGCAGAGGAGGAGAGAGGATGAATCAGGAAGTGGATAACGAAAGAGATGGGAGAATTATCGACTGGTGAACTTCCTATTTATTGCTTCTGTGAGCTCTACTACCTTGGTGCTTGGCGACGTGTAGCGTGTAGGTCTAATCCTTGTGTCTATTTCCAGATTAACGTATGATTAGGGTTAATTGAAGCCGAACATTAAAAATTCTGGATTTATATGTCTAAGTTGACCTCTTAACTACAATATATGTGTTTGGTACCAAAGTCACTAATGAAAGGAATTCATTAAGCGCCTAACATTAACTTAACTAATATGAGGATTCTTGTTTATAATCAAATATCTAATTTGAGAGGGTAACGTTGAATCACTCGTACTATATCTCAATGGCAGAGATACGAAGTCTCGTGGTATACTCTTGACATTTTTAGATTAGAGTGCGTATATAGAGTTACTAATTGTGTCATCGACTAGTTAACTACTTAACTTCACTGGGTAACTCATTTTCCCTCGTGAAGATGGCGTCTTTCAAACACCTTGTTACTCCCTTAGGCATCGATTGTACTATTATTCAAATTGGAGCTGCTACCCGAATTTGTTATTGATAAAGTCACATCACTTTCTATTAGAAACAAAACTAACGTCACCACCCGTGTTATAGTCGTTATCACCACGATCACAACTTAATAACCCAATTAAATTATCTTCGCCTGCCTATAATTTATTTTGGTAGAACATATCATAGTATAGATCTAAATTTAGATCTAATCCACTCCATTCACTTATCATTTTATCACAAAATAACCTCTCAACATGCTAATTAGTACGAGATATATTTCTACTGATATCGACCATGAACTATATGCATAGACTTGTTTTTATCTAAATGTATAGATATAGTTTTGTACACCCATGTATGATGTATCATTATCAGCCATCGTTGGACCGAATCAAACTTTGTTTTATACATATGACTATGTTGGTTTTGGGAGTATCGTATTAAAGCAAACAAATTGGAAATCAAAGTAGAGAAGATTTTTTTGAGGGGATGGGTATTGCCAAAACGAGAAAAACAAAAGGGAAAATGACGACAAAATGTGGGTGATAGACTAGCCACAAATTAAAAAACAATGAAATGAAAGGAAGTGGGCTCTCTTGCCTTATCCTGTTATCCATATCAAATCCGGATTTTGGAATTGGAGCTTATCTTCTTCTTGTTTTCTAATGTTTTCTTTATTAGGCACATGATTGATGGATCATCCCAAAGAAGGAAAAGGACTGCTGGTTAAGGATTCAGAATCACTCTGATGGTGCATTTGGGCCCCCATTGGGCCACCCCTGGCCCAGCATGTCAACAACATGCTGTTGAGATAGTGATCAATGCGCATCAACAAATAGCCCACGGATTCATGGTGGTTTAGTTTTTAGGGGGCACCGACTGGATTGGTGATTCGACTCAGTAGGAATGAAGGAAGTTGCAATGGATATTTTGGGAATTGGGATTAGGAATGACAATTGGCAGGTCCCGGGTGGTTATCTCGATACTCATATTCGCCCCGTGGCAGGTTGGGTAATTCATTACAAGGCGTGGATCGAGGCAGTTCAACTTAATGAGTATTTAGTTTAGAAGGAAAACATGAGTAAATACTAAATATTCAAATTTTTTCATTAAAATCACAAGAAACAAAGTAAAATATGATAAATGTAGTTAAATTATTTATAAAAAAGCAGGTTCTCACATATTTAGAACTTTATTGTATCTAAATATGTGGTAATAAAAGTAAAATTAGAAGTATTTTGAATAGAATTACATGTAAGTCATGCAAGGCGGGTCAAGAATGGGGCAGGTCAAGGCAGGTCGTGTCGAGGGAGAGTAACCATGCCTGCCCAGCCCCGCCTACGGAGCGGGTCAGACCCGCCCCAAAATAGGTCAATTAGGTCGGATAAAACGGATCAAGTCAAAATTGTCATCCCTAGTTGGGATGAGCAATTTTGATTTATTTAATGACGAAACAAGTCATTTCATCAAAATGTTTACAATTTCTGTTCAGACTCTACTGAATAAATTAGTTCTTCTTTGTTTGGAGAAAGAGTTTTTTTACACTTCTCGCACTCTACCTTTTGGTCCTTTTACAAGGTCTTCCTTTACGGGTTCACTTTCAAGTCGAGACCCTCGTTCATTTCCTGCTAATTCGTTATTGAAACAGAGTCTTGACCAAGCAAATACTAAACCCAGTGGTCATTTTTTCTTTTCTCTCTCTCTCCATCTCTCTTCCTTCCCCATCCCTACCCCAGCCAAATCTTCGTTCCCCAAATTATCTCCTTCCTTCCCCTTCCCGTCCCTAAACCAAGTCTCTGACAATTCAAAGAAAACCCGTCAACCACCCTTCTCGTTCCCCAAATCGCCATCCTCTTCCTTCCCCTTCAAATCAAAACGCGTCAGACCACCCTCACCTTCGCATCATCTTCTCCAGCCCGTTAACTCCCCCGAATCGATCTTCCCCTGCTACTTTGCTCGCCATGGTCTCCCACTACCGGCCACCATCGATCTGCCCATATGCCATCGCACCCAGATCTTCGTCGTCGTTGCAGTATCATCATCGTCGCTGTCTCGGGCCTCGTCAATTTGTCTTCGTCTGCATCTTCGAGGGAGGAGAAAAGAAGGAGAAGAAGGGATGGATCTGGCCGTCATCTTCCGTCGCGCGATCTCCCCTACAGAACCGCCGATTTGAGCTAGAAGAGAACAATCGATTCTAGGTTTTGATCACGGACAAGATGAAGCAAAGAGGATGGCGCCGGCGGTAAAGATAAACGATTCCCAAATTGGAGGTTTTCGGCTGATAAACCCACTAGTCAATGATATTGATTTGGGGACAGCTCCCCTGAGTTTCAGGCACGAGGAAGAACAGAGCAGATCAACTGATTTTGGGGTCTGGATAGCAGTTCGAGAATGATAGGGTTGGGGGGGGGGGGGATCCCTGATTTTGGATAGCGGGTGTTGGATTCTTGCTTTTCTTTCCGCTGGGTTTTTGCAGGGAGATGACGAAGGGAGGAGTTGCGAGACGGGATTGTTTTTGGCGTCGGAGTGTCGCTCGCCATCGTCATCGAGTTCGCCATCTCCGTCTCTAGTGAGAACAAAACAGAGGGAGAAGGAGAAGCGAGCGTCGAGTGGTGGGAGATGAGAGAGGATGATAAAATAATTTTTTTTAGTTTAAAATATTACATGGCATCCTTGTGGCAAGTGTTGTTGAGTTGTCGATGATGTGTCTGGTGAGTTAGCACCCAGGTAAGCGTTCCGTTAATTTGACTAACGGTGTCACTAACGTCGTTAAAGTATGAAAAGGAAATGGCTATCTTTGTCACAAAACTTTCAAAATTCTGGCTATTTTCGATATTTCGCCAAAAAGTGGCTATTATTGTCACAAACGTGAAAGTTTTGACTACACAGATGAATTTTGCCTTGATTTTTTTATCAAAGAATATATAACATTTTGTATAATGGGGCTCCACATATTTGACTTTTTTTTTTGCCATTAGATTCCTCTGAAAAAGAGGGCGAACAAGGTTCACAGATACAAGAAACCTATCTACTACGTAACCAAGCAACATAGTCGAACCTCGCTATCTGACGAGGCGACAAACCCAGAGCATGCTTTGCTACCGAATGAGCTACTCTGTTGTTCAAACGTCCAACAAATTGGAGGGAGACCGAGGAAAGAACTTGAAGAAGCAAAACAATTTCCTGGAGCAAAATCCCGATCTTGGAATCGCACGTGTCGCCAGCTCGACATTTGTCCAAAATAACTTTAGCATCACCTTGAATGTGGATATTCTGAAGTTGAGCCTGAGTACAATGCACTAGACAATCACGCAAGGCCAGAGCTTCAAGAACATATGGATCACTGCAGGCAGTATACCGAGTCGCTTTAGCAGCGATGATATCGCCAGAGATGTGACGAATGACAAAAGCTGCTGATTCGTCCTCTCCCTGTCTAGTACCTGCATCAAAAGAGCCCACAAAAAGCACATTTGGCGGCACTTGAGGAGTATTGGAGTGAGTTGTTGCTGCTGAAGTCACAGTACTGTGATTCTGCAGAAGGGCCTGGTCATTCTCCTGTACTTGGTGCATCCATTGTGCAGCAAGCTCTTCCACACGGACCTGCTTGAACTCAAAAACAACTTTATAACGATTTTTCCATATCCTCCATAACAAACAAATTACCTGCAGGTAGAGGTAGTCTAAATCTTCACCAATCTCCTTGAACAACGAGAACCGGATGAAACCTATGAAAGATCTTTTTTCCCAACGACCTAGATACCTATGCATACCCACCATCCTCCATAAATGTAGAGCAGCCGGACAACGAAAAAACAAATGCTCAATTGTTTCTTCTTTCTTACCACACACCGGGCAAATGGGAATGATATCCATCCCTCGCGTTACTAAAGCTTCACGAGTCGGGAGGATTCTGTGAACACATTGCCATAAGAAGAAGTGTAACTTCGGCGGAACTTTCCTTCCCCAAATCCAATTCCAAACCGAAGGATCCATGAAAGCAATATTAGATTTGTACGGAATTGGACGACAACACTGAAAGGCAAGATGAAAAGCAGATTTAACAGAGAAAACCCCACTGGATTCATACTGCCAAATAATTGAATCTTTCAAAAGATGCTGAGACAGCGGAATCCCCTGGATAAGGGCAGCCAAAGTCGAACCAATAAAATGATGGATAGCCGCAGAATTCCACGATCTATTACCAGGATCTATAAGACTTGAAACACAAAGAGCAGGATTAGAGTTACCTGGAGCTAATTTGGGAATGATCGGAGGGTCACCTGGCACCCAAGGATCCTGGAAAGCACGGATTGAGACCCCATCGCAATATTAGATTCCACATATTTGACTTTTGCTCATCCAAATTCCAAACCAAATGTAAGATTTACAAATTGGCCAGGCCCACGGATTTTACTCAAAAGCGTCTGGGCCCTGGACTACTTTCGGAAATCGATGTTGGGCTCACAAGAATGAATATTGTCCATGAATCTCAGCAGGATCAACTTGGATGCAAGTTTTGAATCAAGCCGAGTCAGTCGGTTGCGGACCGGTCATGCCGACGGTTTCTATTAACTTTGAATTAGGATTATTAGTCGTCTGACTGAAAATCAAGGTGTATATAGTTTACATTTTTACATGGTCGATTCTCCCTTTTCGTCGTAACACCACTTTGGCTCATGTGTGTTCTCTTCGTGTATGAAAAAATCGATTTTTTAAAACTCTTATCGTACCGAAATAATTCTATAAATACACATAAAAGTAAAACAAATTCCTAAACTACCATACTTATAAAAAAAATTCTCAAAATACCTAAGTTTGGAGTGGTTCGAGTTTGAGGAACTCGAACTACTAACCGGTTCGAGTGTAGGAGACTCGATCTAGTCGTAGATCGATTATATAAGTCTCGAACCATGTGGGACTGAAGTGGTTCGAGTTCAGTGAACTTGAACCACTCCTTTGAAATTTCCAACAGCCTTAACTTTGTGCTCGGTTATTCCTAGTAAATGTTGTAGTACTCAAAATATTATACAAAATAGAAAAAACTTTGCGACGTTCGGATTGTGGAGCACAAAGTTATGATCCTCCAAAGTTTGACAAATTCAGAAATTTGCTCGTTTATGGGTAGCAAATGACGTTTTCTCGGAAGATAGCCATCCAAAAATTTCTCGTTTGGAAAAATATTGCTCTTTTGGCAGGAATTCCCTATATATAAAAAATTTTCTCGTACCTTCGCCCTGAGAAAACGTCATTTGTTACCCCTAAACGAGCAATTTTTTGATTTTGTCAAACTTTAGAGGATCATAACTTTGTGCTCCGCAATCCGAACGTCGCAAAGTTTTTTTTTTTATTTTGCATAATTTTTTGAGTACTACAACATTTACTAGGAATAAATTTTCAAAATAGGAATATTTTTAAGTATAAGGGGTTTTGGAGTAAATTTATCTTTAATTTTCACATTTTCACATATATTCTGAAAATATTTCTATTTTAAAGTTGTAGTCCTCGAAAAGTTTTGCGAAATGAAAAAAAAAGTTTGCTACGATCGGATAACCGAGCATAAAGTTAAGGTTGTTGGAAATTTCAAAGGAGTGGTTCGAGTTCACTGAACTCGAACCACATCAGCCCCACATGGTTCGAGGCTTATATCATCGATCTACGACTAGATCGAGTCTGCTACACTCGAACTGGTTAGTAGTTCGAGTTCCTCAAACTCGAACCACTCCAAACTTAGGTATTTTGAGAATTTTTTTTATTTATAAATGTGGTAGTTTAGAAATTTGTTTTACTTGTACGTGTATTTAGGGAATTATTCCTATCGTACCGATTGCATTCGATGCAAATCGTTGGAGCTTACGGATTCTGTTGCTAGCCTTTGAACTGATGGATCTCTTGTGTGCCAGAAGAATATTCTCTCTGTTGACGTAATTTTGACCAAAGAGGTCAATGGTTAAGTCTCTTCCTTAAGTATGTTCATAATTTTTAGATTAAATATAACCTTTATAATTAACCACAGAAAAATGATTTTGATGACCTTTATTGGTAGAATGTTGACTTTCAACTCTATTTTTCTCCACCGAATGCCGCACACTGTCAACAGCCACTGGGCCCCACCCCTGTCTCTCTCCTCTGCGTTGCCGTGCCGTCGTCTTCCGGCGAAAGTCCTTTTTTTGTTCAATATTTATATATAATCAACCAGAATTCCCAACTCCCACCATTTCTCTTCTTTCTTCGATACTACTGCTGCCCATCAACCTCTTCCCCAAGAATAATCGAACAACAATAATCCTTGCTTCCGATGTCAATGGAGGCCGTGCCCATTCCGCTGGCCGAGAAGCCGATAGAGCTCAGGGCGGTGGAGGCACTGGGTAAGGGCTTCGACCTCAGCAGCGATTTCAGGCTGAAGTTCGCCAAGAGCGCCGGCGGGAGGCTGGTTGCGCTCGACGAACGGAATAAGAGGGACATTGTCATCCCCTCCGCCGGCGGCGCGGGCGTTACCGTGCCTGGTGTCTCCGAGGATGTTCGGGTGGATAGAGGGGATCGGATTCGGTTCAAGTCCGACGTCCTTGAGTTCAATCAGGTATATTGTTTCTGCGTTCGGTCTTAAGATGAGCTGGTGTTGGGGGGTGGAAATTGGGTTCTGCGGATGGATGGCCGGTGGGGTTGAATTTTGAGTTGGATTTTGATTTGGAGGGTTTTCCTTGTTCTCCATCTTTGGTTTGCTGCTATTAGGGCAATTGACCCTTTTTAGGTTGTGGGTTGCTCTGGGAATGGTATGTTCATTGTGAAAAGGGATAGCTCTATGGGAGGATGGGAGATGGAACTTCCCCCCAAAAGGAGGGAAGAAGAATGTCAGCTCAGCTTTGTGTTTAATGCTTGTTAACAGATCTCTGTTCGATTGTTGAAATGGCGCCCTGTGCTTTTGTTGCCGTACGTGGGAGGGATTAAAATAGGAAATATGTGGTTGAGTATGAACGCAGTCTCTACTTGAGACTCCTCCAGTTTTCTTTTTCATACTTTGTTTTGTGGCAATTTAGTATCAGCTAGTGACTGATGCAAGGGAACTGTTTGACTTCTCAAGATCCTTCCTTTCTTTTGAGGGTTTAAGAAGTAAACATGAACCCAGGTTAAGTGGAAAGATTGCACATTATTATTAATTTCTTGAAGTAGAAATGATAGTAGTTGTAGTAGTTCTCGTAATTTTCCTGTATGTGGTTGTGGAATTTTCATGTGCAATCTTTGCCTGTGCTGCCTCGTATGGATTGTCATAATCTAGGCATCTAACTGGGTTTTCTTTGCTTTCAGATGTCAGAACTGATGAATCAGAGATCTTCAGTGCCAGGAAAAGTTCCTTCTGGCTACACCAATGCTCTGTTTGATTTGAGTGGAGATTGGCTCCATGATGCCACCGACACCAAGTATCTTGCTTTTGATGGTTACTTCATCTCGTTGTACTACTTGCACCTGACGGCATCTCCACTGGTGCTCCAAGACAAAGTAAAGAATGCAGTGCCGCCTCGTTGGGATCCAGCAATGTTATCCAGGTAGCTTTTGATACTTCAATGATATATCTCCGTCGGATCAGGCTGCCATTCCTTAGTGTTTACTAGACTGGGATGTGATCTTCTTTGTTGCACATAATTGGTGGGGAATTGCTGGAAACGTTCATGCTTTATAGTGGTTGCTGTCTTGAATTGAATTCTGATCAATTTATTAGGCAGGTTCATTCGTACATATGGCACGCACATAATTGTAGGGATGGCAATTGGAGGTCAGGATGTTATTTGTGTTAGACAGAAACATTCATCCACCATTCCTCCTGCCGACCTCAGAAAGCATTTGGAGGATCTTGGAGATTTTCTCTTTTCTGATAGAAGAAGTCCATCCCTGATGCAGAGAAATGCGAGAGATGGGAAACAAAAGGTAACTGGTCTGTTTCGTTGAACATATTGCATGATAATATTTGCTCCTATGCATTGTTTCTTATGCATTATCAATGTGTGGCTATGAACGTCTACAGGTACCTGATGTTTTCAATAGGATTCTGCAGTCAAACACCATGCACCTGACCAGCATTACAGAAACATCAAGCAAGGAGGTAAAAGAGCAGCCTACGGTGGCACCTTTCATTTCCTGATAATGACCTAGAGGTTTATTTATTGTACCAATCTCGTTTTTCCTGACTTGTACAGGGCCTCACCATTGTTTGTTCGAAAAGGGGTGGTGATGTGTTCTCACACAGTCATTCTAACTGGCTACAAACAGTACCTGCAAAACCAGAAGCAATCCTCTTCAAGTTTGTGCCAATTACTTCTCTTCTTACTGGGGTCCCTGGCAGTGGTTATCTTAGTCATGCTATTAACTTGTATCTACGATGTAAGTCCTCATGTGCTGAAGAGATGCTCATCCAGCTTTCACAACATCTCTCAACTTCCTTAAATTATGTCTCGCTCAGTTGTCAGGACGTTCACATAGCATCATCTTAACTTTGTCGATTGCTCTTATTGTCCAGACAAGCCTGCCCCAGATGATCTGCAATTCTTTTTGGAGTTCCAAGTACCAAAGCAATGGGCACCTATGTTCTGTGAGTTACCTCTACGGCATCAAAGGAAGAAGGCTTCATCCCCATCTCTGCGGTTCAGCTTTATGGGACCCAGGCTTTTGGTTAGTTCCACTCAGGTACATTACTCTACAACTAATTGCTATGTGCTTTGTGCCTTGTGACTGTTGTGGTTAGTTTTCATGCATAATTAATGTTCTGTATAAGTACTATGAGTTTCTCGTTATCATTTACCAAATTTTGCGTTATGTCGATCATTCAGGTTTCAAGTGACCAAAAACCAGTGGTTGGGTTGCGTTTGTATCTAGAAGGGAAGAAATGCAACAAGCTGGCAATACATCTCCAGCATCTCTCAAGCCTTCCAAACCTCATGAACACATCATCATCCAACCCTGCCACCGTCTCCAGACCATGCCAATGGCAAGGCTCCGACCGGTATCCATCCAGCGACCAATTCTTAGAACCCGTGAGGTGGAAGCGATACTCGAAGGTCTGCACGTCCGTAGTCAAGCACGACCCAACATGGCTCCACGATGGAGGAGTTTTCGTTGTAACTGGCGCACAGCTTCTCAGCAAAGGCAAATGGCCCAACTCGGTACTCCACTTGCGCCTGTCATTCACACACTTGCCCCACTGCAGCATCCGGAAGACCGAATGGGCAGCTGTCCCAGAAGCACCCCATAAGACGAGCATCCTCACGAACATCAGCACGACATTCACATTCACTCAACGAACACCTCCTGGCCAGGACAAACAGGCTGGCGCTCCAGCAGCTCTGAATTCTGGAGTGTACCCAGATGGTCCTCCAGTTCCAGTCAGCTCGAGGAAGCTTCTGAAGTACGTGGAGACAGCTGAGATCGTTCGCGGTCCACATGACACACCAGGACACTGGTTGGTAACAGCCGGTAAGCTAGTGGTCGACAGTGGGAAGATTGGTTTGCAGGTGAAGTTCGCGCTGCTGGACTATCCAGATAGTTAGAGTTCGAGTATGTGTGTATAATATAGTGATGGGTGCAACTTATTTTTTGTTTCTTTTTGTTGTATGATAACCTGAGTTGGGGTATACAAACGTTTCGTGCACCCAGAGGCGCTTTACCAGGAGAGGAAAAAAAAACTACATTACAGAGAAGAGGAATTGAAGTGACTAGTACATTTACTTGTTGTATACACAACCGAAGCAATTGACGAACAATCGATACATCAGCTAAACAACCTCGTCGGCTCCCCTATGATTGAACATATCACCATGAACACAAATCCATGGCCATAATGTTGTCTTGATACCTCCATGAACAAGTCAACGAATCCATCACCATCGTTGCATGTCATCATGGGACGCGTTCCAGAACATGCTGCAAAGCCTTCTTGATACCTTCCTGATCAAGTGTTGTTGTCAATTGGATTTCCTGCACCTGAACCGCAACCAAGTGTTCATCATGATTCATGAATTAGCAACGGATTGTGGGGGGTCAAATGAGTTGAATGAAGTACAGGGGCCAAAATGGTACATCATTCAACTAACTTTTTGGTTTTTGGCGAAGACTTTAACTATTACAGAAAACAGCTTACCTGCCTACCAGCACGAGCCAGGAGGATGAACTTTCTATCTATCGGCAATGCCTGTTCAAGGATTCACCAAACAAGAATGAAACCATCATACTTACAGGAAGGTAAAAAGAGAGGAGAGTGATTACAGAGAGGCTCACATTCGAGAGCCAAAGTTGGAGGTCCTGAGAGACCACCCGTTTCTCGAATCCTTGCCTATTGATTCTTATGTCTTCTATACTGCTCACAATATCATCATAATAAACTAGTTAGCTCTTGTTGCGCACAGAATCATCTATAGAGCAGTGAGGAGGCAAAGCAAGCAAGCAAGCTATCATACCCTTCTTCGAGCAGGAGTTCAGTGAATATCTCGGTAAGTCCAGGGAGCGGTTCGATGGTAACGCCATTATACGTGCCACTAGGATCGGTGTCAACTGAACCATCGTCCTGGAACACCATGAAGCTTCTAATCAGAATCCTCTTTTGCAATGTGCTTCTAGGGATGTGAATTGACATTTCCTTTTTGTTATCTACTAACCTGAGGAATTACTTTGTCCAAAGTTTCTAGCAGAGGATCCTCTTCCAACTGTTTTATTGACAACGCAATCCTTGACTTCTTCCTGCAACCATTTCTTCATCATATTAACCGCCGACCGGGAGAAAGAGGACTTGGAAAATAACATATAGTCGACACTTACCAATCGACTTCAGTGACTTTGACCCTCACTTCTTGACCTTCAGTTAGGACATCTCGTACATCTCGAACTAAATCCCACGAGACCTCCGAAATATGTATTAGTCCAGTGAGATGATGCAGACCTGACGTTCATTTTTCAGTTCATTTCCGGATTGTCAAGAATGCTGAATTAGAAAAGAACAACAGTATGCTATTTTTCCACAGCAAAAGATGGCACACATGAAATGGGCATACCATCAGGGAAACGCAAGTGAACAAAGGCACCATAATCCTCCACTAACCCTATTCTTCCCGCAAAAACATCCCCAACATTGACACCTTTCGAGAACATTGCCCATGCAGCTTCCCTTTCCGAGAAAACCAGGTTCCTGTTCCCCTCGTCTGCTGCAATTATCTAATATCAAGAAACCATGAACAATGAAACAAGAGAAGTCCAACTGAAGTTGAGCAGTATGAAGATAAGGAGGAAGGGGCAAGATTACCTTCACCCTAATAAGTGCATTGGCCATGCCTTCGGCTATCTCATGGATAGTTTTGTGTGGCTCTACATGAATGACACCAATCATGCAGTTAAAAGGGAGAAGAACAGAGGTAACTAATTCACAATAAGAGCTCTTAGCTTCTTCATAGACTACTGCCAAATGCTAAGAATGGTGAAATGAGTGAGTTAGGTCGTTGATCAGTTACCTTTACAATAGTGAGCAGGGCTCAACTGTGGATAAGGAAGGAAACCCATAAGAGAATGGAAGCGTACAAGTAAACCCCCGGCATTAGAACCCTCGATCCTGCCAACATGAATCGCCCCTCTCTCCTTGAATTCTCTCGCCGCCTTCCAATCGGCGGATCTCTACACTTACTTTGCAGAAAACATTTGTTAAAGAGAGAAAGCGACCAAATTGAATCATTGGAGTTGGCAGCAATACACAAAAATCAATATCCCAAAGGAAATTGCGTCAGGAAAGCACCCGAGCTAGCTTGGCGGCATCAGGGGAGTCTGCTTCAAGAACAGCTTCGCTGGTGGCGGCGGCGGCGGCGGCAGGGGACCCTTTGGAGTCTCCGGCTCTGACAGTGAGAAGTGAGTGCCTGAGCTTGTGGGTACTTCTCAAATGACTCAACAATGGCGGGTTCACTGCCTGAGAATTTGCGGAGAAGGTGTCAGCGGTGGAGAACAGCTGATGCTGGGAGAGAAAGGAGAGGCCAGCGAGTGATCCACCGTGACAGAGGGTGAAAATTGGCATGGTGACTCGATGACGGGGCGGAAAGCAGCAGCCCAGAGTGGCATTTGGATTGGGTCTAAAGGAGTGGCTGTTGACGACGCAGATAGCGACCATGATAAAGTCGATAACTTTGCCCAAAGCTCCTACCTTTTTTTTGGAGGGTGGGTTGTACTTGTACATTTTGGTTGATGGGGGTTTGGGTTCATAATCGTTACAACCTGATTTTAATGGCTGAATTAATAAAATGAGTATTTGGTTGCATTCATCGTTCAACCTTATGATCGGATAATCCCACCACATTAATAATGAACATTAGATGGGCAGTATTGATGCCTTCACTTCTGCAAAAAACACGAAGAAATGTGTCATAGCTTGCTCTGCCTCTTCCGTGATCTTCTCGCAGAGTCCGTTGATCTCGAAAATGGGTACTTCTATTTTCTATTCGAATTTTGCAATTTTGTTATGACAATCGATTTCGATAATGCTGTTCAAGAGAAAAGCTCTTGTCTCCACAATTTTTGGTGCCCTATCCCTATGCATACTCCCAAGGCATACTCCTTTGAATAGCATGACGAGATAACGTTAACAGATTGTAGGACAAGAACACCAACACTTCGACTATGTAAGGACCCCTAACCCTTCCGAAGAGGGAAGCCATATTTCAACGGTGTAACTCGCATGAACTCATATGATCACTCTCTAAACTTCTTCGATTGTCCGAAATTTCAATAGTTTTGAAATAGACCACATAGACAGACCCTTAATGAAGAAAAAAACTTCAACCACATTGTTATTCTCTATTTTAATGTTCTTACCAATTCATCCATTAGTGAATCTCACCTCCACGAAAATGTTATTTGGTCAATTAAGATTGGAGAGGGAAAATGAAGGTCTACCTCTTTGAAGGATAGAAAGAAATGTGGTTGAATCCAAGCTCTAAACTCCACTAAATTAAGTTGTTCTATTTCCAATATGTAGTGGGGGGAAAACAGGATTTTTCACTTTCACATTTCAAATGCTCGTCTGCCGCCTCAGCCGTTCCAACAGCTCCTCGGATATAATAACTTCCGGGGTCGGAACTATGGTCGCCGAAGAATCTCCGGTCACCGCCGAATCAAAACCATCTGTTCTTGCTTTAATCTTGATCACATCTACCCCTCCATGCCGATTCATCATCACCGCGCTGCTTGGCAGCCTCTCCTCAAAGAAGGCTTTGTGTCTCCTTAGATGTCTGCCATCATATCACAATCCAAATTGCATTAGGATTAGCCTGTTTTCAGATGATGTTAACTTAAAAGTTAGAGGTTGCTAAATGATTCTACCCGGGTAATCGAACTGAAAACCATTTCAGAATCAATCAATCAAATAAATCAAACTCACTGTTAACAGAACAGTTACCAAAAAGGTTTATACTTTATGGTTTTCGATTGTGTTCTTGCAGCCAATAGCGTTAACATATAACCGAAACCAAAGAACCTGTTCTACACGGACGGTTACTAAGCAAGGATTCAGCCATTTACCCCATTTCAACCAGTTGGTTAATCCGAAAAATCGCAACCAGGTATACGAGTACAAGCATGAAACCATTGACAATACCAGGGGAACGATAATACCTGTCAAGAACCACAAAGGTAGCATGAAGGCTTGTAGTTTGCTCAAGAACCACAAGCTTGAAGGGATGCCCCATTGCCACTTTCATCAAAGGAACCACCTATATAATGACCACAGGAGCAACACCAAATCACAAACAAAAGACCAGTGCCAAATAATGACAGTCGAGAAGAATTTGAGCTGTGAAAAGCTAGAGTTCAGAACCTGTTTCTGTTTACAAAGATCCATTATCCCCCGAATCTTCTGATGCTTCTTCGGATCATTTCTCGCTCCACTCTTCCTCCCCATAGGACCTCGCATATCTTCAAGAACATGCCTCCATACATCTAAACCTATCTTGCACGAAACTAGCCCAAGCGAAAAGGAAATTGAAACCAAGTTAACCAAAGGAAATCTCCGATTTTCCAAGAGAAGAATAGATTATTAGCCAAGAGGAGAAAGCTTACAGGGGAAAGGAATCCAAGGCAAGACTCCGAGGAGGGTAACCGAACATCCAGCCTCGATCACACAGTCAAGTGCCCATTGAAGAGGCTCCATGGAGAACTCCTTCAATGCATCCATAACAATCACCACACGTTTGCAACTACCCCTGGAGCCAGGTGATTCCCTCGGTATCAAGACTTGGGCTAAAGGATGAGATCTGGAATGGAGTGATCTTCCTTCTCTCATCATTGTCCTGGAAGCAGTAACATTCATTCCCAAGAAAAATGGAAACTTGATAATGCTACAGAGCTACCCTACTTCCATAGCCAATAACAACTAAGTAAAGATAATTTGGCAGCCGGAAAGTGGAGGCTGCAATGGAAAGGCAATTCCTGTCTGTCATAGGAAATATCAAAAGAGCAAACAAAAATGCCAGCGGCAATTACAATGCTTTGAGCAGCATATTTAAGCATCATATACCAGACAACCGCCAAGGAAAGACAAGCTCAGTTGACAATCACAATATTACAACGCAAAAGTGAGTCATTGGAGCAGGAGAGATAAGTTCATCCCAATGACAATATACTTCCAAAACCAACACTGTCCGCCGCATCACAAAACGGTTGAAACAAGGAAAACCCAAATAAGCAAGAAAGAAGACAACTTGAAATAGTCGAATTTAAGGTATTACATTCGGAACTACATATAACAAAATGGTACATACAAATTCATAATCTTCAAACCTCATCCAAACGCATATTATAGACACAAATGAATCAAGTAGGCTCTAAAAACACACAGTAGTGATAATAATGAACATTCACCAACACTGGAAGATAAGGTGGTTCGGAGTCATAAAGAAGCCTGTCTATTATTTTGATGAGATAAGATCAGTGCAAGAAAGTAGGCGGCTTCCATAGAACAAACGTTACAGAGAGCTTCAAGAGTCTTGGCTAGGATTGGCTGCTGATGGGTTGAATACAACCTGCTCGCCACAAGAGAGGAACTCATGAGGCCCTGCTTCCTCCCTGCCTACACCCATCAAGTCGAGATAGTAAAGGTAATGGGAGATGACGTTGTTCATGGGATCAATATCGCCCTGGCCACAGACATTGTCACCATAGAGAATGTTCATTGTTGTACCGAACCCAGGAATGCGCTTGGACAGGGTATCGTTCTTCGTGGGCTTCCAGTCGCCAACAAAGACCTCATGGGCCGAAGGCTGCGACTTTTTCGCTGGTGTCATCCACATCCAAATGGCAGCCTGGAAAGCCAAGGTAGCATTTTGCTCTATGTACTCGGGGTGGTTCAACAAATCAGCCTTGATACCTTTTCCAACCTTGCCATAGTTATAGTTCCTGTGGAGCCAAAATCATAATAAAGATCAGCAGCAGCAGTGACTAATGGTGTTATTTAAAAGTTCTACACTTTGTACACGTATTCTCATTTTCCAAGTGAGAGAAGGGAGAAAAGAACAAGAGGAATCATCGATATTGAGAAATATGGTTAATTTACACACACAAATACAACTCTCGGTAATCATGATCGGTCGCATCAAGTCTCTTCTTTTTTAGTACCATTCACAGCTGCAGCTAGCTGAAGTAGAGTTCAAATAAGTTTTATCAACACTCTGTGACTGCACTGCATCTCCGCTAGGTTCGCTTAGTTCAACGAAAACAGGAGACCAGGAATAACCCAATCAGAGAGGGAATGTAGGTGGTCACCAGCAATATTTACCAGTAGATAGGAATGGCGCCACGGCCATAGTAATCAGCTCCAGGGGTACAAGGGTAGGTGTATTTGAAGTAATCGTCACAATACGACTGCTGAGGGCTCATTTCCTTATTATAGCATAGACCCCAAGCTAACGGCCCTCCAGTCGCCACTCCATAACCACCTGAAGAATATCATCAACAACATTGCAGAACTTGATTAGCTTTGAATCTCATCTCATCTCATCCATGGCCAATTCTCACAATTCCCACTATAACAAGATTCACAGCCACCATTCCGATTCCAATTATAGAAATTCAACATTGTGGCCCCCTAAATCCTCGATTTGAACCCTCAATTCAGCACAAACAAAACAACAAGAATGAATCCGAATCTAGAGTTGGTTGACTCACAAGTGGTTTTGCTGCCGACATGGGCAAGAAAAGCGGCGAGCTCCTTCATCTGCATCAGCTTCCCGCCGGTGGTGCAGAAACCGTCCGGCTGGAAGAGAGAGGCAGCGAGGATGAACGACCGGTACTCCCAAAACCCGACGGCGTGAGCGACGGGGGTGTTCCTCTTGGAGAAGAGATTCTCAAACTGGTAGGTCTGGAAGAAATCGGAGATCGTCTCGTTGCAGCAGTAAACGGAAGGCGTCTTGCATTCCCAGCCTTTGGTACAGTACTTCCTCCCCTTCACCTTCTTCACCACCACCGCCGGCTCCGAATCGTCGCCGCGGACCACCGCCGCCAAACCCACCACGCAGAGCATCAGCAGCAGCAAGGCCGCCGCAACGCTCCGATTGGTAGCCGCCATGGTCAATCGTCTTCGGGAAAGTCAGAAGACGGGGGAATGCGGCAATGGATCTGAAGAGACGAATTCCAAATCTCTTCTCTGGTACGGGAAAATGGAAGGAGAAGAAGGGAAAGGGGAGATTAAGGGAGTGGCGAAGGAGTGTTTAGATCGGTGGTCGTTTTCCAGCCTAAAGTGGCGATGGCGCTTTTTTGGGGAGAGAGAAATGTTTGGTGAAGATCGACGGTGGAGATTGTGCCGCGCAAATTGATGGACGGTGGAGATCAGGTGGACATAAACAGCCTGGAAACTGTAGGAATCTGTTATGGTTCCGGTTCGGACTTCGGACCCGCCCACTCGATTTCCCACCGACAGCCTATATTTCCTGCGAGAGACGAGCATTAAACCGGGCGAACCGGTTGTTGGCTGGTCATGTGTGGGTCACAATCGTAAGACCGAATCATTTTAAGTTTCGGTTGGAATGGAAGCGATCCAAATAAAAAAAATGTAGTAAATCACTCCTTATCGTTTTCATACATTTTGGTAGGGCTGGAGGTTCGGTTATCGGTTACCGGTTAACCGGTCGGTTAAACCAATAACCAAAAATTATTTGCTTCGGTCGGTGGTCGGAGCTTATGATAGGTAATTCGGTTAACCGAGAGTAACCGAAAACCGGTTATTCGGTTAACCGACAATAACTGAAAATAACCGACCGACCACCCCCCCTCAACAAAACGATGTGAAAATACCCGGTATGAAGTTTATAATTTTATGTTGTTGAATTTGACACATTAATTTGGTGATTTAGATGTAGAAATGTAAGTTAGAACCTTTCATTTTAGGCAATTCTAATAATTTTACCCGGTTAAAATCGAACCACAATCATTTTTTCGGTTATCTCGGTTAACCGACCAACTAACCGATAACCGACCGGTCGGTTATTGGTTAACCGAGGCATTAGCGTCGGTGGGTGTTCGGTAGGGGGAGATGGTAGTTCGGTTAACCGGTAACCGACCAATCGGTTATCGGTTATAACCGAACCGAACCGAATCCACCCCTACATTTTGGTGTGTTCGATTCAATTTGATTTATTTACTTCTTATTTTTTGTATACCGAAAATCGGAAGGTTTTGAAATTTAGGAATGTGAATCAAATAAACCTTGTATCGATCTTACTTGAGCCCATCCAACCAATTTGATTTAGGCGTGAACTGAACCATTACCTACTCTTTCTAGATGGTTAGGACGATAATTGCTTGGGAATTGGTGAAAGGGTAATGTATTGCTACCCGAATTTGTTCAAACCTTACTTTTGATGGATGTTTGTACGAGTGTTAGTCACTCGTTCAATGAGTCGACTGACACGATAATTCCCAACGTTTGTCGAGAGGTTTCTTCTCAATATCGATACTTTCTTCTGGGCTTTGGAAGGGAGTAGACATGTAGAATAGGGTAATGCTCTATAGTTTCCTAAAACGTCTCACATATGGGTTGTGTCTGGTGAGATGAGACTATAGGTGAGTTATGATGCAAGAAGATGGACTTACCATGAGCATATGAAAGAACACCATCAATGATACCCCGCTCAAGAGCATTCACTACCACATTGGTAGATGTTGAAGCCAGGGAGCGTACGCCAAGATTGACCATCCTTTATGTGCTTTTTGTAACTAAGAACGCCTCAGACAACTCAAATCAACACAGGGGATGCTAGACCCTTTAGTTATCTGACGATCAAGTCGAGAGTGTGCTTTTAGAGAAAAAAAGTGAAGTGAAGAGTTTTGTTGTCTTTTTTGTTATGCTTCCTTATTATTCTGTTTACAGCAAAATATTTTCTCTTAAAATACCACTTGAGTGATTTTGGACGATATGAGCCCCTTTAAATGGTTTGGACCATGCACAGTGGATTGAGACTGTGTAATCGGTGCATAATTGTTGGGAGTAAGCTGACCATTCATAATTTGGTCACCATATGTCCAGATACCATCCAACACCAAATTGAACGGTATCATCTTATATAATGGATATCATTCAACTTCTTAATGAATGGTGATCATTCCATATCATGGATACCATCCAACCCCAAAGTGGGTGATGACCATCACACATCACAGATATCATCCAACCCCCCTAAGTAGATGATACCATCTCATATTCATGGATGTCATCCAATCTAAGTGGATAGTACCATCCCATATTCATAGACACCCTCCAAAGTACTAACTAGATGGTATCCATGGTGAAGAATGGTTACTATCCAATCTAACATGACAACATGGTGGATGACTACTATGCCACGATGATGTGTCCATAGACTTCCATTGACGAGAACTGACTAGTCTAGATACTACAGAGCTACTTTTCGAGAGGGGGAGAGAGAGTTGTTTGACGACTCTGGGCAGCAAAACTTTGAAGCAACCTTGTGGAGCAAAAGAGACAATCACAATCCAACACACAAACAACTTGTTTTAACAGTTAATCGTGTTTTTTTTTCCTTCTTTTTTTGTAGTGTGTGGAGCTCTCTTTCATAGTCGTAGTCGCAGAACTTTCATGGAATCTCCATAGGATCAGTCCAGACAAGCCCAACAGCAGCGATAGAAATTGAAATTTCTACAGGGTACTACTACTACACACCGCAGCGCACAGTGCATATGTCTGATGATCGATCTATTTATTGATGGGTTGCGATTTGCGAAGCTTCCCCACAAGCGTGTTGAAGAGACCTTTTCTGCACAGTAAACGTATTAAATTACGTCGTCACTGTCACAGTTCTCGTCGAAGCAGTTCGTCTCCATTGTTATTACAACTAAATGCGAGCATATAATACACACAGCTGCTTTTTACTGGTTAGGTGGTTCACTATCGGCCAAGCAATAGGGACCAACCATCTGTCTACTCGAATGGTTTGACTTCAGTGCTTCACCCAATTTTCACTAAAAACTTGATTAACCAATCAGAACAGAGACTCCACCACGTTTTATCCGACCTTAGCAGACCAGCAGTATTCATGTGGTGAAGACTAAAGAACAAAAGAAAATAAAAGTTGGATCGATGATGGTTGCTTCTGATATTTGTGGTGTATAATATTTACCTGGTCGAGGATCGATGGCGGCGTCGCAGTGGTCGGTGGCCACAGCCATGGGAAGAAGAAGAAGAAGAAGAAGAAGAAGAAAGAATATCGTCGCTAGCTGTTGGAGTGCAAGTGGGTTGCCGGTAGGGTAGGGAAAAGTAACCGTGCCGGTAGATATCTGCTCGAATCTGATTTAATTGGGTAAGGTAAAATTTGATTTTTTTATGATTTTTAATGAGTACGAGTAAAATCCGAACTCGAGTAAAGTGGGGTGATGAGTTGACATGATTTTCACACTATCCAACCCGTACCCCTCCCCCCGCCCGATTATACGGATCAATACGTATATTGCTCAAACATTATCATTAATTTTCTTCGTGCTGGTAATTAATTGTTGTAATTTTTTCACTTATTTAATGTCGGTATACGTGTAATTGTTAACATGTTCGTCGAAATTATAAACATAAATTATTATCGATGTAAAGTGAACGAGGGATTAGAGTGAACGAGGAGTTACATCATTTGTAGTTTCTCGTGATTGAGCTTAAGTTTTGTTCACGTAGCTCCATCGTTGGCTGGAAGGATGTATGTCAGGCCTTCATAATAATGTCGCGCTATCTTCAAAATCGACTGACGATAGTAGATATTGTTCTATACCATCAGGTTCGTTCGTTCTTCGTTCTTTTTTACATGGATTCTTCTTCGTTCTTTTTTAACATTTGCTTTTAGCATGGAGAAAATGAAGAAGTGTTTTGTCTGCATAAAATTAACTGTCGCATGACTTAACTATGTTAACAAGCTAGAACAAAAATTAAAGTCTAATGACTATCAATAAACTACACGGCCCAAAGTGGACAAGAAGGCCCATGTATTTTTTCTGATAGGGACAGGAAGGCCCATCGACCACCGAACCAATCCTCCCATACTTGTATTATTACTTTTTACAGTCAATTATGTCCCTTTTTCCATTTCTACCCATCCATAATTTTCCTTTTATATGAGATCGCTTTCCATCTTTTATATATTATAATCTAATTATTAATCATTGAAAGTTAACTAGATTTTTAATAATGAATTGTCCATAATCTTCCTTCTCTATTTTTTCGGGATCGTTTCATTCATCTGAAAGAGGATTAACCGAGATAAGCGTATTGATTAATGATTGATTAGTTGAATTAACATTTAACTATAACTAATCCCCCGTAAAAAACTGTAATCCGGATAAAATAAAACCCCGCAAATCCCACTAAATTAAACAGAAAAAAAACCTAATTCTTATCCATAATTCGAAAAAGAAGGGGGAAAAATCATTACACTGCAAATCCTTATCCTATTTCTGTCCAATTCATCACTTATTTAAATATAAAAATTAAGTATTTAAATATTATTCAATATCTTCCCCCAATCGCAACTTCCAAATCCCCAAACCAGAACAGAAAATAAAGGGAAAAAATAAAAAAGGCTCCATCTTTATACCGAAAAAACCACGCCAAGGAAAATTCCCCTTTTTAGAATCCGATTTCCGCTCCCACCGGTGGCCGTCAATCCATTCCCCTCTTTACTGAATCATCATCTTCCTCCGGCGGATTGGATCCAATTCGCTTTTCTTTTCATTTCGCCTGCGGCGGATTCTCTCTTTGGTTGTTGTTGTGTGACTTGGTTGCGGTGATCGGGGAATTCGCGAGGGTTTGCGGGAGATTTGAGATTGGGGGATATGCAGGTGGAGAAGGTCGGGAGGGATCCTTCCTGTTCCATGGGGGTGGATTGTTTCATGAGCATAGCCAGGGCGTTCGGTACGTCCTGTTTCACCGATGAAGGTTCTCGCGGCGGCGGCGGGCTGTCGCGGCAATCTTCCGGGAGTAGCGCGGAAGCGGCGAGGCGGAGGAAGAAGAGGCAGATGATGATGAAGAGGAGCGATTCGAAGCTGGAGATATGGTTGCACAGGGTCCCTGGGAGGTTGTTCTTGAATAGCTCGTCGGAATTCGCGTCTCTGTTTACTAAAGCTGGGAAGAAAGGAGTCAATCAGGATGCCATGGTTTTCTGGGAGGTCAGCTTGCCTTCCATTTCTCTAAAAAAATTTCCTCCAGTACTTATCAATCTTCTACCTGGGTATTTCTTTGGGATTCCCAAATGTAATCGCAGATGCTGATTGGATGCTGGTAGCCACGGGTAGATGTTTGGATATTGTTTTTTTTTGGTTTTCCCTTGATTTACCTTTCTATTTGGTAGAATGATGATTGGACCACTTGCTCTCGCTGCAATTTTTACATGATCTCTGTCTGTTTTGATATTATTTAGCATAGATCGCTAAAGGTTTCAACTTTCAGATCAGCAACTTTTCCGTTGTTATGGATCAACTGTTATTTATGCAGTAGATGCTAGTTCTTGGCCATATCACGGTGGGAACAGTTGAAAATAGGCAGAATTCCTTGCAAGTGAAACCAGCTAGAAGCTTATTATTGACATGGAAGATTGACATCTTATTAATGACATTTGAGAGGCTTTTCATGGGCAACTCTGATTAGCATGATGCAGATCACCTATATCTTGTGCATTGATATGGCTTAGTTGTAAATTTTCTACTTTGTTTTGTTTTCAGGAGCTACAGTTTGTCATTTCTGTTTTGGCGGTGGCGTGTAATGATCTTGCTGACATGCTTCCTTTCCTTCTTCTTGCATCTGCTTTATTTGCATAGCATGTAAATTTGTACTCGGTGCATCACTGGGAAGAAAGTTTGTCACATCCCTTCCTCACGAGGAAACTTTTTCTCATCATTCCTAGACCCAATGGGTTGTGGAATGGATTTGCACAGGGTACTGTAATCCATATTGTGGCCACAGTTATTATATAGCCTGGCTTGGTGCTAGACTACTTAATTTTGTTTATACGGTGTGAAAAAGATGCCGAGAAAGTTACTGAGCTCTTGCCTGTACGGTGTATTTGGTGATATGGATACTTGAGCTTATTAGGATCTCTACTTTCTTTAATTTTCCTCTGGTGATTGATTGACTTCATTGAGTATATTTACTAATTTACCTTCTGAACAATGTTCATTTTCAGAATTTCGGCCCAAAGGAAGACACAATGTTTTGTGGTATTTTTGATGGCCATGGTCCAAGTGGTCATCTTGTTGCGAAGAAAGTGAGGGACTCTTTGCCTTTAAAACTGAGAGCACAATGGGAACTAGATTGTACCAGCGGTGAGCTTGGCCTCATGAGTGGTAATACTGTTGGAAGAACTGCATTAGCAGAGTGCTCACTCAATTCATTTCAATCAGAATCACCAACGGGAAACTTAGATAATGGAAAAAAAGACGTGCAGACCGACATTTTTTTGACATTTAAAGACTCATTTTTGAAGGCCTTCAAGGCTATGGACAAGGAACTGCAGTTGCATCCTTATATTGATTGCTACTGCAGTGGGACAACAGCAGTAACAGTGATCAAGCAGGTAGCAATCAACACACATCTCCCTCTATCCTTTTTCTATATTCACAGATTTAGCTTCCCGTTGGTATGAATATAACCCTCTCATCTGCTATCGTAGGGGCAGGATCTTATCATTGGCAACGTTGGAGACTCCAGAGCTGTGTTGGGTACAAGAGATAAAAACAACTCCCTCTTTGCAGTTCAGTTGACTGAAGATCTCAAACCTTCTCTTCCAAGTATGTTTCGCATTCCTTTACTTCCAAGTAAATAGTAGAAGTGGAAGCGTGTGAAAAATTCTTGAAAAGAAGAATGATTTTGAAATGATTAGGTGGTCCCACAATGTGTTGACTTTTATTTCGGTAGGTTATTGTCCATTTTCTGCAATTTAGTTACATGGCCCGTTCAAATATTAAATGTTTGTAAGGAAGGACATGAATATCAAATTTGGAGTGCTGCTTTATCATTCAGGAGAAGCAGAGAGGATCCGATCATGCAAAGGAAGGGTGTTTGCTCTTCCAAGCGAACCGGATGTTGCTAGAATCTGGCTTCCAAACAACAACTCACCTGGTCTGGCTATGGCCCGTGCTTTTGGTGATTTCTGCCTGAAGGACTTCGGCTTGATTGCGGTTCCTGAGATTTCACACCATCATATCACGGATAACGATGAGTTCGTTGTGCTGGCTACTGATGGTGTATGGGATGTTTTGACAAACGATGAAGTTGTGGGGATAGTGGGTTCTGTCCCACCATCGAGTGCAGCTCAAACCTTGGTTGACTTAGCTCATCGAGCTTGGAGGACTAAGTATCCCACGTCAAAAACAGATGATTGTGCTGTCGTCTGCCTCTTCCTTGGCTCATCCAGTGCCGAGAAGGTATCGACATCGATGGATTGATTAAATACATCCTCTCTCATGTTTAAATATGATGATCATCAATATGCTAGAAATTGTGGATATGAGTTGCCACCTTTTTGAGGCGCTTCCTGAATTTTTTCATTTGTTTGTGGTATCTCTGGACATTTTGTCCAGAGGTATTTCCACCTTGTACTGTAAATAAGTTTCTCTCATCTTCTAGCCAAAAGAAGAAAGGAAAACAAAAGAGAATGTGGAGGTAAAAGGGTTTTTGGGGGTGTTGAGTTTCTGATGGAAGGAGGGTTCCATCTATTTCAGTAAATTTTTTTGGTCAGTCGGGTAGGTGGCAAACCAGTTTAAATCTTTTTTTCTTTTGCTAGGACTTGTAGTAGATTTTGGGAGGGTAATAAGTGTTGTATAATCTATGAAGTCCGTCGCTGTCGTCGGTCTCTTTGTTGTGAAGGTTTGATGAATGAATGAAGTTGTGGATCTGGGGGGGGTGGGGGGAAATCTGTAGATTTTGATTGTGGCCTCTGCTTATTAGTTTGGAGGTTCTCCTCAGCTGTCTTTGTCGTCCTTGTTGAAGATTTGTGCAGTTTGCAACCATGGCTGCTGTCTCTTCTTCTGCAAGTGGCCATGTTATGGTTCCCCATTATGATGTTGACATTGTAGTAACTATTTTGTTACAGCGAGTGGACTTACACATTTTAAATGAGCATTTTCTTTTTTTTTTCTTACAGAAGTTTCCACATTTGTTTCATTATAACCCGTATTTTTGCATCAGACAGCTTTAGCTTCAGTTACTTGCTACTGCTTATGCATAACAATCTGGCTGCTACACTGAAGTGGGGACGATTAGCATCTGCAGATGGCGCTATCAGATCGTAAGTCGCTGGATTAGGTGCAGCAACATTTGAAATTGTACCATCGTGTCGATCCAAAATATGTTGAAGGCGATTGAAAGGTTTCGAAACTTTTGAACAATCAGCGCAGCAATTGGATGGATAGAGTATATAGATAAAACTAGATGCTGCAGCCAAACTCTGAGCAAAACAGAGCTAAAAAAAGCCAGAAGGAAAAAAGCTGGCATAAAAAGCCAAAATATGAATCATTGGGAGCACTTAATGGTCTCGTAATTTTATCCACAGCTCATACGTAAGCTGTAAGCACCACTGTATGGAATGGAAACATACGGCGAGATGTAAGCCATGACTGCTGCTGCTGCTGCTGGCAAGAACGGTGCATTTGTGTTGGAGAAATCTCCAGATCTTGATTAATATCTTGGTTATGGCTTCTACTTTCATACCGTCTTTTCTCTACTTCGAGTTTTGCGCAGATTGCAAGCCATTGCTGCTGCTGCTACTGCTACTATCGGACAATCCTGGCTACGGTTGCAATGGTTGTTGGGATTGGGAAAGCTTGACGTGATTCGTGATTACATCGGATTGCGTGTTTCTACGTCTCGTGACTGTCTAATGGATGCATCCAATGACAATAAGATACGAAACACACGATCCGAGGTTGAGACCGTAGCTCTTAGCCTGATTCTACTTTAGGAAGGGCGGGCGGGCATAACGTAACTACTTGAATGAAAACGGCCTACACATGACATGGGAGCTGTCTGTCAGATACTAAATCCACTACCAGTTTATGTTCTTCAGAACATTACAAGCACAAGCATGTGGTGTATGACAGAAGAAGAGAGCAGCCAGCCCACATCAAAAAGCTAGCGTCTTTGGATCTCTGACCTGCCAACGCCCAAAAACACAAGCCACCATGCCTGCAATTGTTTTGTTGGTTTTATGTCAGGGATAGAAAATGGCAGCAGGATGCTCCTGACTCATACCATGTGAAAAGGGAATCAGGTTACGGTTCTCGTGCACATTGAGGGTTAGGACATCGCGTAGCGAAATTTTAGTGATTGGTGAATCACGGAATTTGGGATTGAACAACAATTAACGCGTTATGACTATAGGTGATTTGTTGGAGGGTGGCTTGACGCCACTGTACACGACAATATACTTACAAAACTGTTCTTCCTTGTGTTTCCGAAACGATTTGCTGACTGCATTTAGTTTCAATTTCGAGGGAACAACGGGCCTTCAGTTAACGGCAGCAAAGAGAGGTAGGTCAGGGAAGGGAAGTTGTGAACAACTGCCTGGATCAGAATTCACATCGAAGTCAAATGATGATATTGGTACTCACATTTCCACGAATAGACCGTTAAACGGAACCAAATTGAAGCACTGTATATGGATCGTTACCACGAACGATTTCGAGATACTCATATCCAATCCAACCCATGTCAACTGGGTCGGGCATACCGAAGTTACCTGTATGCAGAATGATGCCAAGGCAAAGATGCAGATGAGGGGGAGGAAAAAGGAAATCTATTTATCTATCAAGCATCAACCAGCTACATACAAATGATCTGATATCGCGTTCATCAGAAGGACCTCCTAGGCCAATGTGATCAAACCTGAGTCTATTTACACCAATTACCAAAGCCTAGCTGTAGTAAGCTCTCTCTATAAAAGGCCCCCCACAACTCACTTTGGACGAGCAAAATATTTACCCAAAGCCAATGTGTGGGGAGAAAAACACTATCTTCTATCAATCATCTACTCATCATCTCCTCTTCAGTAGAAAGTTTTTCTTTATCTTGCACTGTTTCGTGTAGGTTGCTGCAGTACTAAAGGAAACTCGCTATAGTAGCAATGTACTTAGCAACAAGAGTACTACGGCCCATTCTGCGCTGAAACTGGACGCAGAGGATGGAATAGTGTGGGATCCCACTAAATGTACTGTTCCGGTCTTCTCATCCTGCACGGTGATGGTCGATGAACCTGAAACCAACCACAGAACACAAGGATTAAGTAACACTGAGACTCAGTAGCACTAGCAAACAAAGTATTGGAGTTCAACTAGGACTTGACCCTAAAAGAGTTGAATAAGGATGGAGTATGCTGCTTTGATTACACGAGAAAAGGAAGATATTGACTGAACACCATAGAAGATGTGAATATGAGATTCTGTAGTTCTAGCCTCATAAAAGTCAAATAAGTGAGATGAGGCGTCTGAAGAGAAGTGACATAAAGACTCACAGTTATACTCTGTCCATCCAATGGCTTGCTTTTCAAGATCGTACAAAACCAATTTATTTGAGAGTACTAAATCTGCAAATACATGAATGAAGAATAATCAGAAACAGGGCCGCACCCAGAAGAAGAAACCGCGATTGGAAAACGAAACATGCAGCTGATATGTAAACCAGTGAACAACATTAACAGCTAATTGTTATGCAAGTCATGGTACCTGACGACAGTTACAGTCCACTAACAACGAAAATGAGCAGATGTTTTTATACCTCCTAACAAAGTCATGTTCCTTCTATCCCTTGATTGCAGTCCACTGTTTTGCCAACCAAGACACCAGTAACCCTCCTGCAAATATTACATTAGTATAACAAACTTGCTTTTATTAATCAGGTGGCATTCAGCAATTTCAAGAGATGGGGCGTTCACAATGATTTCATGAATAAAATAGCAGCAAAGTGGATAATACATAAACAAGATCAAGTCGCCTCTACAGCTCAAAAGAAGCTTAACATTATAGCAGCCATATTATAGGAGATGGTCTGGTGGAAACATTATAGTCTCGCCACTCATGGTCATATGTCAAGGTTATGATTGTAATCCCATTAGATTGTTGAAGAATAATTTCGGAAACTAGCTTAGTCTTATCAACTAAGTTGCACAAACCATAGAGAACTCATTACTGAACTGAGAGCCTGGTCATCGTTTACAGGTTATATTTCAAGGATTATGCCATTTTCTTAGAATCCTGTCCTATTGTTGCTGGTCAGCAAGAAACTTTTTGGTGAAGCTATACAACAACAGCGATTTCTATAAGTGGCAGAAAAGAAAAAGAGCAAAATATCCACATAATCAAGGATCAAACAAGTGGCACTGAGTATTTTGACTGGTATATGAAAAAGAGCCAGAAACTACAGAGTGGTATACTTACAAATGGGAATAGATATTCGTGTGGATAAACCCTCAGTAAGAGTGAATTTTCAAAATGGAAAGTCACATTTGGAAATGCATCATCCAAACTGCAATGGAATATGAAACAAACATTGAGGTGAATTTTAGCAAAGGAAAAAACTATGAAAACGAAACGGCAACACATTCAAGCTGGAAAATAAGCTTCTACTAATCGAAAAATTGAGTTCGCAACAAATCACAAATATTTTCCCTTATTTCTTCCATACAGTCCATTTCTAACTCAAAGCAGGCGGTCAACTAAGTACGAAGAACTAGAAACACAGTGCTCATTTATATGTACCTTCCAGAATACTGAAAACATGTATATTCATCGTGGACAGTTTGAACCCTTAGATTAGGTTGCTCAGATATTATCTAAGAAAGAAACAAGATCAATGAGTTAGGCAAATTACACAAACTAGAACCTATGCATAGGACAAGCCTTTTTCATTCCCTTACCTTAGTTACTAAAGGCTTATAAACCATTTCTGGGAGGTAGGCCAGTGTTGTACCACTATCAATGATTGCTCCCTTTTTGTCCCCAGCATCAAATACTTCTGCCGGAAGATGTAGCATATCGTGACCAACTTGAACTGCCGTCATATTGACATTGTAATGGAGCCTAAAATTTTAGCATCAAGATAGAACATCTCATATTAAATTGCATTCACAGAGACCCATGGCAGCTGGGAATGTAAGACAAAATCAAAGAACAAATACCAAAAGCAACCAGACTTGAGAAGTGGCAAACAGAGATAAGTTTGGCTAAGTGGAACTATAACCACTCACTGGTCTTGTATGATTGGTGTCATATTAACCCTTGGCTCCACAACATGCCCAATAGCAAATATACCACCCCCGTTTTCACCATCCAAGCAGTGAGCAAATATCTTTTTCACTCTTCCGGTAGCGGCCAACTGAGAAATCATTGATGAATTGGCTTTTCCAAATCCAAGTATCCCATCAAGTGCTGCTTCAGTAGAAGAGCCCAGATCCCCTGATTGTCTAGCACCACATCTATCATGCACAAATCCAACCTTGTCAGAACCAAAAAGCTAGATGACATGATCATATACTGAAAACAACAAAGAAAGTGAAAAAATATCAACTTTGGAGGGGAAAAAGAGAGACAGATAAAGAAATATTTCGGAAAAGAAGATATATAGCAGATACACGAGAGAACAGAATGAATGAAGTAAGATTAAACAATGCAAAGAAAGACTATAGAGACACCTACGCAGTCACATACGCATTGGACAAGCAGAACTACAAGAAAATGGAAAAAATGAGCACAAGAAGTGTACAGCACATAAGCAATTATCAATTCACAAGTTAAAAACAACTAGTACTATAAACTCAAGCGAGTACTGATGAGCTAGCTAAGCTTCAGAGCACTTTAACTTCCAATTGGAGTAGATAAACTGTAGTAAGCTAAGTATCTTACCCAAAGATCACGCTTCCATTTGCTGAGGCAGTTTCAAGGTCTCCAGAAACTCTGTCATATTGCACAGCATCCTTAACAAAGTAGCCTGCAGTAGAGCTTCCATCCCCATATATCTCTAAATATGGACAGGTCACGTTTGCTGTGCATCCTGACAATGGGCCGCCATTAACCTCCGAGCAAAACTCTTGATCACAAGTAACCAAGGTCCCAGAAGCCGACTCATTTATATCATACAGAGTAAGATCTATCTGCCAAAGATCAACCCCACTAACTTAAGCAGAACCCAGCAAGGAAGAAGCAAAATTAGACGGAGGAAGAGAAAGATAGGCATACACCAAGTGAGCTTGTTTTAGGACACTCTTTGCACTGAATACAGTTGACCCACATGATATCACTTCCTGTATCCACTTGCACATAGTAATCGTTCGAAGGCGTCCCAATTCCAATCTTGGCATAGTAAAGCCTGCGGAATTTCCCCCCGGAGAATACAACAGAATTGAGAGGAGAAACCGAAAGGAAATTCAACCCCGAAATTGAGAAACGGATATCTGAAACCCAACAGAATTCTAGACAATTCGCAAACGCACCCGACGCCGTTGGGGCGGCCGGTGCCACCGAGCGGAAGATCGACGCCGGCGAGAATTTGGAGCTGGCGGCGAACGTCGTGAGCTTTGAGGTCACTGAGAGTGCGCTGCATACCGGCGTACCGGTATTTGACGCTGAAAACTCCGTTTCCGGCTCCCGGGACGCCGCCAGCGGCGGCAGCCAGGGTGAAGGATGCGACGAAAAGGAGTGGGAAAATCAGAGCGAAGCAGCTCCTCCACGGAGCAGCAGTCAAAGCTGGGGAAGCCACCACAGCCAACATCTGGTTCAGCGCCACCGCAACCATCGTCGTCGTAGTCGCCGCCGACGCCGGTCGAGGGTGGCAGTTCCTCTTCCTCGTGGCGGTCGCCGTCCCGGAGTTTCCAATTGGAATTCCCCTTCTGCGAAATTGAGGAGGAAGACGGAGGAAATGGCAGGCGTTATTTGACGAATCGGAAGAGAGTTTTTAAGTTTTATTCCTTTTCTTAAAAAAAAAATTTATTCTTGTTTTGGTGGGAAAGTGGTGGGGTCCACTGGAGCTAGGCGAGTGCTGGGGTCACGTTGATTTTTCAACGTTGACGTGTCTGTGAGCTGGACTGACTGGACATGTTAGGACAATCGGAGTTGGGCCGCCCGTGATCTGGCCCATTGGGCCTGTAGTTCTAAATACCCGTATTGTTTTAAGAACAATTTCCTACTTGTGATCCAATCAACGATAAAACAATTTACATTGGTCTGTACCGGAATGACAAGGGGAAAGCCCACAAATAATCATGTGGAGATTATTTTAGGTGGCTGGTGATTAGGGCCGGAAATTTGGTACCGGTATTTGGGATATACCGAATACTGTACCGAATTTATCTATATTTGATATTATCGAATACACGTATTATTTCGAGGGATTGGGATTGAGATTGGGATTAGGATTGAGTTTCAATTGTTATTCGGTATTAGAGATTACGATATTGGAATCTGTATATACCGAAATACCGATCAATACCGAAATATAAGCTAGTGTGTATTTTATCCTCTCAACTAGACTCTCTCATTCACTGCTACGCGATCCTCAACCACAAAGAGTGTTATTTAATTATACATAGATCATTACATCACTATTTCACACTAGTATTAGTCGTCTCTCAACCTCAAATTCATCAAATTAAAAATTATCAATTAAAAAAACTTGAAATGTTAGCCCTAGGCAATTCAAGACTCTTTGCTTAGTCTTTTTGCCCAAAATTAAACACTAAATTCTAATTTATATAGTTGATTATTAATTGCGAAGGTAATTAATTTTGTATTTGATAATATCGATTGGGATACCGAAGTACCGATTGTGATACCGAAATATTTAGAGATTGTGATTAGGATACCGAAATTAGTTAGGGATTGAGATTGAGATTGATTTCAGGGTGTAATTCCGTATTCGGGATTTCGGTATTTGGTATTGGGATACCGATACCGTACCGATTTTCACCCCTATTCGTGATCAACCAAGTGTCTTATGAATGACTCGACGTTTGACTCGATAAAAGTTCGTTCGGTTAAGAAAAAGTTTGACTCGTTCATTAACTTCAAGGAGTATTACAGTAACTAATTATATTATTAGTACAGCACTTGCATTTTGGTGTGCTAGTGGAAAAAAAAAAGAACTAAAGAGCGGATCCCCAACTTTGAGCTAAGTCTTGTTCAACTCGTGAGCCAACTCGACTAGGTGGCTTCTTGAGGTCAACCCGTGAACTCTCTTGTTTTTTTTAGTTCATGAGATGTCTTAACATTTTAATTAGTGAGCCAGCTCGACTATAGGCTTACGAGAAAATCAATCTACATCATATGAGTTGATTTGTTGATAATTTATGGGTTTAGTAAATTATATATCTCAACAAGCCACCGAACCCAGTAATTCTCGCTCGCGAGCTCAACAAAGCACAACTAAACTTTGCTTTCGTAAATCGAACAAATCAACGTTTTTTTTCCAGAATCAAACGCGAGGTCATCCCGTGTCAAACGTCATCGAGCCCCCCTCGTGAGCATAACTCCAACTCATCAGCACAGCTGGTTACTGATCGGATCCGCGCTCCGGCAATAAACTTTTTGCATGTACAAAACCAATCACCAATTTTAGACTCCTCTCCTTGGTTGTGATCGCCCTCGATCACTTGACTAATGACCATCTTTATACCATTCGTTGGACCTAATCACATCTCATGAATCGTAGCTTGACCATACGAATCAATCTAATACATATCTTCGACCTTATCACACCTTCACGATGTCCAACGAGCAAAATAAAACAAAAAACCGTATCCTTGGACAAATATAGAGTTAGTTAGTAGTAGTAGTAGTCGAAAAATAAAAACTATAAAAATCATAGTTTGTACGTACACCAATGTCGCCAACCTTTTGCTTGAAGGACGTATCCCCATAAGCCGGCCGCCGGTTTGGTCCGAAATTGAGAAACCAAGGAAAAAAAAAATACAAAAAGAGAACGAAAAAGACCGAAGAATCTGAATTCCTCCCCGCCGGCAAAGTAGAACCAACGACACCAACGAGTCACTATAAGAACAGAGCCGATCGATCGAGCAAAGGAAAAAGTAAAAAAAGTTACCCATCTTATATACATAACAACAATGGCCGTTCTCATTATGCTACTACTTCTGGCGGCCCATTTTCCGAGCGGGTCCGCGGCGGCGGCGGCAGGCCCAGACGACGTGTGCGGCCCAGACAGGCCGTATCTCCACGTGTCGGAATTCCCGGGGTACGTGGTTAACGCGCTGAATTACGTGGTGAACAATGCGGCTGCCGGCTACGCGAATCCAGCGCAGGCGCAGACCACCGACGTGGAGTGCTCGACGTTCTATCCGGACGCGACACATGGCAATGCGTGGGCGGGCGCCACGTGTTACGCCGGCGTGACGCCGGGTGGATGCACGGAGTGCCTGTCCGTGTTGCTGCCGCACGTGCTGCCGTGCAAGAGGAGGACCCTGGGGGGAGCTTACATTCCGGGGAGGTGCTGGCTGCGGTTCGGGCAATACATGCCGGCCGCGTAGGGGGTCGCGTCGTCTGGGAATCCACGAATTCGATTTAATTGTCGTCACTGTTTGCAACTGCAATTTCGATATGATAGAAGGATCACTACCTGCAGGAGATTTCATAAGTTTGTTCTTCTGTTGTTGTTATCCAGCACAAGAAGCTTCACACCATCTTGTAATTTTTTTTTTCCACAAGGTTTTTAGTTGTTCGATGAGAATGTATGACCATTTTGTTTGGCAGGAAAATACTCACTATACTAAGTCATATTCACTGTCATCTAAATTCAAATACACTCATACCTAGTAGAAAGCGAATTAATACTTACGGCACAGTTAAGTCATATCGAGTCATGCCAACTAGCTCATATCCAATAAGAAGTAAACTAATTATCATATTCATCTGACTAGGAATATTCAATATCTAGTCAACTCATATTCACTAATGGTAAAAACTCAATACTAGCAAATGATATCAAACTCAGAACTCTGAAAAAGAAGGGAGAGACAATGCAGCAGAGAAATAAGCAAAACCAAGACATCAAATCAACAAGCGTTTGTAGTCCAACGGTTAGGATAATTGCCTTCCAAGCAATAGACCCGGGTTCGACTCCCGGCAGACGCACATAAACTCATTTTCAGCAGACAGCTTAATGAGAGTGACCATTTTTCTAACTCAAATGAGGCGGACTGAGAACTTGAAGGATTTTCTTTTTGCCAACAGGGGGAACTTGAAGGATTTGCAGGTCTGCAACTACAAGTGCACCACACTGAATGTCTGTGATGAGACTGTGACAGCCTTGCTGATTACCTTGTGAACAAGTTCCTCTGCCTGTTCATCTTAGAATGTCACTTGATTCATGCAACTGTACGAATAATCTGTTTGTCTCCGATTCGATTCTCAGAGAACAGAAGCGTCGACTATTAAGAACCAACAACGAATGGTGCTACAGATCGAGCACAAGAAGCAGGCATATACAAATAGCTTACCTTAATGCCCTCAAAACGAAAAACGAAAACCCAGAAATGCGTAAGGTGAAATACATAAACAAAAATGACTTTGGCCATAATGACAATGAGAAGAATCTTATTGTTCACAATTTTCAAAAGGCATATAAAATTAAATCTCCCCCTCTGCCTTCCTTTTTGATCTTTTGTTCCCCTGCTATGTACAAGTTACATCATTTCTTTAGGGGGAGGGCTTGCTGAGGCAGAAGAACACACAGGGAACTTCTGGCCTGGCCCTGAATCTAAGTACCTCAGTCAAGATTAAAAAAGAAAAGGAGAGAATTAAATCAATGGAACAGACCAAAAACTCCTCAGTCAGCAACTCAGACAGAGGCCAACCCAATAGCGCTCTCTCTCTCTCCACACCACCCCAAAAGGCAGTTTACATATACAAAAATGAGAGGGAGAGGGAGGAAAGATGCATTCTTCTTTTGCCTGAGAGAAGGCAAAAAGCAAGCACCCAATCTTTACTTTCTTTCTGTTAGCATTGCTCTTCAAAATTGGGAGAACACATGACCAGCGACCAGAGCTCCGACCTAGCTGTCCTTGGTGGCGGCGGCCCTCTCTTTGGCACGGAAGTCCTCCAAGCTGCGGTATTCTTCCCTGAGCAACCTATCCAGTTCGGGGTCTTTCTTCAGTGGCTCTTTGTTGCTCCGGTAATGGTGGAATGCCCTGATTCAAGTAAAACTCAGGAAGTAAGCTTTCCATACTAACTAGTAACAGAAAGCTACCATGCTGAAACTACAAGAGGCAAAGAGGAATGTCACATCTACGTACCAGTACTTTTCAAGGCCGTAAAGATTGCCTCTGCGGAAGAAATCAAGAGTGAGTTCTTCGAAGTCCTTGTACAAGTCATCCGTGAACGACTTCTCCAAACCATAACTGAAAAGTGAGAACAAACCATGAGCCTCTCAACCAGTAAACTCTGGATAGTGCCTTCCTCAACTCTATCACGAGATAAACACAAGGGAATAAACTTGTTAAGCATGCATACCTGTAGAACCTGAAAAGACACTCCATTCCATAGTTGTAACTAGCATCAGCATCTTCTATGGCAAGTTTCCGAAACTCGTTGTACATCGAAGGGACAAACATGTCTCTCAGGAAAAAAGACCAAAATCTGTATAATGTGTTCATTTCCTGCACAGGAAAGTAGTGGACCCAAAATGATTATTCCATATGAAAACTGAGGATGCAATGTTAGCAGATGACTAATATAAGTTGTTTAACAGAGTTGACTTTGCCGAGCCTCGCTGACTACTAACCCATACATTGCATCCACATACAGTGGCTTCAAGTTCGCACAACTATGGATCTTGCTAAAAGAACTAAGGGGAAAAAAGGTTTTCCCCAGGCAGACATGGATTATTCATATACCTAACCCTTTTGATGCAAGTTCAGATAAATAATTCAGAGATATATACCTCACTGCAACCAATCCCCATCTTTTTCCTGTCATTCAGGCATCTTTTATGATATTTCAGGTACCTAACCATAAAAACCAAGATAAGTAAACCCTTCTATAACCCCACAAACATCCCTCACAGACTAGCATATAATAGGAAGTACAGTCTTACTTCTGTTGCTTGAAGCCATTTTCTTCCAAAAGCTGATGACTTGGATGTTGAAATGGAGGAAATGACTTTGGCGTGCAACCAACTGGTGGACTACTGCCTGAAAGATTACTGTGAGGTGAAACACTTAACATCGAGGACCTGGGCCTGCAAAATCAAAATTAATCTCTGCGTCAATATAGTATCAACCAGAAAGGATATCAAACATATATGCACCATTGTGTTTTTCTTTCCAACTGCTATCGTGATAGGCTAGGATGATGTAGCCAATGCAAATACAGCTGAAAGACCATACGATGATAAATTAACCTCACCCATGGTTCTCAGGAGGTGTAGAGCTAAAGAAAAATCCAACAGAATTACTAGGTGGGCTTTCAGATACGGCCCCAAAAGCTTTACGTCCTGAGAAGAATCTTTGTTTATGAGACAAATGTTGCTTTGATGAATTTCTATTCTGTTTCTTGATATTAATGCCACTTCGAGAGTCCTCGTGGGCATTACTTCCTGGACTTCCAGCAGCAGTCCTTGAATGTGATACTCCAGGAGAGTTAATTGCAGATCTCAAGTTTCCATCTCTAGCCTCGTAACTAGAACTATTTTTCTTCCGATTCCTACGCCTAGCTCTGAGCTCCTAGAGTAATAATAACCATGTAAAAATTAAGATGTAAGAGTCGCGAAAACCACCAGAGTGGTGAATATCAATCAACAATGAGTGGTTCATTTTATTGCATAAGAATACCTACCTGTTCATAGAAATAGAGACCATCATTTATTGCAGAAGCAATTTCATTTGAAATGGGTTCGGATTCTGTACCACCAGATTTTGATTCTCCATCTACGGTACTATTCTGTAGAAAATAGTTCCATAAATTACATAGGTGTTTGTAGTCACAGCTCTATGATAAAAACTAGGAACATACGAGCTACAAAAGAGAACAAGTGGGTAGAGAATAAGTCAAAACAATGCTGCATTCACATAAAGAATGTGGAGACATCCAACAGAACTTCTTCATTTCCGCTTTTTACAAAATTAGTTGTTGCCTGTGTTACCATAGTATGCAAATAGCATTTTTTATGAGGGTGACAGTATGCTACAAATGGTTGGTGCATATGCAAAAGAGAATATAGTCACAAACAGAAGTACCTGGGTGACAATTACGAGTCTGTGAACATCCTGATCATCAACCATCATCTCGTCATCATCCTCATCCCTGGAATACAGTGTGATCATGTAAGTTAGAGAGAGAAAACAGACAGGTTAATCACTCGGATAGTAATATAATTGGCACCAATGGAACTTTTTACACCAGTTCTGTCTGATGAAATCCCAACAAGCATTATTTGCTCATCACATACTGTGGCTGGACATCATCATGCGAGATCGTCATACTTGACAACTTAATGACAAGTCCATTACAATACAAGATGCATGAAAGCTACTGACTAAAGAAATTGTCAAAGAAGGGGGTTTTGAGGATACACCCTCCTTCCATGGGGCCAATTAGTCAATTTAGCCATCAATCACATTCATCACAATTCAGAAATAAAAGAGACGGAGTTTGATATTATTGAGCAAGAAACAAGTGATACCATGAAATAACTCCTTGAATAACATGCTATTATGCAAAAATTTAACAAAAAAGATACAGAGAGCAATCAGTTAGATAAAATCACGTATAAAGCAAATTCAATACACGGCTAGGTTTGATATTGTGATATCTGAACTGAGAAAAAAGGTATTAGCCTGAAGAGTATAAGAAAATGCAAGATCATAACTGAATACCTCTTGTGTGGAGAAGGACAATCAACTTTCAGCACTTTCTGCTCAAGCTCCAGCTCTTCATCCAGCATAAATGTGTTGGCAAAATCATTCGACAGATTTCCAAGATTCTGCACATCAATATGCAATGACATCAGCATCTTTGATACTTCGTAAACACCAGAAATTGGAGGCTCACTCACATTCTCAAATTCTCGGCTCTTTGTCTCAGACTCAATAGATTTGTTAATGCCTTCTATTTGACCAGAAAGCGCAGTGTCAGGATCATTTCCATTTGCCGAATTGTTCACCACGGAGGCAGTGGCATCAAATTGGTATTCATTGTTCTCTAAAGAGGCTTCTCCTGCATTATCTTCATTAGCATTCCCTACAATCAAGCCATCAGCAGTCTGATCTTTCAACTCTTTTGACTTCACGTTTGATTTTGGAACCCATTTTGACCACCCTTCACGTTTCCGGACCTTGTCAGCCTGCCAATGTAACAGATTGATGGCTCAAAGACGCAGAATACGTAGAAGGTGATAAAGTGGATATCTATGCAGTTTCCATACAAATACGCCCACATGCAGTAGCAATAGAAGCATGCAATTTCAGGAGATCCATCATAGTAAATTGACAAACAAAAAAGCACTATATATGAATTCAAACACAGAAAGATCACTGACTTGAGTCATCATACAACAATGACAAGTAGCATAAGACCCATGAACCCGGAATCAAGCAATGAAACCAGCTTCAGAATTAACGAGTTACAAAAATCCAAACCTGTACTTCCACTGCATTAGAACTCTGTAGAGCATCAAGTATAAGTGATATATCTGTAGTCATCCTTTTCAACTGCAAATGCATCGAAAATTGGAAGGCATGAGCACAAAAAGCTTAACCATCAAGAAATGGAAATAAGTTTATGCAGCAGACAATCTATATCCAAACAGTAGCAACAGCGCATGCATGGGATGTGAAGTACACAAAAACAGAAGTGTCAAAATGAACCTCACCCTCTTGAAGTCGGCAATCGCTGATATTGAGACCCATCCATGCTCATCCATCAAGGACACCAAAAAACTGTCAGTTTGCAGATTTTGATCACTGCAATCAAAGGGAGAATGTAGTCAGCACAGAGGAGAGATAGTTGTGCTGAGGCAACTTAAACAATCAGGTTTGGCAATGAAAGGTTCAGAAAACTAGAAACAAGATTGAATTCAGAGTGCTGAATGACATACAGCCTTGCTTATGTGGATGACATGAATCAGTTCTTGAATTTAACTGAATTCTTAATAATCTGTCCATGCAGTTGGAATTAAAAGTGAGAGTAATTCTCCTCCATTCAAAAGGTCCAAAAGTTCATCTTTGATTGGCAGAAGTTAAAATGTAGAGCAAAATTTCAGGTTAGACGTAGACTAGAAGAAATGGGCTACATGGGTCGGGACATATGGATGATAAGGAAAATCCAGGTCATCCTACGAAATACGATAACAATGATCAGAATTGGGACAACAAAGTTTATACATATTTTATAATCTGGGTAGGCCAATCTAGAGGGTGCTTCCTGCAAAACACAAGTACACAATTCTAGGTCCAATTTGATAAAAGCACACCCAAGAGTGGAGCTATAGGAGAGACAAGGAACTACCAAAAGAAACTACTTACCTGAAATAATACTCTACTTGTTTCACGACATGATCTTTCAAAGTCAATGGCTCAGAGGTGAGCATAAGATGCCCAGGATTCATAGGATATGGGATGAAATGTGGCGGATGAGGTCCCCTAAAGCCGCCAGATGGTACCAAAGGGATAGGGTACATGGGCGAGCCTGTAGGACACAAAACACTAGCTCAAATGAATAAGAGCAATATTTAGACTAATGATTGTAGAAGAACTCGATCGAATAAAAGGTATGAACATGGAGCTAGTGGGGGTGCACAAAGTGATTACCAGGGAAGGCTGGACCAACCATGAAGCCTGGACCCGGAGGGAAAAAGGAGGGCCTGACCATAGCCCTTGCACCCATTCCCTGTTGCAAAGGGATATTAGTGCCTCTGGGATTAAATGCTCGTTGATGGTGCCATGTGTGACCCACATGGTCACTGGATTCTTGTACATTAGATCTCCTATTTGGAAATTTTGGTTGGTAACTATCAGAGTCCCCCTTCATTGGAGACTGAACACTATGTGGAGGAGCGAATGGTTGAATTGGAGACGTTTCAGTTCCAGGCTTCACCATATGAGGTTCAATAGTAGGAAACGGTGCAGGTGGGTAAGCAAAAGTAGGTACTGGAATAGGCGGTGGGGGCATTGCACCATGGAAGGCATTAGGCATCATTGGTTGCTGGTAAGGTAAGGGTGCTGGGAAAGGGGGTGCAGCATTTGGATTCCGCTTAGCACCTGATCTATGATGCCTGGACGATGAGTACCTATGTCCCGAATTAGGGTGCCCACTATGTGACTTTGGTTGGCCTGACGATCCCTGCAAAATAGCAAAAATTTTATCAATTCTCTCTTCTTAAAAATGCTCGCCATTGCCAAAAGCCTACAGCTTCAATCTATATCTATCAGCTAATGCCCACAAAACATTTTGATACACACATTACTGCTAACAAACTAACTGATTTCCACATTTACTATCTGTCAATGACCCATGGCAAATGTGGATCCAAACATCACAACACCTTTCCATTAACAAAAGAACTGAAACATCACCTGTTGCTGTTGCGGTGGTGGCTGTTGAGGAGGGGCAACCACTTCAGAATTAGCCCCCGATTTGGCACTAGCGTCCAAGTTCCTGGATCGTTGCTGCGCAGCATCAGCAAGAGCAGGCCAAGACGCATCATTACCACTCATCACCGGAACATCACCAGCCGCAGTCGGCTTCTTCCAAGGCGACCTCGGCGGCGGCCCCTCACTCATCGCCGGCGCCGCCTCCTCGTTCCTCCGATCATCCCCGCTCCCACCACTCGCGTCATTCTCTACCACCCCCATCCCCGCCGCCACCTCCAATAACCAACGCAAAGCACAGACTCCACAATCACAGACAGCAGGGAGCTGCACAGAAAGCAAACACAAACATCCCATCAACCCTGAAAGCCAAAACGAAACAGATGCACAAAAATGTCGAAACGGAAACGGAGATGAGCGCGCACCAGAGACGAACAGTGTTATTTAGGGTTTTAGGCGTGCGCTAGCTCCTGGTTAGCTCAACGGCAGAGTGCGAGATAGTCTGTGAGCTGGTGAAGGGGAGAGAGAGAAGAGAGATTTGGCAGTTAGCAGATTTCTGGGGGAAATTGTTTGCAGCTGATTTCTCAAGCTATTTCCAGGAAAAAGGTTCTGTTACGCTTTTGATTGGCTTCTTAATACTCCCGCGGAATCACACCATAAACTCTCAACAGAATTCTTCCATTTTTCACAATCAAACCTCTCTCTCTCTCATCAAATCATCGTTTAAGGTTAAAACTCTGCCTAAAACCCTAACGTGGTCGCATGCCTGGGCCTGGACTTGGGCTTCGGCCGGCCTGGAGGGTGAAATGTTGTATGGGCTTTTATCCAGTAACGTTAAAACTCTGCCTAAACCTCTAAAGTGGTCACCTGGGGTGGGCTTGTAATTGGGCTTAGGCCCGTCTGAATGGTGAGAAATGTAACATTGGCCATTGGTAATTATCGAAACGTTTCTGTCCTTCTATTTGGATATGGAGCTCCACCAAAAAAGGAAAAGGAAATATCGGAAGGCCGGCGTTGGCACACTGGTTCAACGGCAAGGGGGGTTTTAGCGGCAGGAAGTGGATAATAAAGAGTCCTTAAACCCTGCGGAGAGGAGAAATGGATATGGCTGCTTCACCACTCTCCCTCAAGCCCTTCGTTTCCTCCCATTCCATTTGCTTCAGGTAATCTTTTACTGAGTGGAGAAAGCAGTGAACTTTTGAAGTTGTGATAAGGTGTTCGATCAAATTTGGAATGATGGGTTTGGATTGTTGTCTGATATGGTGATTCTTACAGTGGATTTTGCCTGCTTATGGTGGGTGTTTTGGTTATGTTTGCAGCCCGACGAAACTGCAGGGTTATCCTCCCAATGGTGTTAAAATCCACAAGAGGTTGGAAGTGGTGGCTAAGGGTATGTTGCCGCCAAGGAAGTTTATGCAGAAGAGGAGGAAAGTGGAGGTGTTCAAGGATTCTGCTGATGAAGCGGATCAGAAGAACTGGCGGAAACTGATGAAGCAAATTGAGGATACAGGGTCGGCTGTTTCGGTGCTCAGAAGTGAGAGGATTCAGAATCAGGAGATTCCACGGGACCTGGTTTTGGGTACTGTAATGAGATTTAAGCAGCTGAGGAAATGGAACCTCGTTATTGAGGTATGCATTCACGAGAGAAATTGATTTGATGTTTGTATGAGGTTTAATTTTAGATGTGTTTAGCATTGGCCTATGGAGAACATGCGCAAGTGGTTCAGATTTCACTTATTGGTAGAATTACTATGTTGAACTCCATAAAGGGCTTTGCACAAGCCGAGAAAATGTGCATTTCTGTTGTTAGATGCTAATACAGCATAAATCTCCTACTGGTAGATTCTGGAATGGCTTAGGTCACAGCTATGGTGGGATTTCGGTGAAAGAGATTTCATTCTGCTGATTATAGCTTATGGGAAACAAGGAGACTTCAACAGAGCTGAGAAAGTTCTATCATTCATGAATAAGAAAGGGTATCAACCAAATGTTGTATCCCACACCGCACTTATGGAGGCATACGGGAAAGGTGGTCGGCTAAAGAATGCTGAAGCCATATTTCGAAGGATGCAGTCTTTAGGTCCTGAACCTTCTGCTTTGACATATCAAATAATCCTCAAGACGTTTGTTGAGGTAATCTATCTTACTCTTCTCTATTTGACATGCGGACTCTGAGGCCCTAGATGATGATGATTCTCAGTATATATTGCAAAAGGATAAGTAGGTATTGTGTAACTTAAAATTCTCTTAGTGTTAAAACCCTTGTTCTCTCCTGTCCCTTTCAACTTGATTTGCTTCTTTTTTGGTGATGAGCCTTCCATTAAGGTTGTTGTGTTGTGGTTACAACAGGGAAACAAGTTTAAAGAAGCTGAAGAAGTTTTCCAGAGTCTCTTGGATGCGGAAAAGCCACCATTGAAACCAGACCAGAAAATGTTTCACATGATGATTTACATGTATAAGAAGGCTGGGAACTATGAACAGGCTCGTAAGCTCTTTGGAATTATGGCGGAGCGTGGAATTCCTCAGTCAACTATCACTTACAATAGTCTGATGTCATTTGAAACTAATTACAAGGAGGTCTCCAAAATCTATGATCAGGTAAATTTCAGGTCTAACGACTTTGCTGGTGAATCTAATATTCTAGAAACGAACAAGAGAAGGATCTCCCGAAATCTTTGCATCTCAATTACATTGGCCTTGTAGTAATTGGGGATAACTAATACTCAATTCATCCCCAGGTCGGACCTTGGCGACCACATTTATAAGAAAATTATATTGGTAACATCTGTTTAAGGGAGAAATCTAAGTGTTCAGCCTTACAATATGTTGTCAATCTGTTGGATATTAAGCTTGGTGGTCATAGCTAGTTAGCCTTTGTTTCTGACTTTTCTGATTTTCCGAGTAAAGGTCAAAACTTTCATGGTTTAAGGACATAAACTTGACAGTTTTATTGTCCATTTATGAATCCCACAAGATCACCAACTTGATCACCTGAAGGAGAAGTAGTATATTAGTTTTGGTTTGCTCACATGACCGTTAACATATCCAACTTAATTTTTTTCTTGGTCGATTATAAATAAAATGAACTTATCAGATATATTAGTGTAATGTGTAATTCTTTTAGATGCAAAGGTCTGGACTTCAACCTGATGTTGTGAGCTATGCATTACTCATCAATGCTTATGGGAAAGCTCGGAGAGAAGATGAAGCTCTCGCTGTTTTTGAGGACATGATGGATGCTGGTGTCAGGTGTGTTGGACACCAAACTATTTTCGTTTTTCTATTCTGAAGTAATATATTTTTATCGACAAAATATGTCATTCAGCCTTTCATTCCTTCTTTTACAGGCCAACGCACAAAGCTTATAACATTTTGCTTGACGCATTTGCTATCTCTGGAATGGTAGAGCAGGCTCGGACAGTGTTCAAGAGCATGAGAAGGGACAGGTAATATTATATATCTGCTTCTTCACCGTCACTCAATACTGTTGAACTCATTGATCTGCTTCACGGTAGTTGCTAAGATTGCCAATTGAAAAATGGCCCTTTACTTTGTTATAGGATCACTCCAGATCTCTGCTCTTACACAACAATGTTATCAGCATATGTCAATGCTTCCGATATGGATGGTGCCGAGAAGTTTTTCAAGAGAATCAAATACGATGGACTGAAACCTAATGTAGTCACCTACGGGACGCTGATCAAAGGGTATGCTAAGGTAAACGATCTCGACAAAATGATGGAGAGATTCGAAGAAATGCAGTCGGATGGAGGTATCAGACCAAATCAAACCATCTTCACTACTGTAATGGATGCTCATGGCAAGAACAAGGATTTTGCCAGTGCTGTTTCTTGGTACAAAGAGATGGAGTCACGAGGGCTCCGGCCTGATCAGAAGGCAAAGAACATTCTTCTGTCTCTGTGCAAAACAGAAGATGACCAAAAGGAAGCTGCTGCAGTTACAGGGATTGCTGAGAGCGCTGTACCTTCTCAGGCCATTAATGGGGCATCTAGGTTTGCAGATGAATCTGATGACGAGGATGACGACGACGACGATGATGATGAATATGATGAAGACGGGGAGGATGACTATGATGAATTCGATGGTGAGCCAAATTTGGGCTATGAGCAGGAAGGACTTATACTTTCTGGTAAAGATGTTGGGCTAAATGTGGATGGCCTGCATAATCTGACTGTTCTTGATTTGTAAATTCATGGTTAGGATTTTTGGTTAAAGTTAAGTTATGTATTTTCCTCCAAAAAGGAAGAGAGTAAAGAGTGAATGTGTTTAGCTTTCATACATGTACTAGAATCAATATCCGCTGCTACGCCGCGGGAACTAAAGTTAAAGGAGTATGATCGTATGGTGGGGTAGTTTAGGTGACGACGAAATGGGATTGCTTTATCATTGGGAATTGTATGGGTTTCAGAGTACCGTAAGTGTGTTGTATCTTGAGTTCCATAGTTAATTAGCGTTATGATCCTACATGTTGCCAATGAGTTCCACAATCTGAAAGCGAAAGCAAAAATACCTTCTCAAAATTGATTTATCAATCGTTTTTCATGTCTTATGAAAGATAATAATTGTTGTATCAGTAGTATCTAAAGTGTACATAAAACATTAAAAGCGGCAATTGAGATTTTGAGAAAAATTTGTTATGGCTTACATCCGAACATTTAAAATCTACACATCATAAAAGGACACGCAGGGTTTAAAGTGCATCCATGGTGGCGAAGGTAAGCATTAGTGCGCAGGGTTTAAACTTTAAAGTGCATCCATGGTGGCGAAGGTAAGCATTAGTGCATGTTTCTTGTAGCATTAAAGCATACAACCTTGGCATAAGAGAAACAGTCAAATTTTCCTAGCTTCTTTCCCAAGCTGCAGATTGACTAAATATAATTTACCAAAATCCATGGCCATTTTGTGGAAGAAGGAAAACTCAGAACTAGTTTCCAACTACAAAATCTCTGGTAGCCGTATACTCTGATTGTAAAGTTGTTTGTAATGAATTCTCCCATTGCATCCAGGGGCGGTTTTCGAACGACTCCCCAATATGCTTTAGTTGTGCAACTCACCCACTCCATAGCTCAACTCACCCTCTGCGAAAAGATAACGTTGTTCTTCAAGTTTTGAGCTTCGGAAACATGCGAACAAACCTACATAAGCCTTTTCCAACCTATAGATTAGATGGAACAGTTAGCACTACGGTCAAAACCTTCAAGTAGTAACAACAGTTTGAAGATAACATGTATGTACTCATGGTGAGCCATAGCTGGATGGAATTGTAAGAGAGCATAAAGAAGGGACCCCAAAAAGAAGCATTAGTTGTGATTGAACAGAAAACTGATAGTAATCCTAACCAATGATTAAAATCATACCCATACCTCTTGTAGTTTGTAGTGGAAGAGTGATACAGAAAGAGAGATCAATAAGTGTCTTATCCTTCTTCTTCTTCTTCTTCTTCTTCTTCTTCTTCAAACGTAGCATTATGACCTCTTGCGGGCTGCTCGGGAGAAACCAATTTGAGGCACTCGATGTCATTTTCAACTGCTCTGCAAGTGTGAAAGAACTGAATTAGATTGTGAAGTTGAAGTGCATAAAACTGAATCAGCTGCTCTTGCAAGTCTCCATGGATGTTGACGGGGATCAGCAGACAACTTCCATCATTGTTGGCCAAATAGAGTACAAACCTGTAGCATTCTAGATCGTGGAAGGACATATTATCAGTCACATTCAATTGCACATTTAACAAATAGCTCTGGTTAAAGTGAGAGCACTAACAGACATAAACATGTATATTCATTGGCTTGACAACACGCATACTCTAATAAAACCGAAGCTCATGCCTATTTGAAGAGGTCTTTGGCTCACCTCATCATTAAGGGATAAAAAATCTATTGAAAAATGGGGACTAACATACACATACCGACATACGATTCTTTGATTCATATGAAAGAAAAGTGACTCTAAATAAAGATAACAGTTCATTGCCAATTGTTGTACTATGATCTACAATTTGGATAACAAACTGTTATCATTTTAAAATTTGGACAATTATAGTACCTTCTGCACAATGGGAAATTGATAATGACATTTATCAAGTTCATATGTAAAAATAGTTATCGTACTTGATAAATGTCATAAATTGATAAATCTTTTGAGGATTCATTATTTCCCAAAAGAAATAGTTAAGTGATCATTATGTAAAAATAGCATAAATAAGTGGCCGTTTTAACTAATCACCTCCTGTAACTTTTCAGGGCCATTAGGAGGTTAGCAAGCCATCTTTCCCCATTAAGACGATAAACGTGGAATCGCGTGGAGGCAACAGCTGAGCGTAAAGAAACAAAAGAAACCGGGTTCCCAAGCAATTAGATCATCGTCGTCACCATCAGCAGCCAGGTACTCCCAAAAATGTTATCTACTTATATTTGTTTCACCTGTCTTTTCGTGTTTTTCCTCTCCCGTTTCGCGGGCTTGTTTTCTGCCTTCTTCATCACGAATCAGAGGGAGAAGAAGAAGAAGAGAGGTGATGATGGCGAATCAGAGTATCGTCCGATGCTTGTCTTCGACTGATTCCATGGAGGTGGATTTTTAATTTGAATTTTCTAGCCTTCCCTGTTTGCTCCTGCTAGCTTTCTGCCTGCGGTTCCACATTTTGGCGCGCGCGGTGAAATTTTGCGGTTTTGCTGTTTAGAGATTTTAGGGTCGTTCTTTGATTGGTCTCTTAGGGCTCAAGTTTGATTCTTTTGTGCTGTTCAATTGGATTGAGGCGAATTGAAACGATTGCTTTTGTATAGTTTTTTTAGATTTGAGGTTAGAGATGTTGTTCTGATATGGGTTTTGCTTTTTTGATGCTATGATGGTAGATTTGGGGTTGGTTGAGAGTAGAGAGAAATTGCTGCAATGGGGATTCAGACAATGGGATCTCAGAGCAATGGCCAGCAGCAGCAATCCCATGCATCACAGCCATCTCATTTGTCTAGCCAAAACTCATGGTATAGCCTTACTTTGCATGAAATCCAAAACCAATTGGAGGGCAGATTGCAGAAACCCTTGGGGAGTATGAACCTTGATGAGCTTCTGAAAAGTGTATGGAGCACTGAAGCAAATCCTTCAATGGGGATGGACTATAGCGACGAGGGTGCTTCATCCTTTGCATCGTCGGTGCAACGCCAGGCTAGCATGACATTGGCCAGGGCTTTGAGTGGGAAGACCGTGGATCAGGTGTGGAAGGAGATTCAACTTGGACAAAGGAAGAGATTTGGTGGTGGGCAGCAGCAGAATAGAGAACAGGAACTTGGGGATGTGACTTTGGAGGACTTCTTGATACAAGCGGGGCTCTTTGCTGAAGTATCTGTAAGCCCTTCGATGGATTTGGTTATGGTCGAGGCTGAGACCCCTCAAAGTAGGACATTTTTTGCAGCTGGTCCAACCAGGGGTTCGTCGTCTCCTCTGCCTTCACCTGGTGGGATGCTATCAGACGCAAGTATGGGGTCTGGTGGTCGGAAAAGGGTTGCTTCTCCTGATGCAATCGAAAAGAGTATTGAAAGGCGTTTGAAACGGAAGATAAAGAACCGAGAGTCAGCTGCCCGTTCTAGAGCTAGAAAACAGGTGGGCTTTTGCACATTGTTATTTCCAAGAGTTGTTCTATCCCAAATTCCTTTGTTGCTGACTTAGAAATTGGATTTGCCACTTTGCAGGCTTATTGTAATGAGTTGGAGAGCAAGGTTTCAGGTCTCCAGGAGCAGAACCTTAAGCTCAAGAAAGAGAAGGTTGGTAACTTTGGGTTCTGCATTGGTTAGTTTGTTACTGTAAACATGAATGGCTGTCACTCTGAAACCTTGAACATCGGGGTATGAATCTTTTCAATGAACAATCTGGCCACCAACTCCACCTGGACATTCAGAACTAACTGGCTAACCTTTCAGTTCCTTTTATTCTGACTGGTCAGCCTTGTCAGTAGTAAAAAAGATTCAAGCTTGCTTAAGGCTGTTCTCTTACTTTAACAAGTTGGTTTGCTCTGTGAACTGTGATAGTGCAACTCTTTTTCTGATGTTTGTATTTGGTTTTGGTAGGAATTTGAGGAGAAGTTCGCTTGTAGTCTGACAGCAGAAAACAGATACCAGCTTAGAAGAACAAGTTCAGCATCTGATCTGTCCTCTTTAGGAGTTCTATAGCATTCCCTGCTCGAGAATCTTCTCGATGTGCTGAGCCGACTGCTGCTGCAGCTATGGCCGAAGTGACCAGCCTTGGCTTCAGCCATGGCTTCTAGCTCTACAAGTCCTCTGTGTGATGGTCATTATTTAGGTCATGGAGCTCATGTGTATATTCAGGATTTTGCTAGTTTCTTTTTGGCTCTTTTTCCCCTCTTTTGCCCAGCTAGGGTCCAATTGATATTATGTTAAACATGTAGAACAGCACCAACTTCCAAAATGTGCCATCTGGTTTGCTACCTATGCCTCTTGAGTCATCTTATCAGCAATTAGACAGTTTTGGTGTATGCGGAATGCAAATGCCTTGCATGTACCAGTCAATTTATTGCAGGAATGTGTGCCCTCTTCCTTCATACTGATAATCTGACAAACAATATGGAGTAGGATCCTGCCAAAAGGCAACTCTGCCTCATCTGGGATCACATTATACAGGCCAAATAACCAGCTAATAACTCAAATAAGAAGTCTGAATGCCTTGAAAAAGATGAACCATTCGCAATTTGTACAATACAAATGCAAATAACAAACCAAACAGTGCCATAAAACAAACGGCAATACTAACTCCATCATGTCCCAAAGCGAAAAACTGAAAATGAATAGACAGTAGTTGCTTGGCAATCTTATTGTGCTTCACAAATATGCTTCCTAATCATTTTCCAACCCCTGGTCTCCCAACGGGCAGTAGAGAGTCTACTAAGGACCAAGACCAAAAAACGAAAATGTTTTAGCCAAGCAGCCTAGTAATGCCTACCCATATTGCCCGGATGCAAGTTGCAACGCAATCATTAACTTGTATCAGCAGGCGAATATCATAGAACACAACTTTGCCAAGAGACAGCTGCTTTGCGTTTGTTTCTATTGTCCCAGACACTGCTCTGCTTGTTATACTTCCTGACCTTGTCTAGGGAATATACAGTCTTCCCCTCACCTTCCCCTCTCAACTGAGGGGCATAGAACTTGGGTTGTGCTCCAACTATCGCAACCCGCGGAGTAGCAGGTGCACTCTTCCCTTGACGACTTCGAGAGAAGGCTGTCAAAAAGATGTCTCTGGCACTAGTCGTCTGGATCGATGCGCCCTGCATAACGGGCTTCCCCACAGGGAGGCCGCCCACAACCAAAGAAGTAGGCATTACAGGTGAGTAGTAAGCTACTGTTCTTTGATCCACATTCCTCGCCATGGAAGCGAGTGTATACTTGGCTTGTGTGGTTGTTGTGACCGGTTCGATTGTCTCATACTGACGAGGAAACTGTTTGTTGTTCTCCTTGAACTTGAGGGGAGAATGCTGGCCACCCTCGACCCATCTTACCAGGGCAATTCGTGAAGATCTGTTTGGATCATATTCTATCCTTTCCACAACACCGATTGATTCAGTCTCCCTTTTGGTATCGATTCTTCTATGCAGTCGCTTTGCTCCACCTCCTCGGTGGTACGAGGTAATACGCCCTGCTGAATTTCTGCCAGCTGTCTTTCCCACATTAAGAGTTAGTGCTCTATGCCCCTCCTTTATCTTTTTAACTGCTGGAGCACTCGCTCTGCAATTATGCAGATGAGATATCTCAAACATCGAACAAGATTACATAAAAAGTGGAGGAAACAATAAAAAAGAACATGTATGCAAACCTCCGCAAATACTGTCTACACAAAGGTCAATATTTGAGAAATATACATGCATATCAGTTGCCTCAGCTAATGCCATGGAGTCGTAATCCGGGTACATAACTTAAGGGCAGTATGTGAAGTCTCTCCAAGTGTACCATACATAGATGGCGTAAAATGAACCCAGCCCTTTACAACACCAGAGTCAAATAGAATCACTAACTAGAACAGAAAATCAAGCTAGTGCTGGACATAAAGAACTGAACCTAAGTAAAGCAACAAACTATCAGTCACCCACATTCCCCTTGCTGGGACTTCCAAACTTTTTCGCCCAGTTTTTTCATGACTTTCCATTAATATCAATAAGAACCAAATTCCTACGATTCAAGCTCCTATGCCATATAATTGGAAATTTACCTGGTTCCAGCCTTTGCAGCTCCACCAGTTTTTGTGGCAAAAGATCGTAGACCAACATTTCCATTTAGTGACTGCCAGGCCTGACCAGCAAGAGCAGTGCCAAGCCTCTGTTTCAATGCGCTAGCCTGACACACAAAATTCGGTACATTAGCTAATCAGAACTATTCCGTTGATTTCAGTCGCCATAAACTGACAATACCAAGAAGCTCCAATGAAAATAAGCTCAGAAGCCAGGAAATAAGATTAACCCTAATACAAACAGCGACAGGAAAAAAAAAGGGTTCGATTGAGGGAATCCGGATATCACAAACACAAGATGCTATAAGCTAAAGGCACCGCCTTTCCTTTCGATCTGAATATAAATTTCGCTGGAAATAATGAATCCCCAAAAAGCTCAGCCACGGAAGAACAGACCGCAAACTAAGAAAGAGCATAGGAATCTATCACCAATCACCGGAGACTGTTCAACACACTGAACGGAAACGGAGGCACAAATCGACGGCGTGACTTACCATATGTGTGTTACGGTGGAGAGCTCCGAGAAAAAAGAAAAAGAGTATACTCGCCGGACTTTTTGGGGTTTAAAGAAGACGACGGACGATGACGGTGCGGTAAGAAAACTGGTAACTGGACCTTCAGAACCGTGGGCTTCTATTGCGCAGGCCGGCCCAATCAGAATCCAGATCCGTAGTCTGGCCCGCAAACGGATCCATTACAGAACACCCCGTCGGCCAGATACACGAATACAAACAATTACAAAGCCAATCGCGCCGGTGGATATACTAATGCATGATCCGAAATGGCAAACCCGGGAGCCACGTCGGTATCCTCGTGTCAGGCTCAGTTGTGCCAAGTGGCAGCCTGCAAGCAACCCAAGTGGATTCGTCTTCTACACACTAATTTCCTCCACTTTGACTCATTCCCTTTCTACGGAAAACAGAAATCCCCTAGTACAGGAAACCACAGAGATTGAGAGATAAGCTTTGATTTCATCCTTTTTCATCAGTACCATGTCGCAGCATCCAGAAGTACCCGGCGATCCGACGGCCGGCCACCACGACGTCGTTGCTCGAGAAGGCCACCGCCTCAATCCAGCGCTTCGGTCCCATCAGCCACATCCACCAGCACCTCTGCGCGTAATCATATCAATTACCACTCCCTAATCCCTAATATAATCACTCTTAATCCCTAATCTATTGCTTAAACTGAAATTTCGGACTCGTAATTATGGTTGTGGGGTTCCTCAGCTTCCACTTTCTACACCCACGACATGGCGAGGCAGGTGGAGGCCCACGACTACGAGGTGAAAGGAGAAGCCGATGTGGCACTCCCACGACTACGAGGTGAAAGGATGGTTGCCCGGTGTTCCCGGTCCCGTGGAGCGTCAGGACATGGAGAAGGTCCATTAAACATCGATTTGAACGAATTTATTCCGGGTCAATTCTTGGCAGATTCTCAAGGGTATTATCACAGATTTTGGGCGATTTTTTCATAATGTCATTTTCCTTCGATTCTAGAGGCTACAGATCACCGAATCAGGCCTAGACTATTCTCCACTGATAATGAAGTCTATTGATCCTATTCTTCTTTGATGATAAGTGCATTAAGCATCGGTTTGGGCCAATTTATTTTCGGATGACATTTTCGTAATTTTTTGGGCAATGAAAAGCCATTTTATTTGGATTTTGAAGGCTACAAGTAATGGGTTTGGCCTGAGGCTCCAAAATCAAGATGTAGAATCTCTCTAATTATGAGAGATTTGATATCTCTAGATTTTAGAGATTTAAAATCTCTGAAGCTACAATCCACGATACAAAAGTAACAAAAAAACATAACATTTGACTAAATCTATTGATTCAATAAATCCATGATACAAATCTTGTTCTCCAAACGAGCCCTAAGTATCGATTTGGGAGGATTTTTCAACGATGATATGAGGGTACTTTTTCATGTTCGGTGTTCCGGCCCCGTGGAGCGTCAGGATATGGAGAAGGCCCATTAAACATCGATTTGGGCGAATTTATTTCGGGTCAATTTTTGGCAAATTCCAAAAGGTACCATCACAGGAATCAGGCCGAGGTTATTCTCCACAAAAAAATAAAGTCTATTGATCCTATTGTCGACGGATGATAAGTGCATTAAGTACCGGTTTGAGCCAATTTATTTTCGGATAATATTTTTGTAAATTTTTGCGCGACGAAAGACCATTTTCTTTGGATTTTGACCGCTACAGTTCACGAATTCGACCTGAGACTATTCTTCATCGCTGATTAAGTCCATTAAGCACCGATTTGGGCGGATTTATTCCGGGTGAATTTTTGACATATTTCAATGGGGTACCATCACAGTTTTCGGGCAATTTTTCCGAAATGCCATTTTCTTTCGATTCTGGAGGCTACACATCACGGAATCAGCCCGAGGCTATTCTCCACCGATAATGTAGTCTATTGATCATATTCTCTACGGATGATAAGTGCATTAAGCACCGGTTTGGGCCAATTTATTTTCTGATAACATTTTCGTAATTTTTCGGGCGACGAAAGGCCATTTTCTTCGGATTTTGAAGGTTACATAGCACGGATTTCGCCTGAGAATATTCTTCAACGATGGTTAAGTCCATTAAGTATCGATTTAGGAGGATTTATTTGGAGTCAATTTTTTGGCATATTCCAAAGGGGTACCGTCACAGATTTCGGGCGATTTTTCCGAAATACAATTTGCTTTCGATTCTGGAGGCTACATATCACGGAATCCGGCCGACTCTATTCACCACCGATAATAGAGTCTATTGATCTTATTCTTCACGGATGATAAATGCATTAAGCACCAGTTTGGGCCTATTTATTTTTGGATGGCATTTTCACAATTTTTTGGGCGACGAAAGACCATTTTCTTTGGATTTTAAAGGCTACAGGTCACAGATTCGACATGAGGCTATTCTTCAATGATGATTAAGTCCATCAAACACCGATTTGGGTGGATTTATTAAGGGTCAATTTTTGGCAGATTCAAAAGGGGTACCATCACAGATTTTAGATGATTTATCCGAAAAGCCATTTTCTTTCGATTCTAGAGGCTACAGATCACGGAATCAGGCCGAGGCTATTCTACACCGATAATGTAGTCTGATCCTATTCTCTACGGATGATAAGTGCATTAAGCACCGGTTTGGACCAATTATTTTCGGATGACATTTTCGTAATTTTTGGGCGACAAAAGACCATTTTCTTTAGATTTTGAAGGTTACATAATCACGGATTTCGCCTGAGAATATTCTTCAATGATAGTTAAGTCCATTAAGCACCGATTTGGGAGGATTTATTTGGAGTCAATTTGTAGCAGATTCCAAAGGGGTACCATCAGAGATTTTCCGAAATGCAATTTTATTTCGATTCCGGAGGCTACGGATCACGGAATCAGGCCGATTCTATTCTCCACCAATAATAAAGTCTATTGATCTTATTCTCCACGGATGATTAGTGCATTAAGCACAGGTTTGAGCCTATTTTTTTCGGGTGGCATTTTCACAATTTTTTGGGCGACGAAAGACAATATTCTTTGGATTTTGAAGGCTACAGGTCACAGATTCGGTGTGAGGCTATTCTTCAATGATGATTTAGTCCATTAAAAACCGATTTGGGCGGATTTATTCAGAGTCAATTTTTGCCAGATTCAAAAGGGGTACCATCACAAATTTTGGGCGATTTATCCGAAAAGACATTTTCTTTCTATTCTGGAGGCTACAGATCATGGAATCAGGCCGAGGCTATTCTCCACCGATAATTAATTCTATTGATCCTATACTCCACGGATGATAAGTGATTTAAGCACCGGTTTGGGTCAATTTATTTTCGGATGGCATTATCACAATTTTTTGAACGACGAAAGACCATTTTCTTTGGAATTTGAAGGCTACAGGTCACAAATTCGGCGTGAGGCTATTTTTCAACAATGATTAAGTCCATTTAGCACCGAGTAGGACAGATTTGTTCTAGTTCAATTATTGGCAGATTCCAAATGGGTACCATCACGAATTTCGGGCGATTTTTCCGAAATGCCATTTTCTTCCGATTCTGTAGGCTACAGATCACGAAATCAGGCCGAGGCTATTCTCCACCGATAATGTAGTCTATTGATACTATTCTCTACGGATGATAAGTGCATTAAGCACCGGTTTGGGCCAATTATTTTCGGATGACATTTTTGTAATTTTTGGGGGACGAAAGACCATTTTCTTCGGATTTTGAAGGTTACATAATCACGGATTTCGCCTGAGAATATTCTTCAACGATGGTTATGTCCATTAAGCACCGATTTGGGAGAATTTATTTGGAGTCAATTTTTGGCAGATTCCAAAGGGGTACCATAAGAGATTTCGGGCGATTTTTCCGAAATGCAATTTTATTTCGATTCCGGAGGCTACGGATCACGGAATCAGGCCGATTCTATTCTCCACCAATAATAAAGTCTATTGATCTTATTCTCCACGGATGATAAGTGCATTAAGCACAGGTTTGAGTCTATTTATTTTCGGGTGGCATTTTCACAATTTTTTGGGCGACGAAAGACAATTTTCTTTGGATTTTGAAAGCTCCATGTCACAGATTCGGCACGAGGCTATTCTTCAATGATGATTTAGTCCATTAAACACCGATTTGGGCGGATTTATTCAGAGTCAATTTTTGCCAGATTCAAAAGGGGTACCATCACAAATTTCGGACGATTTATCCGAAAAGACATTTTCTTTCTATTCTAGAGGCTACAGATCATGGAATCAGGCCGAGGCTATTCTCTACCGATAATTAAGTCTATTGATCCTATACTCCACGGATGATAAGTGCATTAAACACCGGTTTGGGTCAATTTATTTTCGGATGACATTTTCACAATTTTTTGGTCGACGAAAGACCATTTTCTTTGGAATTTGAAGGCTACAGGTCACAGATTCGACGTGAGACTATTTTTCAACAATGATTAAGTCCATTTAGCACCGAGTAGGATATAATTATTCTGGTTCAATTATTGGCAGATTCCAAATGGGTACCATCACAGATTTCGGGCGATTTTTCCGAAATGCCATTTTCTTCCGATTCTGTAGGCTACAGATCGAGGAATCGGCCCGAGGATAATCTCCACTGATAATGAAGTCTATTGATCATATTCTCCACGAATGATGAGTGCATTAATCAACGGTTTGGGCCAATTTATTTTCGGATGTCATTTTTGTAATTTTTTGGGCGTCCAAAGGCCATTTTCTTTGGATTTTGAAGGTTACAGGTCACAGATTCAGCATGAGGCTATTCTTCAACAATGATTAAGTCCATTAAGCACTGATTTGGGTGGATTTATTCCAGATAATTTTTTGTTAGATTCCAAAGGGGTACCATCACAGATTTCGTGCGATTTTTCCGAAATGTCATTTTCTTTCGATTCTGGAGGCTACTGATCAAGGAATCAGGCAGAGGTTATTCTACACCTATAATGAAGTCTATTGATCCTATTCTCCACGGAAGATAAGTGAATTAAGCACCGGTTTGGGTCAATTTATTTTCGGATGTCATTTTCGTAATTTATTGGGCGAAGAAAGACCATTTTCTTTGGATTTTGAAGGCCACAGTTCACGAATTCGGTCTGAGGTTATTCTTCAATGATGATTTAGTCCATTAAGCTCCAGTTTGGGCGTATTTATTCCGTGTCAATTTTTGGCAGATTCCAAAGGGGTACCATCACAGATTTCGAGCGATTTTTTCGAAATGGCATTTTCTTTCGATTCCGGAGGCTACAGATCACGGAATATGCACGAGGTTATTCTCCAATGATAATGAAGTCTAATTGATCCTATTCTCCACGAATGATGAGTGCATTAATCAACGGTTTGGAACAATTTATTTTCGGATGTCATTTTTGTAATTTTTTGGGCGTCGAAAGGCCATTTTCTTTGGATTTTGAAGGCTACAGATCACAGATTCGGTCTAAGGCTATTCTTCAACGATGATTAAGTCCATTAAGCGCCGATTAGGGTGGATTTATTCTGGGTCTATTTTTGGCAGATTCCAAAGGGGTACCATCATATATTTCAGGCGATTTTTCGAAAAATGCAATTTTCTTTCGATTCTGGAAGCTGCAAATTACGAAATCAGTCTGAGGCTATTCTCCGCCGATAATAAAGTCTATTGATCCTATTCTTCCCGGATGATAAGTCCATTAAGCACCGTTTTGGGCCAACTTATTTTCGGATGACATTTTCGTAATTTTTTGGGCGACTAAAGGCCATTTCCTTTGGATTTTGAAGGCTACAAATCACAGATTCGGCCTGATGATATTCTTCAACGATAATTAAGTCCATTAAGCACCGATTTGGGACAACTTATTTTTGGATGGCATTTTCGTAATTTTTGGGCGACGAAAGGACTTTTTCTTTGGATTTTGAAGGCTACAGATCACGGATTTGCCCTGAGGCTCTTCTTCAACAATGATTAAGTCCATTAAGCGCCGATTTGGGCGAATTTATTTCGGGTCAATTTTTGGCAGATTACAAAGAGGTACCATTACAGATTTCGGGCGATTTTTCCTAAATGCCATTTTCTTTCGATTCTGGGGGCTGCAGATCACGAAATTAAGCGAGGCTATTCTTCACCGATAATGAAGTATATTGATCATATTCTCCACGGATGATAAGTTCATTAAGCACCGATTTGGGCGAACTTATTTTCGGATGGCATTTTCATAATTTTGTGGCGACGAATGACCGTTTTCTTTTGATTTTGAAGGCTACATATCACGGATTCGGCCTGAGGCTATTCTTGACCGATGATAAAGTCCATTAAGCGCTGATTTGGGCGGATTTATTTCGTGTCAATTTTTGGGAGATTCCAGAGGGGTACCATCATAGATTTCGGGTGATTTTTCCGAAATACCATTTTCTTTCGATTCTTGAGGCTGCAGATCATGGAATCAGGCCGATGCTATTCTCCACGGATGATAAGTCCATTAAGCACCGATTTGGGCCAACTTATTTTAAGATGTCATTTTTCATAATTTTTTGGGGTACTAAAGACCATTTTCTTTGGATTTTGAAGGCTACAGATCACGGATTCGGCTTGAGGCTATTCATCAACGATGATTAACCCCATTAAGCGCCAATTTGGGCGGATATTTTTCGGGTCAATTATTGGCAGATTCCCAACGTGTACCATATAAAATTTAGGGCTATTTTTCTGAAATGCCATTTTCTTTCGATTCTGAAGGCTGCAGATCACGATATCAAGCCAACGATATTCTCCACCGATAATGAAATCTATTGATCCTAATGTCCACGGATGATAAGTCCATTAATCTCCGATTTGGGTCAATTTATTTTTCGGATGACATTTTTCGTAATTTTTTGGGCGAGGAAAGACCATTGTCTTTGAATTTTGAAGGCTACACATCACGGATTCGGCCTAAGCGCCGATTTGGACGAATTTATCCTGGGTAAATTTTTTGCAGATTCCAAAGGGGTAGCATCACAGATTTCAGGCTATTTTTCCGAAATGCAATTTTCTTTCGATTCTGGAGGCAGCAGATCACGGAATCAGACCGAGGCTATTCTCCACCGAGAATGAAGTCTATTGATCCTATTCTCCACGGATGATAAGTCCATTAAGCACAGATTTGAGCCAATTTATTTTCAGATGGTATTTTCGTAATTTTTTGGGCGACGAAAGACCATTTACTTTGGATTTTGAAGGCTATAGATCACGGATTTGAGATGAGGCTATTCTTCTACGATGATTAAGTACATTAAGAGACGACTAGGGAGGATTTATTCTGGGTTAATTTTTGGCAGATTCAAAAGGGGCACCATCACAGATTTTAGGCGATTTTTCTAAAATGCCATTTTCTTTCGATTCTGTAAGTTGCAGATCACGGAATCAGGACGAGGCTATTCTCCACCGATAATGAAGTCTATTGATCCTATTCTCCACGGATGATAAGTCCATTAAGCACCGATTTGTTTTCGGATGGCATTTTCTTAATTTTTTGTGCGACGAAAGGCCATTTTCTTTGGATTTTGAAGGCTATAGATCACATATTTGGCCTGAGGCTATTCTTCAACGATAGTGAAGTCCATTAAGCGCCAATTTGGGAGGATATTTTCCGGGTCAATTTTTGGCAGATTCCCAAGGGGTACGATATAAAATTTCGAGCGATTTTTCCGAAATGCCATTTTCTTTCGATTCTAAAGGCTGCAGATCACGGTATCAGGCCAAGGATATTCTCCACCGATAATGAAATCTGTTGATCCTATTATCCACGGATGATAAGTCCATTAAGCACCAATTTGGGCGAATTTATTTTCGGATGGCATTTTGTAATTTTTTCGGCGACGAAAGGCCATTTTCTTTGGAATTTGAAGGCTACAGATCGCAGATTCGGTCCGAGGCTATTATTTGGGCGAATTTATTCCAGGTCAATTTTTGGCAGATTCCAAAGGGGCAGAATCACATATTCCGTGCGATTTTTCCGAAATGCCATTTTCTTTCAATTCTGGAGGCTGCAGATCAGAGAATCAGGACGAGGCTATTCTCCACCGATAATGAAGTCTATTAATCCTATTCTCCACGGATGATAAGTCCATTAAGCATTGGTTTGGGCCAAATTATTTTCGGATGGCATTTTCATAATTTTCTGGGCGATGAAAGGCCATTTTCTTTGGATTTTGAAGGCTACAGATCACGGATTCGACCTGAGGCTGTTCTTCAACGATGATTAAATGCATTAAGCATCGATTTGGGCGGATTTATTCCGGGTCATTTTTTGGTAGATTCCCAAGGGGTACCATCACAAATTTCGGGCGATTTTTCCGAAATGCCATTTTCTTTCGATTGTGGAGGGTGCAGATCACGAAATCAGGCCGAGGCTATTCTCCACCAATAATGAAGTCTATTGATCATATTCTCCACGGATGATAAGTCCATTAAGCATCGATTTGGGGCAACTTATTTTCGTATGTCATTTTCGAAATTTTTTGGATGACAAAAGGCCATTTTCTTTGGATTTTGAAGGCCTGAGGATATTCTCCAACTATAATTAAGTCCATTAAGCTCCGATTTGGGCGAATTTATTCCATGTCAATTTTTGGCAGATTCCAAAGGGGCAGATTCACAGATTTCGGGCGATTTTTCCAAAATACCATTTTCATTCGATTTTGGAGGTTGCATATCACGGAATTAGGCGATGCTATTTTCCGCGATTTGGGCGGATTTATTTCGAGTCAATTTGAAGTCCACGGATTCGTTCTGAGGGTATTCTTCAACGATAATTAAGTCTTCAAGAACCAATTTGGGCTGATATATTCCGAGTCAATTTTTGGCAGATTTTAAAGGGGTACCATCACAGATTTCGGTATATTTTTCCTAAATTCAATTTTCTTTCGATTCTGGAGGCTGCAAATCACGAAATCAAGCCGAGGCTATTCTCCACCAATAATGAAGTCTATTGATCCTATTCTCCACGGATGATAAGTCCATTAAGCACCGATTTGGGCCAATTTATATTTGGATGGCATTGTCGTAATTTTTTGGCATACGAAGGGCCATCTTCTTGGGATTTTGAAGGCTACAGATCACAGATTCGGTTTGATGCTATTCTTCAACGATAATTAAGTCCATTAAGCACCAATTTGGGCGGATTTATTTCGGGTCAATTTTTGGCAGATTCCAAAGGGGGTACCATAACAGATTTTGAGCGATTTTTCCGAAATGCCATTTTCTTTCGATTCTGGAGGCTACAGATCACGGAATCAGGCCGAGGCTATTCTCCACCAATAATGAAGTCTATTGATCCTATTCTCCACGGATGATAAGTCCATTAAGCACCTATTTGTTTTCGGATGGCATTTTCTTAATTTTTTGTGCGACAAAAGGCCATTTTCTTTGGATTTTGAAGGCTATAGATCACGGATTCGGCCTGAGACTATTCTTGAACGATGATCAAGTCCATTAAGCGCCGATTGGGTCGGATTTATTCCGGGTCAATTTTAGGAAGATTCCAAAGGGGTACCATCACAGATTTCAGGCGATTTTTCCGAAATGCCATTTTCCTTTGATTCTGGAGGCTGAAGATCACAGAATCAAGCCGAGGCTATTCTCCACCGATAATGAAGTCTATTGATCTTATTATCCACGGATGTAAGTCCATTAAGCACCGATTTGGGCCAACTTATTTTCGGATGACATTTTTTTTAATTTTTTGAGCGAACGAAAGGCCATTTTTTTTTTATTTTGAAGTCCACAGATTACGGATTCGGCCTGAGGCTACTCTTCAACGATAATTAAGTCCATTAAGCACCAATTTGGGAGGATTTATTCCGGGTCAATTTTTGGGAGATTCCAAAGGGGTACTATTACAGATTTCGGTAGATTTTTACGAAATGCCATTTTCTTTCGATTTTGGAGGATGCATATCACGGAATCAAACCTAGGCTATTCTCCACCGATAATGAAGTCTATTGATCCTATTCTCCAAGGATGATAAGTCCATTAAACACCGATTTGGGACAATCTATTTTCGGATGACATTTTCGATAATTTTTGGGTGACGAAAGGCCATTTTATTGGGATTTTGAAGGCTACAGATCACGAATTCGGCCTGAGGCTATTCTTCAACGATGATTAAGTCCATTAAGCGCCAATTTGGGCGGATTTATTCCTCGTCAATTTTTGGCAGATTCCAAAGGGGTACCATCACAGATTTCGGGCGATTTTCCAAAATGCCATTTTTTTCGATTCTGGAGGCTGCAGATCACGGAATCAATCCGAGACTGTTCTCCACCGATAATGAAGTCTATTGATCCTATTCTCCACGAATGATAAGTCCATTAATCATCGGTTTGGGCCAAATTATTTTCGAATGGCATTTTCGTAATTTTCTGGGCGATGAAAGACCATTTTCTTTGGATTTTGAAGGCTACAGATCACGGATTCGACCTGAGGCTGTTCTTCAACGATGATTAAATGCATTAAGCATCAATTTGGGCAGATTTATTCCGGGTAATTTTTTGGTAGATACCAAAGGGGTACCATCACAGATTTCAGGCGATTTTTCCGAAATGCCATTTTCTTTCGATTCTGCAGGCTGCAGGTCACGAAATCAGGCCGAGGCTATTCTCCACCGATAATGAAGTCTATTGATAATATTCTCCACGGATGATAAGTCCATTAAGCACCGATTTGGGCCAACTTATTTTCGTATGTCATTTTCGTAATTTTTTTGGTGACAAAAGGCCATTTTCTTTGGATTTTGAAGGCTACAGATCACGGATTCGACCTGAGGATATTTTCCAACGATAATTAAGTCCATTAAGCTCCGATTTGGGCGGATTTATTCCTCATCAAATTTTGGGAGATTCCAAAAGGGTACCATCACAGATTTTGGGCGATTTTTCCGAAATGCCATTTTCTTTCGATTGTGGAGGCTGCAAATCACGGAATCAAGCGAGACTATTCTCCACCAATAATGAAGTCTATTGATCCTATTCTGCACGGATGATAAATACATTAATCATCGGTTTGGATCAAATTATTTTCTAATGACATTTTTTTAATTTTTTGAGCTAACGAAAGGCCATTTCTTTTATTTTGAAATCCACAGATCACGTATTCGGCCTGAGGCTACTCTTTAACGATAATTAAGTCCATTAAGCACCAATTTGGGAGGATTTATTCTGGGTCACTTTTTTGCAGATTCCAAAGGGGTACCATTACAGATTTCGGTAGATTTTTACGAAATGCCATTTTCTTTCGATTCCGGAGGATTCAAATCACCGAATCAAACCTAGGCTATTCTCCACCGATAATGTAGTCTATTGATCATATTCTCCACGGATGATAAGTCCATTATGCACCAATTTGGTCCAATCTATTTACGAATGACATTTTCGATAATTTTTGGGCGACGAAAGGCCATTTTCTTTAGATTTTGAAGGCTACAGATCATAGTTTCGGCCTGAGGCTATTCTTTAACGATAATTTAAGTCCATTATGCACCAATTTGGACGGATTTATTCCGGGTCAATTTTTGGAAGATTCCAAAGGGGTACCATCACAGATTTCGGTAGATTTTTCCGAAATGTCATTTTCTTTCGATTCTGGAGGCTGCAAATCACGGAATGAAGACAATGCTATTCTCCACCGATAATGAAGTCGATTGATCCTATTCTCCACGGATGATAAGTCCATTAAGCACCGATTTGCTTCAATTTATTTTCGGATGGCATTTTCGTAATTTTTTGGGCGACAAAAGGCCATTTTCGTTGAATTTTGAAGGATACAGATCACAGATTCGGCCTGAGGATATTCTTTAACGATAATTAAGTCCATTAACCACCAATTTGGGAGGATTTATTCCAGGTCAATTTTTGGCAGATTCGAAATGGGTACCATCACAGATTTCGGTAGATTTTTCCGAAATGCCATTTTCTTTCAATTCTGGATGCTGCAAATAACGGAATTAGGACGAGACTATTTTCCACCGATAATGAAGTCTATTGATCCTATTCTCCACGGATGATAAGTCCATTAAGCACCGATTTGGGCCAACTTATTTTCGGATGACATTTTCGTAATTTTTTGGCCTGCGAAAGGCCATTTTCTTTGGATTTTGAAGGCTACAGATCACTGATTCGGTCCGAGGCTATTCTTCAACGATAATTAAGTCTATTAAGCACCAATTTGGGTGTATTTATTCCGGGTCAATTTTTGGCAGATTCCAAAGGGGTACCATCATAGATTTCAGTAGATTTTTCCGAAATGTCATTTTCTTTTGATTCTGGAGGTTGTAATCACGGAATCTAGCCGATGCTATTCTCCACCGATAATGAAGTCTATTGATCCTATTCTCCATGGATGATAAGTCTATTAAGCACCGATTTGGGTCAATTTATTTTCGGATGGAATTTTCGTAATTTTTTGGGCGAGGAAATGCCATTTTCTTTTCATTTTGAAGGCTATAGATCACAGTTTCGGCCTGAGGCTGTTCTTTAACGATAATTTAAGTCCATTATGCACCAATTTGGGCGGATTTATTCCGGGTCTATTTTTGGCAAATTCTAAAGGGGTACCATCACAGATTTCGGTAGATTTTTCCGAAATGCCATTTTCTTTCTATTCTGGAGGATGAAAATGACATAATCAAACTGAGGCTATTCTCCACCGATAATGAAGTTTATTGATCATATTATCCACAAATGATAAGTCCATTAAGCACCGATTTGGGCCAATTTATTTTCGGATGACATTTTCCTAATTTTTTGGGCGACGAAAGGCCATTTTCTTTGAATTTTGAAGGATACAGATCACTGATTCGGTCTGAGGCTATTATTCAACGATAATTAAGTCCATTAAGCACCTATTTGGGCAGATTTATTCCGGGTCAATTTTTGGCAAATTCCAAAGGGTACTTTCACAGATTTCAGAAGATTTTTACTAAATGCCATTTTCTTTCGATTCTGGAGGCTGCAATTGACGGAATCAAGCCAAGGCTATTCACCACCGATAATGAAGTCGATTGATCCTATTCTCCACAGATGATAAGTCCATTAAGCACTGATTTGGGCCAATTTATTTTCGGATGACATTTTCCTAATTTTTTGGGCGACGAAAGGCCATTTTCTTTGGATTTTGAAGGCTACAGATTACAGATTCGGCCTGAGGCTGTTCTTCAACGATAATTAAGTCAATCAAGCCCCAATTTGGGCGGATTTATTCCGGGTCAGTTTTTTGCAGATTCCAAACGGGTACCATCACAGTTTTGGGCAGATTTTTCTGAAATGCCATTTTCTTTCAATTATGGAGAATGCAAATGACGGAATCAAACAGAGGCTATTCTCCAACCGATAATGAAGTCTATTGATCCTATTCTCCTCGGATGTAAGTCCATTAAGCACCGATTTGGGCCAACTTATTTTCGGATGACATTTTTTTTAATTTTTTGAGCGAACGAAAGGCCATTTTTTTTTTATTTTGAAGTCCACAGATTACGGATTCGGCCTGAGGCTACTCTTCAACGATAATTAAGTCCATTAAGCACCAATTTGGGAGGATTTATTCCGGGTCAATTTTTGGGAGATTCCAAAGGGGTACTATTACAGATTTCGGTAGATTTTTACGAAATGCCATTTTCTTTCGATTCTGGAGGATGCATATCACGGAATCAAACCTAGGCTATTCTCCACCGATAATGAAGTCTATTGATCCTATTCTCCACTGATGATAAGTCCATTAAACACCGATTTGGGACAATCTATTTTCGGATGACATTTTCGATAATTTTTGGGTGACGAAAGGCCATTTTATTGGGATTTTGAAGGCTACAGATCACGAATTCGGCCTGAGGCTATTCTTCAACGATGATTAAGTCCATTAAGCGCCAATTTGGGCGGATTTATTCCTCGTCAATTTTTGGCAGATTCCAAAGGGGTACCATCACAGATTTCGGGCGATTTTCCAAAATGCCATTTTTTTCGATTCTGGAGGCTGCAGATCACGGAATCAAGCCGAGACTGTTCTCCACCGATAATGAAGTCTATTGATCCTATTCTCCACGAATGATAAGTCCATTAATCATCGGTTTGGGCCAAATTATTTTCGAATGGCATTTTCGTAATTTTCTGGGCGATGAAAGACCATATTCTTTGGATTTTGAAGGCTACAAATCACGGATTCGACCTGAGGCTATTCTTCAACGATGATTAAATGCATTAAGCATCAATTTGGGCGGATTTATTCCGGGTAATTTTTTGGTAGATTCCAAAGGGGTACCATCACAGATTTCAGGCGATTTTTCCGAAATGCCATTTTCTTTCGATTCTGCAGGCTGCAGGTCACGAAATCAGGCCGAGGCTATTCTCCACCGATAATGAAGTCTATTGATAATATTCTCCACGGATGATAAGCCCATTAAGCACCGATTTGGGCCAACTTATTTTCGTATGTCATTTTCGTAATTTTTTTGGTGACAAAAGGCCATTTTCTTTGGATTTTGAAGGCTACAGATCACGGATTCGACCTGAGGATATTTTCCAACGATAATTAAGTCCATTAAGCTCCGATTTGGGAGGATTTATTCCTCATCAAATTTTGGGAGATTCCAAAAGGGTACCATCACAGATTTTGGGCGATTTTTCCGAAATGCCATTTTCTTTCGATTCTGGAGGCTGCAAATCACGGAATCAAGCGAGACTATTCTCCACCAATAATGAAGTCTATTGATCCTATTCTCCACGGATGATAAATACATTAATCATCGGTTTGGATCAAATTATTTTCTAATGACATTTTTTTAATTTTTTGAGCTAACGAAAGGCCATTTCTTTTATTTTGAAATCCACAGATCACGTATTCGGCCTGAGGCTACTCTTCAAAGATAATTAATTCCATTAAGCACCAATTTGGGAGGATTTATTCTGGGTCAATTTTTTGCAGATTCCAAAGGGGTACCATTACAGATTTCGGTAGATTTTTACGAAATGCCATTTTCTTTCGATTCCGGAGGATTCAAATCACCGAATCAAACCTAGGCTATTCTCCACCGATAATGTAGTCTATTGATCCTATTCTCCACGGATGATAAGTCCATTATGCACCAATTTGGTCCAATCTATTTTCGAATGACATTTTCGATAATTTTTGGGCGACGAAAGGCCATTTTCTTTAGATTTTGAAGGCTACAGATCATAGTTTCGGCCTGAGGCTATTCTTTAACGATAATTTAAGTCCATTATGCACCAATTTGGACGGATTTATTCCGGGTCAATTTTTGGAAGATTCCAAAGGGGTACCATCACAGATTTCGGTAGATTTTTCCGAAATGTCATTTTCTTTCGATTCTGGAGGCTGCAAATCACGGAATGAAGACAATGCTATTCTCCACCGATAATGAAGTCGATTGATCCTATTCTCCACGGATGATAAGTCCATTAAGCACCGATTTGCTTCAATTTATTTTCGGATGGCATTTTCGTAATTTTTTGGGCGACGAAAGGCCATTTTCGTTGAATTTTGAAGGATACAGATCACAGATTCGGCCTGAGGATATTCTTTAACGATAATTAAGTCCATTAACCACCAATTTGGGAGGATTTATTCCAGGTCAATTTTTGGCAGATTCGAAATGGGTACCATCACAGATTTCGGTAGATTTTTCCGAAATGCCATTTTCTTTCAATTCTGGATGCTGCAAATAACGGAATTAGGACGAGACTATTTTCCACCGATAATGAAGTCTATTGATCCTATTCTCCACGGATGATAAGTCCATTAAGCACCGATTTGGGCCAACTTATTTTCGGATGACATTTTCGTAATTTTTTGGCCTGCGAAAGGCCATTTTCTTTGGATTTTGAAGGCTACAGATCACTGATTCGGTCCGAGGCTATTCTTCAACGATAATTAAGTCTATTAAGCACCAATTTGGGTGTATTTATTCCGGGTCAATTTTTGGCAGATTCCAAAGGGGTACCATCATAGATTTCAGTAGATTTTTCCGAAATGTCATTTTCTTTTGATTCTGGAGGTTGTAATCACGGAATCTAGCCGATGCTATTCTCCACCGATAATGAAGTCTATTGATCCTATTCTCCATGGATGATAAGTCTATTAAGCACCGATTTGGGTCAATTTATTTTCGGATGGAATTTTCGTAATTTTTTGGGCGAGGAGATGCCATTTTCTTTTCATTTTGAAGGCTATAGATCACAGTTTCGGCCTGAGGCTGTTCTTTAACGATAATTTAAGTCCATTATGCACCAATTTGGGCGGATTTATTCCGGGTCAATTTTTGGCAAATTCTAAAGGGGTACCATCACAGATTTCGGTAGATTTTTCCGAAATGCCATTTTCTTTCTATTCTGGAGGATGCAAATGACATAATCAAACTGAGGTTATTCTCCACCGATAATGAAGTTTATTGATCATATTCTCCACGAATGATAAGTCCATTAAGCACCGATTTGGCCCAATTTATTTTCGGATGACATTTTCCTAATTTTTTGGGCGACGAAAGGCCATTTTATTTGGATTTTGAAGGATACAGATCACTGATTCGGTCTGAGGCTATTCTTCAACGATAATTAAGTCCATTAAGCACCTATTTGGGCAGATTTATTCCGGGTCAATTTTTGGCAAATTCCAAAGGGTACCATCACAGATTTCAGAAGATTTTTACTAAATGCCATTTTCTTTCGATTCTGGAGGCTGCAATTGACGGAATCAAGCCAAGGCTATTCTCCACCGATAATGAAGTCGATTGATCCTATTCTCCACAGATGATAAGTCCATTAAGCACTGATTTGGGCCAATTTATTTTCGGATGACATTTTCCTAATTTTTTGGGCGACGAAAGGCCATTTTCTTTGGATTTTGAAGGCTACAGATTACAGATTCGGCCTGAGGCTGTTCTTCAACGATAATTAAGTCAATCAAGCCCCAATTTGGGCGGATTTATTCCGGGTCAGTTTTTTGCAGATTCCAAAGGGGTACCATCACAGTTTTGGGTAGA